GCTGCTTAGCTCCTGGCTGCTCCCAGTACTATCCACATCCACCACTAGTCCGAGGCCCAGTCCCAAGCCCAATCCCAAGCCCGTTAACGAGCTGGAGTTCACCATAGCAGGTGGTCCGGCGGCTGCGGTGGACGATGACGGGATGGAGGTAGCTGATCCGATGCTTGAGGTGCTCACACTGGTCACATCCAGACTACCCACAGCGCTGCTGCCCTTGCCAGTGTCCGTATCAGTAGCAGAGCCCGAACACGATCCAGAACTAGAGCCTGAACTGCTGCTGGATGAGCTGCTGGTGCTGGAACTACTGCTCGTGTTGCTCGCATCGGTGTCCTCCAGCACTGACGAATTAGAGGCATCGTCGCTGAGCACGGTCTTCAAGCTGTTATTAATGGAGGGACACGGATCAACCGTGTCCACTGCCGCCTTGACAGGCTCCTCCAAAGTGGTCATGATGCTGCACAGGAAATGAATTACATTTTAATAATACATTTGAGCATAATTTAAATAGTTTATGATTTTATCGTTTTAAACGTGGATATTCCGATATTCGCTAAATTCGATTGAAATATGTAAGGCATTTTCTTCTTGGCAAAGTACTCACCTTTTTTATTGAGAGCTCTCTTTCGATTTAATTTGTTAATATCTATTCGATTCTGTTTATTCCTTGTTGTTTGGCTTCTGGACTCTTCTTTGCCTAATCTTCCTCACCTCTGTATACACTTTTAGCTTAACTATTTACTGTTGTTGATTCTGCAGCTGCTGCTCCCTAACGACCTGCCGCTCTCCCAAGAGAGCCATGCCACGAAATCTCTCCGCACGTAATAAATAAAAGTTCCAAGCCTAGAAAGTCCAGGGAGCGACAGCGAGACTTTGGCGTCGTGAGCGGCTAGATTACCGGGCGAAGGCGCGAGAGGGACAACTATTATATTCAGTGACACACATACATAAACACACTGTTGCTGCTGCTTCTATTGATGCTGCCTTTTACTCCTTCTTGTTGCAGTATTTCTCCTTTGTTTCCTCCTTCTACGACTTGTGTATTTTGTTTTACTTAAAACTTATTGCAAATTTGTAAACATTTTTGCGAGCCTCCTTATACTTTTGTTGTTTTTTCTTAGTTTTTGGTGTTATTTGCTGATTTTTTTGTCTTGCGTTATTTTAATGCATCTGCATTTGATGGCATGGCGAGTTGTGATGATCCTGATGAGTTGCTCTTCTTGTTGCTACTGCTGCTGCTGCTGATGTCGTTACTGATGTTTGTGTTGCACGAAATAAAGCGAAAAAAGGACGAACGAGACGACGAAGACGACGACGATAACGAAACACTAACGAAGAAGGCGATTTTGAAATTGGACGACAGCGCCGCTCTTTAATTCATCCGATCGTACGACAAAGATTTATGAAAAAGAGTAAAAAAAATAAAAAAGGAAATAGGTTAGCCAAAAATGTGCACTACAATAAATGCGAAATTTAAAACAGACAACAATTATTTGCGAAACGACTAAAGGAAACCCGATAATCAAAATAACAACCGAGTGTAACTCGAAACACACTATACACAAACACTACACACAATCTCACAAGTATCTAACGTATCTGACTAACGGAGCAAAGGCAATGCGAGATTTGGAGAGGCGAACAGAATGAAGGTAGTGGGAGGTAAAACAGTGCAAATTGAATTCGTTCTCTCTCTCAATCGCTCTCTTTAATTCTCTCATTTGGCTTAAGGCTCCTTCCATTTTAAGCCTTACACACAAATCAATGAATGCAATACCCTTTCGACTACGCCTGTGGCTTATGCAACAGCATACATACACCTACACCCATGGACGCTAACGGATTGTTTATTGCATGATTTTCGGCACAGTGAGAATGTTTTTGTGCGCCGAAGTGAAATTTTTATTTGAAAAGCGCAGCCTTAACCGCATTGTATATTTTAAAAGAGAAACAAGCAAATGGTATTGCTAATTAATTCTTTAGCCGCAGCTGCTGTGCTCAAGGAATTAACAGTAATTCCTCGACACCAAGTTAAATGTTTCCGAGTTATTATTAATCTTGAAAATTAAACAGACAATACCTTTTTGATTTTCCTGGTTGTTTTCTACTTAAATGCAGTATTTATTTGCATTCCCTCATCTAGGCTTTAATTAAATAACAAATGGTTGTGCAACATAATATGTAAAAACCAATAACCAATAAAATAAGCTTGCCATGTACAATTAAGATTGATCTCAGTATTATTTCTTTCCCTTATTTAAATAAATTTTATATAATTAAATTTCAAATAATTAAAGATTTAATAATATTTGAAGATTGTTGTAATCAGATGAAAATGGTTACATTTTAGACCCTCCAAAAATACATACATACATATGTATATCGTTAGATTCATTTAAAGAACAACAAATGTCTCAAAAACAGTATTCACAGTAAGAATAAGAGATTCTATTTCAAAAAAATCTGCTATCTAAATATATACATATGCTTTCATGGAATTTCCAAAAGAAGTTCCGAGTTTCTTTCAAATGGTTAATTATAGTGAATTTTAACACTAATACGAAAATCCAATTGGCAATTATTCAACCGGGTAGTTGTCTCCAATTGCAAACTAGCTTGGTTTCCAACTAAATTGGAAAGGGAATCTCTAACTAGCTATTTCTCTTTTTAGCAGTTGCAAACTGATTTCTTAGGAAATTTATTTGTTTTGTGTTCTGGGCTACAAAATCGTATTTTATTTTTGTTTATTAAAACCCACTGACTGACTGATCGTACGATTTGTTTGCTTCGCGTTTTTTAGTCCCACCCCTGTCGGGCTACACCACTGAGGCGGATTCTAGCTCCAGTTACGTTTACGTTACGTTTTTCACGGTTATGTGTAGTTATGCGCCACTCACACTAACGTTCACGCACACATATACATATGTTATGTATAGCGAGCAGCTGAGCTCTTTACTTATTTCGCTTAACTTTTTTTTATCGCACAGTGCCCACTCAACGTGGTGAACCAAGTAAGTTTGTTAAATTAAAAAAAAAAAAACATTCATTTTAGGGGTCACCATTTTATTGTTTCGCAATAAATGAAAATAAATCTCATTTCTAATTTCACATATGTCTAACTTTATTCGCTTCACACTATCAATATGATCTTTGCTGTCGTATCGTTTTCGCGATTAAATTTCGCACTGATGTTTGAAGTACAATTTTAAAGCTATAAGTCTATATAAGACTCAATTGTCTGGATTAAAAGGTTTAACACATAAAATACAAATATTTTAATTTACTGCATAAAGTATTAGTCAATAAGAAAAAAATTCTCATGAAGTTTTTAGAAAAGTCCACGCATCATTCAGCGACAGGCTGTTTATTATTTCGAGCAGTCACTGTACTTATTTTTTTGCACGCAGGCGCGTCTAAAGCGCTGGCACCTCAGCTATTTCCCAGCTAGATTTCTCGCAAGGAGCTCGTTTGCAAGGACACCCAAAACACACACGAAGGCCTTGACCAGCAGACAACAATTGAATAACCCATTTTTGTTGGGATTTAGACTAAATAGTTTAAATTCGGTCAGCGGATGTGTGTGTTGCGAAATTAAATCTAGCTTCTAGATAGTTTACACAACTAAATACTTGTGTAGTTGTTGTCCACATCACACGCACACAAATCAGCTGCAAAAAACAATTGCATACGCACACACTCACACCAACACTTGAACGCAGCGACACACGTGGTACCCGAATTTAGAACGGCTGCTGGACTTTTTTTTCTCCATTTCGTTACAATTGCAATTATTGTCCCCTAACGACTTTCGTCAAATATGCGCCGCATCTGATACTATTTTCCTGTACTATACTTTAATTTTCTTTTTTTTTTTAACGCCTGTGTGCTTCTCTTGCTCGCTCGCGAACAGTTATTTTCGAGTGCACTGCTGGGGTCCGGCTATTGGGAGCGAGCGAACTAGAGAGAGAGAAAGAGCGGCATATGCCAAATGCAAGTTGGTATTGGTGCGCAAGCTCGCTCAATCGCGGCAAAAAAGAAAAGAATTAAATACGACATATACCCGCACACAGACCGAGGAAATATACACATGGCAAATGAAAATATAATTCCTTTCTTTAATATATATTGGACATTTTTCGAATGGCCATTTCAGAGTCTCTTTTTCGGCTTAAGTTTCTTATGGGACACGGGCGGGGGCGGAGTAGTTCTAAAACCAATTTTAACTGTACAAAGCAATGGCCAGACAACTTGTCGTCGGTGGGCTCTCCGTGGATCCCCCTTTTCTCTCTCTCTCTCTTGCGAGCCCCAACATTAAGGGGATTGAATACCCTCCAAGTGTCGGAGTGTAGTTGTCAAATAAGGTGAAGGGAGGGGACGGACGCCACTGCCGTTGTCCTTGAACGCAAAATTTCCACTTGACTACCGCCCAGGTGGTCGTGGTCATAAAAAAAAACACATACGCGAGACACACACCCACACTGGCACATCCGGGGGCTCACACCGAGTGTCGCAAACACATACACCCACACACAAAACAGCAGACAGGAGTCGCTGGGCAGAAAAGGTCCTTGAAATGCCAGAACATTAAATGTCTATCCGGCTTTGAAATCATTTTCGCAGTAGGCACAGAGTTAACTCTCAAATTGGATGCGTTTACTTCAGTTTGGCGGCGGCGGTACCTTTTTTAATGTAGTTTTCACACGTTTTTTCGCTCCTCTCTCTGCTCGTTACGATTTTATATTTTTCGTCGCGCACACGAACGGCTATCGCTGAATCAATTTTCCTATCGATACCTCTATGGGAAAAGTATCGCATACATTCGATCCTTTTCATTTAGATTAGGAGACGGGGACACAAAACTAAAATGTCGATAAAAATCTATCCATATCTAAGTCTTCACTGTATAATAAATCAGTGTACATAATTTTTTTTTTTAAATAACAGATTATATCTTGGACACACGTTTGCCATCGGCAACGGAAAGCGATACTGATAGCGATATCGATAGGAAAACGCTTTAGGGAACCATCTCTAGCAACAGCTGTTCCGTTGTGTAACTAAATAGTACATTTCTTTTTGGTAAATATACGACAATACGTTATTTTAGGAATATAATTTCAAGATAATTCCACAGCACACCAAAATGTCCGCATCCGCCGCCCGTGGCTCGACGTCGCTGCTGAAGCGCGCCTGGAACGAGATTCCCGACATTGTCGGCGGATCGGCCCTGGCACTCGCTGGCATCGTGATGGCCACCATTGGAGTGGTCAACTACTACGCCAAGGATGGAGATAACCGCCGCTATAAGCTGGGATATGTGGTGTTTCGCCACGACGATCCCCGTGCCCAGAAAGTGCGAGACGATGAGGACGACTAGAAGCGGAGTTCCCCCGGAAATCCAGATGACAGTTTCCCTCTCAGCTTAACTACTTTTTTGTTTCTGCTATTAGCTAAGTAAAACAAATAACTCAACTTTTTTCCTGAGTTATATTATTTAATTACCCTAAAGTCTCGGTTGCGTATTAGAGGTCCTTGTGAGAGAAATTGCGATGCAACCGCCAAGCCTTTTCCGTAAGAAAGGATTCGTCGCAGATGGTGCACTTAAAATTGGGCTCGACTTCCTCTGTCACAGTTAAGTTACCTTTAAAGTAAATGTGGATAAACATAAACCAATAGTAAGACAAAATACATATATATAGAGATACATATCTACAGACCAAAAGTTTTAAATTTAAATGTAAACATTTTGAAGGCAGTTTTTAAAGTGCAAAGCCACTCTTTTTATAAGTGGTTCTAATCCCATTTTTGTCTACATATGTATGTATTTGAGGGTCTAATCATGATCGTTGGGTCATAAATTAATTAATTGAAAGTGAGAGAGATAGGTATAAATCAGGATGCAAAACTATTTGTGGGTAGCTTGTGGGGCAGAGTGAAGATTGTCGGGTAACACAAATGATTGTGGCTATTTTGTGTTTACTCACTCCCACAAGCCTCCGGCGACATCTTGGGAGCTGTAGGAACTTCCTGTGTTTTGAGAAAATCCGGTACCTTAAAGTCTTGCGATTTGCTGGCCAGGCTGCGCCTTCGCCGCTCTTCAAATTTTAGCGCCACATTGAACTCGGTGTGTGCAGCCATCCACTGGTGGTTGAACTCATATACCAGGGTTAGTTTCTTCAAGCAAATGCGACAGATCAGCTTGGGATAGGCGTCGGATGGCTCCAGAGCCGGAAAGTTGGCGGGTAAGCAGGAGGAGAGCATCTCCGCGACGGGCACCATCTTATCCAGAGCCTTAGCACTCACTTCGTAGATGTTCAATAGGTCCAGGCACTCATTGCCGCACGTGCGACAAAGGTTTTCGAAGATGTCCATGCCAGTTCCTTAGTTTCGAAATAATTTAAAAGAAAAATTTTGCTTCAATTTGTTGTTTGAGCAAATCAGTGTAACCGCCTTTTTTAAGCATATATATCGATATATATACTTTGGTATTCATTTAAAATATGGTCCGGCCACACTACAGTCTCGGACTTTTTTGTTTGAGCAAATCGTGTGAACGCCTTTTTAAAGAATAAACATGTGTCTATCGAATATGTCCGTCAAAATAGCGTCGATGAGTTAGCGTCGAAATGGAACGGCGGGAAAATGGAACATGGAGGGGATCTTTAATTTTTAATTTTTTTCGTAATTAAAGCACTAATTCGAATACAAAAAGTTTCTAAATGCTAAAAAATATTTTTACTATTGTTGTTTGGGTTTAAAAGAATTTTAGAAGTGTTTGAGAATGTTTTCACGGCATAGTCATGCCTCCTTAGTACACATACATATGTATAAATTAGTAATTCAAATGTTAATTTCTCCAAAACGACTGAACGGATTTCGATGAAACACCTACCAAATTGCTAAGAATAACGACATCATTTATTGGGCAGACTATTAAATGTTATATCCAAAATTTGCTTCTCAAATCTAGTGCTTCAATGCCCTTGCTTTGTAATATGATTTCAGGTCAAAAATTTTTAACGCAGTGAATAAATTATTTCCGACCCTATAAAGTATGTATATTCTTGATCAGCATCAACAACCGAGTCTATCTAGCCATGTCCATTTGTCTGTCTGTTCAATTATAAGCAAACTAAACCCTTATATTTAAAGCTATCTAAATGAAACTTTGCAGTTAGTCTTCTATAAATTAGTTATACTTGTGTTTAATGGATTAAAATGTACAGTGCCGGTTATTCAATTTAACTACATACGTCCTACCATTAAGTTTAAATCACATTCTTTTATTAAATATTCTTCGTCGAACATAATATCATAATATGATGATTTGATAAAACAACTAACAAAACGCTTAGAATGTCAATTTCATTCACACAATTTTTTTTTTTTTTTTATTTTTATTTAATTTAGTATTTTTCTTAACATGGTTTGTTACAGCGAGTGGTTCTCTGCTGGTTCCCATATAGTTCCATTTTCATAGTTCGCGCCTTAGCTATTAGCCCAAATACACCACCCACTGTTTTTCGATTTTCTCAAAATCTGACCGTTAAAAACAATTCAAATTTTCACTAAATATTCGTGAATCTTCCCCAAGTACCGTGCATATGTGCTCGCGTTCGTAAATCGAATTTATAAGCCTTAAAATATTTAATGCTCAAAAACTGACGGTTTGAAGAAATTGAAACTTGGTAGAGTAAAACTACAATAAATGTCCTTCATTTTGGCGTATCAGGTATTGCTACACGCGTTCGATTAGCCGATATATTAAGAAATCTTTTTTTTTTATATATCCAAATGTCAAATATTTTTAAACCCAAAAAAAAAAAAAAAAAAAAAAACAATAGTAAAACTATTTTTTTGCATTTAGGAACTTTTTGTATTCGAATTAGTGCTTTAATTACGAAATAAATTAAAAATTAAGGATCCCCTCCATGTTCCATTTTCCCGCCGTTTCATTTCGACGCTAACTCATCGACGCTAGTTTGACGGACATCTATCGAATGTTGTATTAATTTTAAATGTAGTCCGGCCACACTACAGTCTCAGCCTTTTTTTTAAGTGTCAGAAAAGCCGGAAAAAATTGGTAAAATGTTGTGGAAGGCGCTACTAATTGCCGCCGTGGCTATTGCCCACTGTCAAGCGGTCCTCGAAACAGATGCCAACACACTAATACTGTTGGACAACCTGGCCATACGCGAGACCCACTCCCTTTTCTTCAAGTCTCTGCAGGGTAAGTGGAAAAACGCCGGCTAACCCATGACGTGGACAAATGAAGAAATAAAATGAGAGAAATTAAAAGTAATGTTTTTTTTTTTTTACCAGATCGAGGATTTAAGCTCACCTACAAGTTGGCTGATGACTCCAGTCTGCTGCTATCCAAGTACGGCGAGTATCTGTACAAGAATCTGATTATCTTTGCCCCAAGTGTCGAGGAGTTCGGCGGCGATATCAGCGTAGATCGGTTGGCGCAGTTCGTGGACGATGGTGGCAACGTTTTGGTGGCGGGCAGCGAGAAGTCTGGTGACGCCCTCAGGGAATTTGCTTCGGAGTGCGGCTTTGAGCTAGATGAAGACAATGCAGCGGTGATTGACCATCTTCACTATGATGTCTCCGATTCGGGAGAGCACACCACCATTCTCACCTCGGCCAAGAACCTTATTCAGGCGGATACCATTGTTGGAAAAGCCAATCGTCAGGCGGATGCTGCGCCTCTGCTGTACAGAGGCACTGGACTAATTGCGGATAAAGAGAATCCACTGGTGCTTAAGCTTTTAACAGCGGAGAGCAGTGCTTATAGCTACAACCCGGAGTCCAGTGTCACGGATTACCCGCATGCTGTGGGACGTGGAACTCTGCTTATTGCCGCTCTGCAAGCAAGGAACAACGCTAGGGTGGTTTTTTCCGGATCCCTGCACTTCTTCGCCGACGAGAGCTTTACTACCGCGGTGCAGTACGCCCAGAGCGGTGTGTTCCACAAGCAGGCAGGCAATCGCGCCGTTGCCGAGTCCATTAGCCAGTGGGTTTTCGGAGAGACCGGCCGCCTCCGCGTGGGATCCGTTCAGCATCACAAGGAGGGCGAGAACCTGCCGCCAGAGCAGGCCTACACCATTACCGATCCCGTGGTCTATACCATTGCCATTGAGGAGTTGGTGGGAGGAGAATGGCGCGCCTTTAAGGCCAACGATATACAGCTGGAATTCGTCCGCATTGATCCCTTCGTTCGCACCTATCTGAAGCAAACCAAGTCCGGCGCTTACCAGGCCAAATTTGAGATCCCAGATGTCTACGGTGTCTACCAGTTCAAGGTGGATTACGATCGCGTGGGCTATACGCATCTATACAGTACAACGCAGGTGTCGGTCCGTCCACTGGAACACACCCAGTACGAACGATTCATTCCTAGCGCCTTCCCCTATTATACTAGCGCCTTCTCCATGATGATTGGCGTCTTTGTGTTCTCGTTCGTGTTCCTCCACTTCAAGGACGAGCAGCTGGTCAAGGAGGACAAGAAGTCGCAGTAGTTTGCATCTAAAAACACCTTAAAATGTAATACACAATTCACAAAAATGAAGTTTTGCCTTTGGCGAAAATGATTTCATCACATATATACTGCAATTTTATTAAAAAAACATTTGGCTATAACTCAAAAACTATTTTTGTAACTTTTCTTTGAAAATCTTTTTTATTACGCCTCCCATCTGATTCTCAGTAAGCTCCTTAATAACTAGTTAACCGGCAGGGACCAAAATCACTTCAGAATAGGTATCAATTGACAAAAATGATATGGAGAGGAGTGAAAAATAAATGGTTTTATGTTATTAAACACAATTTTAGATGTTTTACTGATGCAATATGCATATCATCCATGTTTTTCCAACTTTTTCAGGCAATAATTGTTTTTCGCCAAATTTTAAATTCAATTATGAGGTCTGGCAACGCCAATGTCAAGAAAAGTAAGTATGACCAGAATATCCGAAATTACGCGGTCACATTGGTCCCAACTCGCACGTTTTTGCCGTAAACAAACCTTTTCTCTCTTGATTAAAACAGTTTTAAGGCATAAAACCACACAAGATGTCGTCGTGGAAGAAGGCGACAAAGAGCAACCAAAAAGTGCACCGGGAACGCCACCAGCCGGAGGCGCGCCAGCATCTGGGTTTCCTCGAGAAGAAGAAGGATTACAAGAAGCGAGCGCTCGATGCACAGAAAAAGGAGAAAACCCTGAAGTTGCTGTATCGGCGGGCGCAGAACAAGAATCCGGATGAGTTCTACCATCACATGATCAACTCGAAGCTGACCAACGATGAGCATCGCGAGAAGGACAAGGAGGACGAGCATACGCCCGAGCAGGTGGCCCTGATGCAGACGCAGGATCTCAAGTATGTGGTGATGAAGCGCACCGTGGAGCGGCGAAAGATCGAACGCCTCAAGGTCGAGCTGGTGGACATCGATGCCAGTGCGTCCAACAAGCGGTATACGTTCGACGAGCAGGGCAAGAAGCAACAGGCAGCGGTTAGCCTGGGTGAACGCCTCCAAGAATCCGAGCAGGCAATGGTGAGAGATTAATTTAGCTTTTATTTCAAACACATTCCTCACATTTCCCCTTTTTTCTGCCAGAAAACACCGACGCCAAACTCGACTCGGCAGCAGCGCATCAACGAGCTGAAGAAGAGGGAGATACGCGAACGGGAGCTTGGCATCGTCCAGAACAAGATACAGCTAAAGAATACACTCAAGCAGCAGCGTCTTCTCAAGCCAAGAAAAGTGAAAGCTGGTACCAAGGACAGTGCGCCAGTCTATAGATTCCGCTACGAGCGCAAGAAATGAGCAGACACAATACAGCATCCGCTGTAGGCCCTTAAGCGTATATACAGTTTTTTTCGTTTGTAATAAAACCATTAGTTTTAAATTGGTTTATTTTACTCTTTATAGATCAAAGAAATTTTATCCTTGTGCTGATGGTAGTTCATCAACTTCCAAAAATTTTAAAAGCGTGAAAATAGAACAGGTTGGAACGCCGATAGACGATAGTTTTGCCACGGAGCCAGTTTTAATTATCTGGTCTCAACGCTGAAGTTATGAGTTGTTGCTCTTTTTTCTACCTTGATCTGAAAGATCAGACTCAAGTAGCTAAAAATACTTTATCTACATAAGTGTAATATTTTTTTTATATAAGTATGTAATTAGACATATTTTATACATTTTAACAAGAAAAAAAAGATAGAATATATAGCATTTTTGTATGTACATTAATAGAAAATGGTGATGGGAATCCTTAGGCTAAGTCTCAGTCTCAAATGTTCACAAAAACATCACGTTTTCCTTCCGGGCTATATGGAGCTCGATAAAGCTAATATCGCTCCACTACCACGGACGTGGGCCGCCACTGAACCTCCTTGTCCTGGTCCTTGTCCAATGTGAGAGTGCTCTCGGCAAAAGCGGCATTGAGGTTGCCTGCCAACTGCGGCTGATCCTGCTGGACACTGGTCATGGCCACATTGGTGGTAATGTTGCCCTTTCGGTTGCTGCAAGTATAAAATTCGAGTTATTCATAACATAAATTTCTATAACTACTATATATATTTTTTCTAGATTACCTCTTTTGCTTGCGACAGGCTACCATGGATACGAGCACGGCCAGAATAATGATGGCGGCCAGCAATCCGGACAGTCCCGCCACCATGGTCATCATTCCATGGGGCTCGCCGTCGGATGTGACCTTGGTAACTGCAGGAGGGGCGAGAGAGAAAGCGGATAGGTGAGCAGGTGAGTGAGTGAGTGATTGGGAGCGACTTGCTGCTCCAATTTGGCAGGTGTGAAGCGTAAATTGCCGCAAGGTCGCCTGTAAAGCTGTATAAAGTTGGGGGTTCACTTTTTAAAGGCCTTTTAGTATATTAGAAAGTTGACTAATTTGTGTTTTTTTTAACTTACTATTTAAGCTTTACAGTGCAAGTCTGACTATTGAAATCATATATTCAAGCTAAATGGAAGTTTAATTTGTATTTAATAATAATAATATTCTGCAAAAGTTTTAAACTAGTTCAAAATAACGTAAACATTTTTCATCTCTATCAACTCAAGCAATTTTAACCACTTCTAATACCATTCTTTTTGTTCAGTGCAGTAGGCTTATAAACACTGTTTACGATGCATTGTGTTTCAGGGCCGACGACCATTGAACTTCAACTTGACGCTGATCTGACCTGGAGGCCTCAGATCGGATTCGGATTCGGTTTCGGATTCAAATTCGAATTCGAATTCCGTATTCGATGCCGCAGACGCACTTCCGGATTTTCCAAGCCGGAAGTAGGGGTAGCCATTCAGCCTTTCACCTTATCAATATTTCACTTTTTTAAACTCACTCGAGTCTTCCACAACGAAACGCTTGGTGTTTGGCGAGGACTGAACATAGCCGCCCAGTTCCATTTTTAGGTCCATATTCTGAAAGTATTTTAAAATTATTAACTTAAAATTTGTAGGCTTTTCTTATAAATATTTTTAATATCCATTTAAAGTTCCAGTGTAGAAAAACGAAAAGAAAAACGAGAGGAGGCCGTGAAACATCTGAGTAAATGCAGTTAGCTAACTGCAGCGATCAAATAAACAAATAAAGCGAACATAATACAGTGCAGCCTCCCTAAAGTGATTAGAAAACTGTAATTTAGGAATTGTAAGCTTGCAATTTAAACTTTCATATAAAAATTCCTAATTAAAAAATCTTCTTATACTTCAAGGCCTAGACATTCGAGAGTTTTTTGAACAGCTCGGTTCGTTGCATGTCCGAATTTCGCAAGTTTGAACTGCCGAATTTCGACTGTGTGCGCTGGCCCAGTTGCAGCAACCGCAAACGCAGACCCAGCAGCAGCAACAGCAACAGCAACAGCAATAGCAACAGCAGCAGTAACAATAGCAACAGCAACAGCGACAACAACAGCAGAAACAGCAACAGCAGCGGAAAAGCAGAAAAGCATAATGAGGCGCTCGATCAACTTTAGTCCGGTATTGATTTTGTTGTTGTTGGCCAATCTCCTCTGCCAACGTCGCTGTTAGCGTGCTAATTAATTGGACTGAGAAGCCTAAGCCGACGTCGCTTATCAGCCAGCAGAGGGCAATAATTCTGCCAGCAGTGTGAGTTGTCAGTGATTTATTTGGTCATAATTAATTTGATTTTATTGTTTACAGGCCATGCTTTTAAGGCAGTGATCCTCGGTTGACTGACAACTCACTAACTAGCTGCTTTGACAGTTTACTTCCTTAAAATATTTATTATTTATAAATTGACCAAATAATGCCCAATAAGTTGACAGAAGTGGTAGTTAAGATGTTTTTAAGAGGTGTTGTAAGGTCTTAAAACTAAATTAATTTTATAATATAACATTATAGGCATATGCTTTTTAATTTACTCTAAAACAGACCTACATATATGGGTCTGTTTCAGTCAACTATTTGTCTACATAATATAGTTTTTGTCTTTGAAACCCCTGGAAAATGTCATATATTATATTTAGTTGCCTAAACAAAAAATGTTGTATTGAGTTAATTATAGTACATTTTAAGCTTCACAGCAGCACTTGGCCATAAACCAAAAATAAATTAAAGTGTTTTATGGCATTTAGGGAACTTTATGTCTTTTTTTGACAGACTGGCTAACGTGTTCCGAGTTCTGTTAAAAATAAAGAAGTTCGCTGGCGATATCTTTTCAACTTGGATAAGGTATTATTATCTTTCACGTTTGGCAATTAGTCGAAGATTGAATGTGTTTGGCTGTTGACTAGTGAGAAAAAAGAGAGATAACCCATAAAATCCCTTTTAAATTGGGAAGTATCACCGGCTGTCACTCATTATTTAGTGGTTTCTTTCTAAACGAGCGATCTGGAGGCCCGAAAAGGAAGATTGATTGGCTCATGATTGGAATTTAAAGGCCCGCCTGATTAGCACTTTTTTTATTTTTATTTTTTATTGTATTCCACACGCCGTGCTGCATGCAAATCGGAGAAATAACTATCGAAAACTAAGTTCAACGCAAAAAGAGCTGAAGATATGTACATATATAAAATTCACCAAAATACGCGGAAAAAGCGATGTATGAAGAAACCATTTTATTTAGGCTTTCCTGGAATTATAATAAATAGTTTGGTATTGTTTAAAGCTTAAGCAAAAAATAAATAAATCAGGAACCATAATTTACAATTCAGCAAATAATTTGGAATATGTTTTATTTATATTTTAAAAATACAACTTTGTTAATATTTAATATATTTATTATTAATAACTGTTGTTATTATACCCCTGCAGGGTATTATAATTTTAGTCAGAAGCTTGAAACCAAGTGAAGGACTCATTTCCGACCCTATAAATCATATATATTCTTGATCAGCATCACCAGGGGAGTCGATCTAGACATGTTTTAGAGAAAAAAAAATTTATTTTTTTTTTTCAAAATTTTATAAGGGTTACATCGTTAAAATTGTCAAAAATTAGCAAAAATTTGAATTTTTTTAAATTTTAACTTGAGTATGCAGATTTATAAACCTAACAAAAACTAACATAGGAAAGCTTTCCGATTGGAAAATAATGCATTTTTGACTGAGTAATGACGGATTTTCTCCGCAAAGGTATATAAATTTCATTTTCAGTTAATTTTGCTATTCTTAAAACTGTTTTGAACACATAACCCCCGACAAAAATTCCATTAAGCAGCAAAAACTATTATTATTAAACAGTTAAGCCCAATTTTTCTTTGCCCTGCCGAAGTATAGTACATATAATTATATATAGTATTTAGATAGCATTTCCGTGTGGGATCAGGAAGGAACGGGGGAGTGAGAATCGCATGCCAAATCGCTGGAGAAATGCGGGCACGATTTTCAGTCACATTATAATATAATATATATTTAAAATTTCTATATAACATATGAATGTACATATAGCTAATATATGGAGAGTCGCATCTTCTGTTGTGGCCCGCCTGCGCCATTATTAATTTAATTAATTTAATCATTTGCGGTGGCAAACAATTTACAATTTAATTGCACAAATTAAGGCTTATAAATAGCACTAGCTAGAAATTCGGTGGCAATCATAGTTTTTAATTTAAATAAATATAAATTCGTCTGGGCGGCGTAACGAACTTGATTCGTTGGTTTGCACTGTCATTAAATTCGTACTAATCAATTGATTATCAATGATAATTTCTGATCGGAACGGAAGATCTTGAATTTCGAGAGCACTTTGCATATGGATATTAGGTAATCGGATTGGAGAGTCCACTTACAATTTCTCCGTGTGATATGGGGTTCTTTGAGACTATCTTGATTATCAATTTCCTTTTTACTTATTTATTTATTTTATTTTTTATTATTTTCTTAACTGTGAACTAACGCCGCCGACTTTCAGCGATCGACTAATGCGCTCTACGTAAAGCTGAAACGTAACTTTCGATTGCGCCAAAAGCTGAGAAGTCGCAGTCGCTGTTAGCGTCAACGTTAGCAGCTCAGTTGGCGTCGACCTGATCGACGAGGAAAGGGAATTAAACCCTCGGTATTATCAAAACTCAACCAATATTATTGGTTGAGATATTATTGAAATATTAACCATATATATCTTGGAATATTAAAAAAGCAAGCCAAAGAAATAAGACATAAAAACATCAAGGGTATAATATATTTAAATTGTGATAAATCATTCCACAATTAAGCTTTACAATATAGCTAAAAATTTCTCTAAACTCTTCCAGAATGTATAGTATATTGTTTCTTAATTTAAATATTCATTATTGTAAATTATAAATAATTATAAATAAAAGTTTGCCTGAAAATTTGGATTATATTAAAACAAAACTTTTCAGTAATCCATAAAAAACATCTAATATTCAATTAATTTGAAATATTAAAAAAAACAACTACAAAATAAAAGTGTTTATACAAAAATGAGAACTGTAACTATTAAAAGGTTTATTCAAGATAAAAACATTTTAAGAAATCAAAAATAAATAAAGAAATACCTGCTGATAATTTCCTGAATATGTGTTGAGTAAATTCATACAATAACTTTAATTAAAATATATAATCATTAAAAATAAACTTTAAGCTAACTGAGATATACAAAAATATGCACTATATAATTTATAAGTATTAGAAAATCAAAATACTATCAACAGAGAAGGGGCATCTCCGAATCGGTCTCAGAATTGCAATCTTTTTGTCAAGTTGAGCTGGGCAACTATACTAAAACGATCTTAAACCCAATTAAAATATATAGCAAACGCAATGGAATCGAAATTGGAATTGAATTTGAAATTGTAGCCAAATGAAAGCGATGCCGGCCCCTCAATGTCACAGCGAACAAAACAGCTCACTTGCAGGTAACTTACTGGCCATAATGGTTATAGTAATAGCCATTGTAATAGTAACGACAGTAGATCAAGGCAACGCGGTCTCGGGGGTTGGGTTCGGGAAGATCTTCTCTGCCCCTGAGACATGATTTATCTATTTGCCGATAGCCGATAGATAGCTGTTAGCTGATAAGCAGCATAGAACACGACCCCATCGGGGAGACACAAGAAAAGAATTTGCGATACATGGCGCCTTCTCCACAACAAAATACTACATTCTTAACCGCATGTAAGGGCGGCAACAGCAGCGGGAAAGTTAATAGAAACCATATTGATAATATATAGAAAATAAGGTGGATATATAATAGTTTCTCAAAATGTTTAATATCGAAAAATATCTTTTTTAATGTTATAAAATTGATGTTTTAGGAAATATACTTTTTATTTGTTTACACATTTGCTATATGATTATTACAGATATCAAAATCAACCTATTAACTCCAAAATATCAATTTATCTATTGTATTTTGTGACAAGTATCGATACGATAAGTTCCTTTATATATTCTACGAGAAATTTGTATATTAATATCGCCTATTATTGAAATTATTTAAATATAAGCCCCATTGTTTCATGCCAAGTTGTTATGTCTGTCAACAGATATATGTATAGTATGTTAGAACCTCCGGCCACGCCCCTTTTGCCAACAAATGGGCAACAGACACAAGTGTTTTCGCAATGACGCAGATGGGCAGGCAACTATTGGCAAAACAGTTTTTCGGTTTTCTCCCTGCAAACAACAATCAAAAGTAATTTCCATCCGGTATTGAGGAGGGCCTCATGCTCCGACTCTTAATGAATCATCGGATATTTTGGGGACACAAGCACTAATCTACAGCAACTAACACTTTCTATAATATTTCATAAATAACAAAAATTGATTTTCAACAAATCGTAGTAATTTATTTTTATTATGCTGTGATTCTGCGATTTTCACCATCTAATTAAAGTCACACTGAGATTGTATATTATTAAAGTCATGTTTGAGCTGATAAGATTCCAAATTGAATGGTAATCGCAAAAGACAACAAATCTGATAGGTTATCTAATTGGTAGTTAATACTAAAGGATCGGGATCCTTTTTTTTTAAAGGTGGTTTTCCCAGTTATCGGTGAGAATTTTCATAGAAAAATTTTGGACTTTCTAATCAATTCAGATGCCAGCCGGACAACTTGTTGAAATTTCGCCAACTCATCTCCGGTGTAGTAGTGTAGTACACGGCGAGAAATAATCATAAATCCTAGGAAGTACTATTTTTAGCCAAAAGTTTGACTTAATGGAAAGTTTTACAATGGTTTTAATATTTTAGCAGGTGTTTGTACATTTGTTTAAGGTACAAGAAGAAATTGCTCTGTACACTGGAAATGAATTATATGTATGTATATTTACACCATTTATTTCCAGAAATATTTATTATTTAAGGAGTATATCAATTTAATTTTTATATTTATTAAAATAACAAATTATACATTTCTATTGCAATAATTAATTCAGATTTTATTGGTAACACACTACATTTTTGGTATTTCTCTGAAGACGATTTTGGAGTGCAGATCAATGTTTCAAAAAGTCATAACTTAGCTAAAAATGGATTAAATTTAATTTGGAAAGCCGTTCTATGTTAGTTTTTAGTATGTTTATTAATCTGCATACTGTGTTAAAAAAAATAAAAAACCTCAAATTTTGATCATTTTTTGTTTTAATTTTTGACGATGTAACCCCTTATAAAATTTTGTAAAAATCAAAAATTTTTAAATTGTTTTGAATATTACTAGATTGATTAGGCTTTTAGTGCTGATCAAGAATATATATGATTTATGGGGTCGGAAATGGCTTATTCACTGAATATAAGTAAAATACTCAGTCAGCTTATACTAATTTAATAGGTTGTAAAATAAGCCAAAACTTTTAAGCCACTTGCCCATTAGTTTTTCTTTTAAATCTCTAATAATAATATTAAATATTATTTTATACAGTTAATAAAAATTCATAATTATGTACCAGTGTACACGCAACTCGTCAGACTTTCTTGTTTTTATTGTGTCTTGCCTTTATTTTATTTATTTTTGAACCCTTTCTTTAAAAAATGTATATTTTAATTCCTGGACATTTTTCCTTAACTCTGAAAAATATTTTTAGTTTAAAAATAAAAAATATATACGTGCGAGATTTTTCGTCATTATTGTATTTATAATGAATTGCCTTTATTTTAATAATTTATTTATGATCTCTTGCTTTAAAAAATTTATATTTTAATTTCTGGACATTTTTCTTTAATTCTAATTTTTTTTAGTTTGCAAAATAAAAAAAATTTAAAAGTATATGTGCAATTTTCTGGTGTCGAGTGCGACATTCATACGCAGTCAAACTAAAAAAAACATGTGCCAAGACTTTATTGTAATTTTACAAAATTTGAAACGTAGAGCTCTTGGTTAGCACTATAATTGGTGCTAATACCGATTTTGGGCCCTTGTTCGTTTTCAAGATATTCATATTAAAAATACTCGTTTTAAGCAATTTTAAATTTTTGCCCGCGGTGGACCTTTCTGGAGAATTGCGATATATAAAATAATATTTTTATGAGTGTGGGTTCGAGTGTTCTCGTATTAGCCCTATCCGGAGGGGCTATGGATTTCCAAAAAAATCATGACAACAGCAAGTGATAAACATATATTCGCAGTGACGTCGGCGCGTGGCAAACAAATTGCTAAAAATAATACCCAATCGTCGGAGCACTTTTAGACTAGGATCTCCCCAAATAATAATAGTATATATAATGGTCAATCAGTGGGCCAGACTGCCGGCCACTTGGCATCATTATCTCTGGCCCAGATAGGGCTTTGTTTACGGCCCTCCAAGAATCGGCTTTCTCGCCCTCGTCCCATGAATTTGCGTTTTAGAAAATTGCAAAAAGAAATAAAAATAAATAGAAAATAGAAAACAGAAAGCATTTGTTGCTGTCTCTACATCTCTCTCTACTAGATTGTTTTCTTTTTCTTTATCAACAATTACAAATGTGTTCATTTAAAATCAAGCCAAAGTTGAAAGAAAATATTTGCCAGACGATGCAATTTATCAGCAAGTGGCAGATGCAGTTGGCTAATGGCTAATGGCCAAGTGCGGTTTGTTTGGCCAGCAAATAGGGAATAGTAAAAGTTATAGTAATAGTTACTAGTACCTAGTACCTTTTGTTTTAATGACTTCTTACGTGGCGGAGAATCTGTGTATTTCCGGCACGTATTTTCCACTTCTCGGACTTAATTATAAGTTGAGTACGACTACCATAATTAGAATGTCCATTGAGGGAGAGTCAAGTCCCTATTTTATGTATTGCTCAAGTTGAATACAATTCATTGATTGTAACCCTTAGTTTTACGTTTTCCTTCCCTTATTATTAACCAAATAGAAATATAATGAGTAAATGTCTAAAGAAGTCTCATAAATACTTCCTTCATTCTACTTTCAAAAATACCTCTATTTATTCTTGATTTAAACCCACAGACGTTATGTTGGCCACATTCCCAAATAATATATATTTATATATATGTTATCATATTTCTTCTTTGCAGAATGCATTGTCGCATTCGAGACAAGGGTCCCATCAACATAAAGACTTATTTCTGAAATGTTTCAATCGTTTCCTGATCTGCAGTCTGCCGTTAGATCCCGATCAATTGAAACGCCGGATATAGCGGCTATAAGTCAGTATCTAACAAGGAGAGGGTTTGTAGGGACTGGAACCGTTGACTGAGGCTTGCAATTTATTTAATTAAATGCATTTTAAAGGCAGACACACCACTCACATTGTTCTCCTCCGTTTGTTCCGATTGTTCCGATACCAAAATAAACCCAAACGAAACACACAAAATACGAAAATAAACAAAACTGAAAATCTGTTCCTCACAATCAGCTCACTGTGTCGGTTTTTTTTGCAGTTTTGTGTAATGACACAACAATTTACAAACAATTTTTCAATGCAACGCGTTGCAACGCGACGAGATTCGAATTATTTACAACCGAAATTGTTACGTTAATTAATCTTTGTGTATTTAGTGTCGTGTTATTTTTTACGGTTTGTTTTTTTTTTGAACCCAACTGAACCAAACCGACGACGTCAGAGGCATCGGCCCCAATGAGGTCCCCTCTCTCTCAGTCTATACTGTATGGGTGGGATATATATGATGTACATATATCCGATATATACATTTATTTCATTCCTATGCCTTGTCTTTAAAAATAAACAAGAGTCACTGGCGGTGCTGGGAAATCGGAAAATGCCCCGAAGTTACCCCCGATTTAAAGCTAGTTGAGTGGGTGCACGTGCAAAATTCGTGACAGAATTGGCAAATTCCTAATTGCAGATTGCATATTATTTCATATGTGTCTTTATTAAGTATTACATATATCTGAAGTATAACCGCTCCCGGCCAAGACAATTTATGTAAATTCTCAATACTTACGGTTTCCTCTTATTTCCGGAGCTTCATTGTTACACCAAGAAAATAGTTTAATATTAAAAAAGAGATATTTTAGTATATAAATAGAGAGCTAAATAGTGTCATAATAATTACTTCTGTTGATGCCGTATATTTAAAATAAAGGCAAGTGGTTAGATTTTTTTGTGATCCTAATGATACTTTAGCGTCTGTGTTTTAACATTTTTCTACTTTATCGTTTGAATTTTAAGATGTAATTTAAATTGTAGTTTTTTAATAGATTTAAACAAGCAATGAAGCAAACATTGGAGGCCAATGCTTGTATATGCTTATAGTTTACAATTGAATCAAGGATCAAATCGAAAGTCGATCATAACTAAGCTAAAATGCATTTATTTCAAATCGGAAAACTGTTCTCTGCTAGTTTTCATTAGGTTTACAAATCTACATACTCAATTTAAAATATAAAAAACTTAAAATTTTCGCAAATTTTTAAAAATTTTAACGATGTAACCCCTTAAAAAATTGTGACCCCATCGCTGACTAAAATTAAATAAAAACCTGCAAGGTCATAAGATTAATAAAAATTAAAGTACATTATTTATCAATATTCTCAACTTCCTTTTAATCTTGTTTCACTCTTAATTTGTATATATTTTTCGTCAGTGCAGCTTTCCATTGACGCAAGTCGCCGTCAACGGCAACAATAGTAGCGGTAATAGCAAAAAGTAGCAAAAAGCTAGAAAGGAAGGTAACTTTGAAAAACCGAAGTGTGTATACCCTTGCAGTTCTCCACACCATTATAGGTTCGAATGTGAAATAGATCATAACCAAACCAAAGATTATTTTATTAAAATTCCAGGATATTGGGATTTAATGTAATGCATTTTTCACAATTTGAAAATGGGGTCCATGGCAATAAGGAAATTAATTGGGGTCGAACAGCAATCACCATCACTGTCACTATCACTAAAGATGTAACCAGCTGGGAGGCCGCGGTCAGAAGTAGGGCGAAGTGAAAGCAGTGCCTGTATTTATAGTTCCCAAGCAAAGGGATCAGAGAAAGTGAGAGCGAAAGATCAAGGGACATCTCTAGAGATAGTCAGAGCGAAAGGGAAAGATAAATCTGTAGAGATATATAGAGAGAGATAATGAGAAATAGATCTCTGGAGATACACAGAGAGAGATAGACATACTATACATTTAACAGATCGACTCTGCCTGTTAATGCTGATCGAGAATATGACTCCTTCACCGCGTTGCAAAGTTCTAACTACAATTATAATACCCTTGCAAGAGTATAAAAATAACAAAATGCCACCAGCAACAATTACTTGTGATAACAGCGACATTAATTTTATTGTCAAAAAGCATCCACCCCCGCGATTGTCCCCCCCCCACCGTCACCCGTCACCCGTCACCCGTAAGCCCGTCCCACGCCCATTACCCTCCCATCCCACCACCTCCTATCCCTCTCACATAAATCCCACCGATAAATTGCCGTTGCGACTGATAAATTACACTAATCGCTCGGCGGTGGCGACGTTTGAGCTTTGTTTGGCCCGCCCCACCCAGTCCCACCCCCTCTCTCTCTCTCTGTCCAGCCGCCTAGCAGCACACGGCACGATCTCGGAAAGCAGATGATCCGATCATGGGGATTATATATGGTATACATAAGACCTCATATTAAATCGGGGAATGGAGTCGATCTTCTCAACTTGAATCTGAGATGGAAATAAATAATAAAAGCTACTAGCATATAGACATATAGACTAGGTACATGGATGCATTGACTCTGTATGGGATTTCTTGTGGATTATCCTTTACGGATATTGTGGTTTATTATATTGTTGCTATTTTAATCCAAATCGTACAAGCCGGAGATATATGCTGGTATATAAGAGAGATAGAGACAACTCCTGCTTTCAGTCCTGACGGAGGCCATCGGGAAGAACTCTCAGCAAATTGTGCCGCTCCGGGATCGGTTGGTCGGGACCTAGAGGGATCCAATACTAGAATTCTTCTTCTTGTTCATGCCGAGGTACCCCCACCAGGAGCTGCGTTTAGCGGAACGCCCATTGCTAATCCCTCCTGCAGATCCGCCGGCGGGTCCACTAGTATTGGGTACCATCGAGCCGCTGGCAGGTATGTCACTGGTAGCTCCTCCGCCTGGCCCAGCCGCCACCGACTTCCTAGCCTCCGAAGCCATGGTGTTTACACTGGGGGCCAGTTGGTTGCCCACATTGAATGTCCCGTGGCTGGCCGCAGCGGCTGCAGCGGCCGCGTTGCTCGACTTGATGGACTTGGATGACTTCACCTTGCGCACATTTTCCACGGACATCTGGGGCACATTGGCCAGGCTGGGACGCACGGAGGCGCCTTGAGGAGCAGCGTTAGCGCGATGCCGACGGCTGCCGCCAAAGAATTTGCCAAAGCACATCCTGGTAGTGGATCCGGAAGCGAACGCGGCAGCAGATTAGATGCAGCTATGATAGCAGAAGAGGATACGGAATACTGGGCTTCTGAATAAATTTTGAGGAATTGTATACTTCTAAATCTTTTGAATTTTGATACGAAAGCACATAGCCGAGAATCAAGGGTGAAACTGACAGTTGGCCAGGGTACGGAGATGGTTGCCTACTAGGATGAGCTGTGTTTTTTGGTTACATAGTTCTTAAAATTGTTAAAACACATGTATGATAAAGGGACGCCTTACTAGTTTTTTCTTAAATATTTAAATACTAATTACATCTGTGCGTATACTTAATTTTTTGAGGGACTGCTGTATATTCCTGAAATAAAATCTAAACAAATTTTTTTAAATTGTATTTGTTCGTCTTCATGGAAGCCATCTAGAGGCCAAAAATCTAATGATGACAAATTTCATTCAAATTTTAAAAGACAACGGAATGATGTTGTTGCAATAAAAGAGTTGTTGTTGTTGTTGTTGTAGGCTACAGCGAGGCTTCAATTTGAACAAATTCAGTTCAAATTCGTCAATTTTTCGATTTGAAGTACCAGGCGAAAAGCAGGCAGCAGCTAGCAAATATATGCACTCCCAAAAGCATGCAATTCCAAAATTCAATATTTTTGTAGAGTGACCAGCTCCTTTTTACTACTTTTGGCTAATTATTGTAGTAAGGTATTTTGATTTTGTGCTATCGTTATCGGTGTATCTCGATAAATGAATATCGGCTGTTCTTCTGTCAGGAACGGGATCGTAAAAATAAATGTTAGTTTTATATATTAAAACGTAAGAAACGAGCTGTGGACAGCAGCGCAAGATAAAGACAGTTAAGGACAATCTGCGCAAGAACTGCATGGTCGTCAGCCACTGGATCCAATATGCGCAGTGGGAGGAGCAGCAGCAGGACATCCAGCGGGCGCGTTCTATTTGGGAGAGGGCGCTGGACAACGAGCACCGGAAAGTGAAGCTCTGGCTAAAGTACACTGAGATGGAGATGAAGAACAAACAGGTGAACCATGCCCGCAACATATGGCGCCGTTACCAAAATGCCGCGCGTCAACCAAATCTGAGATTATCCAGTGCAATGTGACCCAGACGCCCCCTAAGGCTCGGACCCAACTGGACGCACTTGCCCCGAAGCAGCAGCAACAGCAGAAGCAGCAGTTGGCGGTAGCCACTGCTCAGTTGCAGCAGGAGCAACAACTCACATCAGCGGCTCTGCAATGCCTTGGAGCCCCGATCCTGCCCCACAATGGCACCCAGATACGTCCGGCTAGCTCGGTGTCCACGCAACTGCCCAAAACCCGAGCTTGTTCAACGGCAAAATGCGTACCAAGCAGCAGCCGGGGCGACCTGCCTTGTCCGCCCTGAAGACGGAGAACGGCCAGTTGGCGGGCCAGAACAAGGTGGTGGGTCACATGGCCACAGTACAGCAGCAACAGCAGGCGACGGCGAATCTCCAGCAAGTGGTCAACTTGGCGGGCAACAAGTGAGTAATCTGAGACACCTTGGGCCAGATCATCGAGCTAACTGATTACCTTTGGATCATTACAGAATGGTTGTGATGAACATGACGGGCACTACCCTCCAAAACGGGCAGACTCTCCACGCACTCACTGCGGTAGTGGACAAACAGCAGCAACAATAGCAGCAGCAATTGCAGTTGATTCAGAAGAAGCAGTATCTGCAGCAGCAAATGTTCCAATCCCAGGCGCAGGCCCAACAGCTGCAACAACAACAGCAGGAACCACCCTCCCTGACAGCCACAACGCCCTCGCCCACCAAGAATCCCATCCTGGCCATGACCTCCATGATGAATGTCACAGTGGGGCACCTGTCAAGCGCTCCACCCGTCACAGTCTATGTGACCTGCACAGCTGTCACTCCACCGCCAGGCCAATTGGTGACCCTCACTAGTGTCAGCACGCTCACTAAGGAGACGCCTTCGAAGACGGCCACCCTTGTGCCCATTGGCTCGCCCGTGACGCCCGCATCCCTTTCAACTCCCGAAATCCTGAACACCAGCCAATGTGAGTGCATCCGCGGAGGCCAGCAGTTCCACCGGCGAAGCCCTGCCCAACGGAGAAGCCACTGAGGCGCTTCGAGGAGGGCCAGAGCGCGCATCATGTCCAAATACGCGCTGGACCACCTGCCCAAGGACCGAACCCAGGATCTATTTAAGGCCTACACCATACACGAAAATAAGTACGGCAATCGGAATGGCATCGAGGAGCTGATACCGCACAAGCAGTTCACATTCAGCAAGCTGTGGCTGCTCTACGCCCAGTTCGAGATCCGCTACAAGGAGCTGCAGCGGGTTCGCAAGGCCCTTGGCCTGGCCATCGGTATGTGTCCGCGCGACAAGCTCGTTTTCGGCTACATCGACCTGTAGATCCAATTGCGCAAGTTCGAGCGCTGCCGGCTGCTGTACGAGCAGTTCCTGGAGTTCGGACCGGAGAACTGTATCACATGGATGAAGTTCGCCGAGCTGGAGAACTTCCAGGACAACACGGAGCGGAGCAGCACCGCTGTGGCGGCGGCACTCTTTTCTTACGTGTGTATACATAAAATTAACTAACTTTCAATTTTACAGTCCCGTTCCTGAAAGAAACGGCTTATTTTCATATATCGATATATACCGATAACGACAGCACAAAATCAAAATACCTTTGTACGATAACGAGCCTAAAGTGGTGAAACATGAGCTGGCCATACTACAAAACGCTTGTGAAAAATAAGCTGGTCACACTACAAAAAAGCTTTAAATGTAAGGATGGCAGACTAGCTTATTTCAAGATAGATTTAAAGCTCTGCTACAATATTGGTAAAGGGACATCTCTAATTTGCACCTCGTGCAGTAAAATTATTTTATTTTATAATTAAGTTAGAATAGAAATACAGAAGCTATGGAACGGCCCCAAAAGATGGCCAAGGTTAGTGTGGAGGATGGAGTGAGCGGACAGCTTGAAAAGAAGTCCTAATTCATCACATCGTTTGTTTCGCTTTTATTAGGTGAACAACATGGCGCCAGCGGAGGTGCAGATAACGGCAAAGTAGCTGCTCCATGAGGCCAAGAAACGGGACTTGGAGATTCAGGCCCAACAGCAGCAGCAAGTGACCGCCCAGCAAAAGCAGGCGGCGGCGCAGGCTCAGCAGCAACAGAGGGAACAGCAGCAGCAGCAGCAACTGGTCAAATCCCAGGCGCAGGCCCAACAGCAGCAGGCGCTTGCCAACGCCACTCAACAGATCCTACAGGTGGTCCCAAACACCTTCATCACCTCGCATCAGCAGGCTCAGGCGCAGCAGCAACAGCAACGGAGGCGCTGAGGCGCTTCGAGGAGGGCCAAAGCGCGCATCATGTACAAATACGCGCTGGGCCACCTGCCCAAGGACCGAACGCAGGAGCTATTTAAGGCCTACACCATACACGACAAGAAGTACGGCAATCGGAATGGCATCGAGGAGCTGATATTGCACAATAGTTCACATACAGCAAGCTGTGGCTGCTCTACGCCCAGTTCGAGATCCGCTACAAGGAGCTGCAGCGGGTTCGCAAGGCCCTTGGCCTGGCCATCGGTATGTGTCCGCGCGACAAGCTCGTTCTCGGCTACATCGACCTGTAGATCCAATTGCGCAAGTTCGAGCGCTGCCGGCTGCTGTACGAGCAGTTCCTGGAGTTCGGACCGGAGAACTGTATCACATGGATGAAGTTCGCCGAGCTGGAGAACTTCCAGGACAACACGGAGCGGAGCAGCACCGCTGTGGCGGCGGCACTCTTTTCTTACGTGTGTATACATAAAATTAACTAACTTTCAATTTTACAGTCCCGTTCCTGAAAGAAACGGCTTATTTTCATATATCGATATATACCGATAACGACAGCACAAAATCAAAATACCTTTGTACGATAACGAGCCTAAAGTGGTGAAACATGAGCTGGCCATACTACAAAACGCTTGTGAAAAATAAGCTGGTCACACTACAAAAAAGCTTTAAATGTAAGGATGGCAGACTAGCTTATTTCAAGATAGATTTAAAGCTCTGCTACAATATTGGTAAAGGGACATCTCTAATTTGCACCTCGTGCAGTAAAATTATTTTATTTTATAATTAATTAAGTAAGAAAAGAAATACAGAAGCTATGGAACGGCCCCAAAAGATGGCCAAGGTTAGTGTGGAGGATGGAGTGAGCGGACAGCTTGAAAAGAAGTCCTAATTCATCACATCGTTTGTTTCGCTTTTATTAGGTGAACAACATGGCGCCAGCGGAGGTGCAGATAACGGCAAAGTAGCTGCTCCATGAGGCCAAGAAACGGGACTTGGAGATTCAGGCCCAACAGCAGCAGCAAGTGACCGCCCAGCAAAAGCAGGCGGCGGCGCAGGCTCAGCAGCAACAGAGGGAACAGCAGCAGCAGCAGCAACTGGTCAAATCCCAGGCGCAGGCCCAACAGCAGCAGGCGCTTGCCAACGCCACTCAGCAGATCCTACAGGTGGTCCCAAACACCTTCATCACCTCGCATCAGCAGGGTCAGGCGCAGCAGCAACAGCAACGGAGGCGCTGAGGCGCAATCCCAGGCGCAGGCCCAACAGCTGCAGGCGCTTGCTAACGCCACTCAGCAGATTCTACAGGTGGCCTCAAACACCTTCATCACCTCGCATCAGCAACAGCAGCAGCAACTACATAAGCAACTGATCCAGCAGCAACTGCAGCAACATGTCCAGGCGCTTGCTCAGGGGCAGCTGCAACAGCAACGGGAGCAACAACAGAACATCATCCAGCAGATTGTTGTTTCAGGCGGAAGGACTCCCGAGCAGCAACAGCAGAACTCGGGTCAGCTGCAACTGAACAGTGTGGCCTTTACGGTGTCCTCGACCACGACGCCAGCCGGAATAGCCGCAACAACAGCAACAGCAGGAACCACCCTCCCTGACAGTCACGACGCCTTCCCCCACCACGAATCCCATCCTGGCCATGACCTCCATGATGAATGTCACAGTGCACATGTGCACCTGTCAAGCGCTCCACCCGTCACAGCCTCTGTGACCAGCACCGCAGTCACTCCACCGCCAGGCCAATTGGTGACCCCTCACTAGTGCCAGCACGCTCACTAAGGAGACGTCTTCGAAAACGGTCACCCTTGTGCCCCTTGGCTCGCTCGTGACGCCCGCATCCCTCCCAACTCAGGACAGAAGCGAGACGCCGAAATCCTCAACACCAGCCAATGTGAGTGCATCCGTGGAGGCCAGCAGTTCCACCGGCGAAGCCCTGCCCAACGGAGAAGCCACTGAGGCGCTTCGAGGAGGGCCAGAGCGCGCATCATGTCCAAATACGCGCTGGACCACCTGCCCAAGGACCGAACGCAGGATCTATTTAAGGCCTACACCATACACGAAAATAAGTACGTATAATAATAAAATAAGTATAAGGAGGGCGAGCGCGACCAGATCCGCGAGACGTACGAGCGGGCTATTTCGAATGTGCCGCCGGCGTACGAGAAGAACTTCTGGCGGCGCTACATCTATCTTTGAATCAACTACGCGCTGTACGAGGAGCTGGAGGCTGAAGATGCGGAGTGCACGCGCCAGATATATAAAACCTGCCTGGAGCTGATACCACACAAGCAGTTCACATTCAGCAAGCTGTGGCAGCATTGTGGCATGTGCAGCATTGACGATCAGCTGACATGGAGCCATGTGCAGCATTGACTATCGATTGCTGGCATGCAACCAATTCCAGCTTTGACTATCGATTGCTGGCACGGAACCATGTGCAGCTTTGACATCCTACGTTTTAGGTTATGGTGAATGCACTCAAGAGCAACCACAGGATCAGGATGAGCTGGATGAAGACCAGAGGCTGCTGGTCACAGCCCGTCAATATTGCAGACCACTCCGCTCCTGCTGCCCATTGATGACCTATTTAACACATTTTCGCTAGCCTCTAGCGAGAACAGCGCCAAGGAGAAGAGCCTCGATGATCCGCATTCTGGTGACTTGGGCATCGCGGCATTCTCGCAGATCAACATCAACATACAGTCCAAGCCGGAGCATCCGCTCATGTTGACCGTGGTCACCCGCCATGAGCAGCGTTACATTGGACCCAACTGCCTCCACATGACACCAGAGCCGCCGCAGCAGAAGCTCATTACCAGGACCATTTCCACTCCGCAGCTAAGCTGACTGGCTGCAATGGAGCTGTGTCGCCACCGCACCCACCACCCTCGTCCATGCTCAAGGCCATTCCGCCGCCACCGGTCCAAACTGCTGGATCCCAAGCGCCCAGGGCACCATCTGGAGCGCGCTTGACGAAAGCATGTATAACAACATGGAGTTGGAGTCCGTAGACAAACTCTTTTCGGCTTACCAGAAGAATTGGGATTCGGTGCGTGCCTAGTAAAGATTCCTCTGAAAGATCTTCACTTATTTAATGTTCTCCTCTCCTTCCACAGGCCACCGATGGCTCCTATGAGGATCTGCGTGTAACTGACGGCAAGCAAGCAAAGCAGAAGGTGCTCTCAGTGATCGATGGACGCCGGGCCCGGAACTAAAATATTGGTGCTTTTGTCCTGGCAGGATTTCCCAATACGAGCAAAAGCAGAAGAAACTCCACTACAGAAAGCGCTTTATGCCGACGGTCAACGATTTTATACCGCGCATCACCAGTGTAATGGAGGCTTACCGCGAAATGACCAGTTCCCGACGTCTGCGCAAGCTCCTTGAGCTGGTTCTGGTTTTGGGTAATCTGTCCATTCATCCTTTCGTTTATTTTCACTATTTAAGTGCATTCCCAAATACCACAGGCAACTACATGAACCGCGGGGCACGTGGCAACGTCTCCGGATTCCGACTAATCTCACTTAATCACCTGGCCGACACCAAGTCCAGTGCCGCCAAGGGCACCAGCCTGGGCGTAAATTCAAGGATCCACTGAAGCTGGAGGATGACATTCTGCATGCCCGTGAGGCTGCCAAGGTGTCGCTGAGAGAGATGGGCAAGGATATCCAGATGCTGCGTACCGGCCTGGCGGATGTGGCACGGGTAATCGAGTTCCATCGAAGTTCTGGCCCCGCCCAGCAGGGTGATCGCTTTTTGCCCGTCATACGGGAGCTCCACGCCTCGGCCTCGGTGCGCTTTGCTGAGCTGGAGGACAAGTTCCAGGACATAAGACTGGCTTACTTTGTTTTGTTTAATAAGACAATGAATAAATGTAATTAGTCATTCCCATATGGCGGCTACTAATCGTTTACTTAAATTTGGCAATTTGTTGTGGTAAATTCAAAATGATTATTGTCAAAGAGTTGTTTATTGTTGTTGTTCTCGGCAAAAACAAGAATTTACTTCGCTCAGTTTCAGTACAAAATCGCCAATTTCTGGATCTGAAGTACCAGGCGAACAGAAACCGCAGAAAGCTGATTAATTTTAGTGCAAAAGCTTCAAATTAGAGCTGTCCCTTTAGCTATATTGTAGCAGAGCTTTAAATCTAGCTTGAAACAAGCTAGTCTGTCAGCTTTATATTTAAAGCTTTTTTGTAGTGTGACCAGCTCATTTGCCACAAGTTTTTTCTAGTATGGCCAGCTCATGTTACAGCACTAAAGGCTCGTTATCGTACAAAGGAATTTTGATTTTGTGCTATCGATATCCGCGTATATTGATATGTGCAAATAGGCTGTTGTCAGGAACGGGACCATAAAATTAATTGTTGTTCATTTTATATATAAACACGTAAGAAAAGAGTGCCGCCGCCACAGCGGTGCTGCTCCGCTCCGTGTTGTCCTGGAAGTTCTCCAGCTCGGCGAACTTCATCCATGTAACACAGTTCTCTGGTCCGTACTTTAGGAACTTCTAGTACAGCACCCGGCAGCAAAAGACACATACGCGCGGACACATACCGATGGCCAGACCAATGGCCTTACGAACCCGCTGCAGCTCCTTGTAGCGGATCTGCTGGATGATGTTCTGTTGTTGCTCCCACTGCTGCGCCTGGGACTGCGCCTGAACAAGCGCCTGAACCTGTTGCTGCTGGATCAATTGATTATGTAGTTGCTACATCTGTTGCTGGTGCGAGGTGATGAAGGTGTTTGAGGCCACCTGAAGGATCTGCTGAGTGGCGTTGGCAAGCGCCTGCAACTGTTGGGCCTGCGCCTGGGATTGGACCACTTGCTGCTGCTGTTCCCTCTGTTGCTGCTGAGCCTACGCCACCGCCTGCTGTTGCTGGGCGGTCACTTGCTGCTGCTGCTGCTGGGTGACTTGTTGTTGCTGCTGCTGCTGTTGGGTGACTTGTTGTTGCTGCTTCTGCTGTTGGGCGTGAGGTGCCAACTTCTGCTGCATCTGGAGGGCTGCTGGAACATTTGCTGCTGCCGATACTGCTGCTTCTGAATCAATTGCTTTTGCTGTTGCTGCTGCTGTTTGTCCACTCGTGTCGTGCTCATCACAACCCTTCTGTAATGATCCAAAGGTAATCAGTTAGCTCGATGATCTGGCCCGAGGTGTCTCAGATTATTCACTTGTTGCCCGCCAAGTTGACCACTTGCTGGAGATTCGCCGTCGCCTGCTGTTGCTGCTGCACTGTGGCCATGTGACCCACCACCTTGTTCTGACCCACCAACTGGCCGTTCTCGGTCTTCAGATCGGACAAGGCAGGTCGCCCCGACAGTTGCGTGGACACCAAGCTGACCGGACGCACCTGGGGCCATTGTGGGCCAGGATCGGGTCTCCAGGGCATTGTAATGCCGCTGAGTTGTTGCTGCTGCTGCAACCGAGCAGTGGCTACCGCCAACTACTGCTTCTGCTGTTGCTGCTGCTTCGGGGCAAGTGTGTCCAATTGGGTCCGAGCCTTAGAGGGCGTCTGGGTCACATTTCACTGGATAATCTCCGAGGAAACCGCAAAGAGCATTCATAATTAGGACCAGTTGGAAATGATTACTAGTATAAAGTGTCTTACAGTTCTGCTGCGTTTGCAGGGTCTGCGTGGCCGATTGTCGGATAAACATGCCCGAGGCTCCGTCTGGCTGGCCCCTCAGGATGACCTGGTTCGAGCTGAAGGACTGCAGTCCAGCCGTAGTGCGAACTTCATCCATGTGATACAGTTCTCCGGTCCGAACTCCAGGAACTGCTCGTACAGCAGCCGGCAGCGCTCGAACTCGCGCAATTGGATCTACAGGTCGATGTAGCCGAAAACGAGCTTGTCGCGCGGACACATACCGATGGCCAGGCCAAGGGCCTTGCGAACCCGCTGCAGCTCCTTGTAGCGGATCTCGAACTGGGCGTAGAGCAGCCACAGCTTGCTGAATGTGAACTGCTTGTGCGGTATCAGCTCCTCGATGCCATTCCGATTGCCGTACTTCTTGTCGTGTATGGTGTAGGCCTTAAATAGCTCCTGGGTTCGGTCCTTGGGCAGGTGGCCCAGCGCGTATTTGTACATGATGCGCGCTTTGGCCCTCCTCGAAGCGCCTCAGTGGCTTCTCCGTTGGGCAGGGCTCCCGTTGCTGTTGCTGCTACGCCTGAGCCTGCTGGTCGAGGTGATGAAGGTGTCCAATCCCACCTGGGGCCACCTGTAGGATCTGCTGAGTGGCGTTGACAAGCGCCTGCAGCTGTTGGGCCTGCGCCTGGGATTGGACCAATTGCTGCTGCTGCTGCTGCTGCTGCTGTTGGGCCTGAATCTCCAAGTCCCGTTTCTTGGCCTCATGGAGCAGCTACTTTGCCGTTATCTGCACCTCCGCTGGCGCCATGTTGTTCACCTAATAAAAGCGAAACAAACGATGTGATGAATTAGGACTTCTTTTCAAGCTGTCCGCTCACTCCATCCTCCACACTAACCTTGGCCATCTTTTGGGGCCGTTCCATAGCTTCTGTATTTCTTTTCTTACTTAATTAATTATAAAATAAAATAATTTTACTGCACGAGGTGAAAATTAGAGATGTCCTTTTACCAATATTGTAGCAGAGCTTTAAATCTATCTTGAAATAAGCTAGTCTGCCATCCTTACATTTAAAGCTTTTTTGTAGTGTGACCAGCTTATTTTTCACAAGCGTTTTGTAGTATGGCCAGCTCATGTTTCACCACTTTAGGCTCGTTATCGTACAAAGGTATTTTGATTTTGTGCTGTCGTTATCGGTATATATCGATATATGAAAATAAGCCGTTTCTTTCAGGAACGGGACTGTAAAATTGAATGTTAGTTAATTTTATGTATACACACGTAAGAAAAGAGTGCCGCCGCCACAGCGGTGCTGCTCCGCTCCGTGTTGTCCTGGAAGTTCTCCAGCTCGGCGAACTTCATCCATGTGATACAGGTCTCCGGTCCGAACTCCAGGAACTGCTCGTACAGCAGCCGGCAGCGCTCGAACTTGCGCAATTGTAGCCGAAAACGAGCTTGTCGCGCAGACACATACCGATGGCCAGGCCAAGGGCCTTGCGAACCCGCTGCAGCTTCTTGTAGCGGATATCGAACTGGGCGTAGAGCAGCCACAGCTTGCTGAATGTGAACTGCTTGTGCGGTATCAGCTCCTCGATGCCATTCCGATTGCTGTACTTCTTGTCGTGTATGGTGTAGGCCTTAAATAGCTCCTGCGTTCGGTCCTTGGACAGGTGGCCCAGCGCGTATTTGTACATGATGCGCGCTCTGGCCCTCCTCGAAGCGCCTCAGTGGCTTCTCCGTTGGGCAGGGCTTCGCCGGTGGAACTGCTGGCCTCCGCGGATGCACTCACATTGGCTGGTGTTGAGGATTTCGGCGTCTCGCTTTTGTCCTGAGTTGGGAGGGATGCGGGCGTCACGGGCGAGCTAAGGAGCACAAGGGTGGCCGTCTTCGAAGGCTTCTCCTTAGTGGGCGTGCTGGCAATAGTGAGGGTCACCAATTGGCCTGGCGGTGGAGTGACTGCGGTGCTGGTCACAGAGGCTGTGACGGGTGGAGCGCTTGACAGGTGCACATGTGCACTGTGACATTCATCATGGAGGTCATGGCCAGGATGGGATTCGTGGTGGGGGAAGGCGTCGTGACTGTCAGGGAGGGTGGTTCCTTGTGTTGCTGTTGTTGCGGCTATTCCGGCTGGCGTCGTGGTCGAGGACCCCGTAAAGGCCACACTGTTCAGTTGCAGCTGACCCGCGTTCTGCTGTTGCTGCTCGGGAGTCCTTCCGCCTGAAACAACAATGTGCTGGATGATGTTCTGTTGTTGCTCCCGTTGCTGTTGCAGCTTCCCCTGAGCAAGCGCCTGGACATGTTGCTGCAGTTGCTGCTGGATCAGTTGCTTATGTAGTTGCTGCTGCTGTTCCTGGTGCGAGGTGATGAAGGTGTTTGAGGCCACCTGTAGAATCTGCTGAGTGGCGTTGGCAAGCGCCTGCAACTGTTGGGCCTGCGCCTGGGATTGGACCACTTGCTGCTGCTGTTCCCTCTGTTGCTGCTGAGCCTACGCCACCGCCTGCTGTTGCTGGGCGGTCACTTGCTGCTGCTGCTGCTGGGTGACTTGTTGTTGCTGCTGCTGCTGTTGGGTGACTTGTTGTTGCTGCTTCTGCTGTTGGGCGTGAGGTGCCAACTTCTGCTGCATCTGGAGGGCTGCTGGAACATTTGCTGCTGCCGATACTGCTGCTTCTGAATCAACTGCAATTGCTTTTGCTGTTGCTGCTGCTGTTTGTCCACTCGTGTCGTGCTCATCACAACCCTTCTGTAATGATCCAAAGGTAATCAGTTAGCTCGATGATCTGGCCCGAGGTGTCTCAGATTATTCACTTGTTGCCCGCCAAGTTGACCACTTGCTGGAGATTCGCCGTCGCCTGCTGTTGCTGCTGCACTGTGGCCATGTGACCCACCACCTTGTTCTGACCCACCAACTGGCCGTTCTCGGTCTTCAGATCGGACAAGGCAGGTCGCCCCGACAGTTGCGTGGACACCAAGCTGACCGGACGCACCTGGGGCCATTGTGGGCCAGGATCGGGTCTCCAGGGCATTGTAATGCCGCTGAGTTGTTGCTGCTGCTGCAACCGAGCAGTGGCTACCGCCAACTACTGCTTCTGCTGTTGCTGCTGCTTCGGGGCAAGTGTGTCCAATTGGGTCCGAGCCTTAGAGGGCGTCTGGGTCACATTTCACTGGATAATCTCCGAGGAAACCGCAAAGAGCATTCATAATTAGGACCAGTTGGAAATGATTACTAGTATAAAGTGTCTTACAGTTCTGCTGCGTTTGCAGGGTCTGCGTGGCCGATTGTCGGATAAACATGCCCGAGGCTCCGTCTGGCTGGCCCCTCAGGATGACCTGGTTCGAGCTGAAGGACTGCAGTCCAGCCGTAGTGCGAACTTCATCCATGTGATACAGTTCTCCGGTCCGAACTCCAGGAACTGCTCGTACAGCAGCCGGCAGCGCTCGAACTCGCGCAATTGGATCTACAGGTCGATGTAGCCGAAAACGAGCTTGTCGCGCGGACACATACCGATGGCCAGGCCAAGGGCCTTGCGAACCCGCTGCAGCTCCTTGTAGCGGATCTCGAACTGGGCGTAGAGCAGCCACAGCTTGCTGAATGTGAACTGCTTGTGCGGTATCAGCTCCTCGATGCCATTCCGATTGCCGTACTTCTTGTCGTGTATGGTGTAGGCCTTAAATAGCTCCTGGGTTCGGTCCTTGGGCAGGTGGCCCAGCGCGTATTTGTACATGATGCGCGCTTTGGCCCTCCTCGAAGCGCCTCAGTGGCTTCTCCGTTGGGCAGGGCTCCCGTTGCTGTTGCTGCTACGCCTGAGCCTGCTGGTCGAGGTGATGAAGGTGTCCAATCCCACCTGGGGCCACCTGTAGGATCTGCTGAGTGGCGTTGACAAGCGCCTGCAGCTGTTGGGCCTGCGCCTGGGATTGGACCACTTGCTGCTGCTGCTGCTGCTGCTGTTGGGCCTGAATCTCCAAGTCCCGTTTCTTGGCCTCATGGAGCAGCTACTTTGCCGTTATCTGCACCTCCGCTGGCGCCATGTTGTTCACCTAATAAAAGCGAAACAAACGATGTGATGAATTAGGACTTCTTTTCAAGCTGTCCGCTCACTCCATCCTCCACACTAACCTTGGCCATCTTTTGGGGCCGTTCCATAGCTTCTGTATTTCTTTTCTTACTTAATTAATTATAAAATAAAATAATTTTACTGCACGAGGTGAAAATTAGAGATGTCCTTTTACCAATATTGTAGCAGAGCTTTAAATCTATCTTGAAATAAGCTAGTCTGCCATCCTTACATTTAAAGCTTTTTTGTAGTGTGACCAGCTTATTTTTCACAAGCGTTTTGTAGTATGGCCAGCTCATGTTTCACCACTTTAGGCTCGTTATCGTACAAAGGTATTTTGATTTTGTGCTGTCGTTATCGGTATATATCGATATATGAAAATAAGCCGTTTCTTTCAGGAACGGGACTGTAAAATTGAATGTTAGTTAATTTTATGTATACACACGTAAGAAAAGAGTGCCGCCGCCACAGCGGTGCTGCTCCGCTCCGTGTTGTCCTGGAAGTTCTCCAGCTCGGCGAACTTCATCCATGTGATACAGTTCTCCGGTCCGAACTCCAGGAACTGCTCGTACAGCAGCCGGCAGCGCTCGAACTTGCGCAATTGTAGCCGAAAACGAGCTTGTCGCGCAGACACATACCGATGGCCAGGCCAAGGGCCTTGCGAACCCGCTGCAGCTTCTTGTAGCGGATATCGAACTGGGCGTAGAGCAGCCACAGCTTGCTGAATGTGAACTGCTTGTGCGGTATCAGCTCCTCGATGCCATTCCGATTGCTGTACTTCTTGTCGTGTATGGTGTAGGCCTTAAATAGCTCCTGCGTTCGGTCCTTGGACAGGTGGCCCAGCGCGTATTTGTACATGATGCGCGCTCTGGCCCTCCTCGAAGCGCCTCAGTGGCTTCTCCGTTGGGCAGGGCTTCGCCGGTGGAACTGCTGGCCTCCGCGGATGCACTCACATTGGCTGGTGTTGAGGATTTCGGCGTCTCGCTTTTGTCCTGAGTTGGGAGGGATGCGGGCGTCACGGGCGAGCTAAGGAGCACAAGGGTGGCCGTCTTCGAAGGCTTCTCCTTAGTGGGCGTGCTGGCAATAGTGAGGGTCACCAATTGGCCTGGCGGTGGAGTGACTGCGGTGCTGGTCACAGAGGCTGTGACGGGTGGAGCGCTTGACAGGTGCACATGTGCACTGTGACATTCATCATGGAGGTCATGGCCAGGATGGGATTCGTGGTGGGGGAAGGCGTCGTGACTGTCAGGGAGGGTGGTTCCTTGTGTTGCTGTTGTTGCGGCTATTCCGGCTGGCGTCGTGGTCGAGGACCCCGTAAAGGCCACACTGTTCAGTTGCAGCTGACCCGCGTTCTGCTGTTGCTGCTCGGGAGTCCTTCCGCCTGAAACAACAATGTGCTGGATGATGTTCTGTTGTTGCTCCCGTTGCTGTTGCAGCTTCCCCTGAGCAAGCGCCTGGACATGTTGCTGCAGTTGCTGCTGGATCAGTTGCTTATGTAGTTGCTGCTGCTGTTCCTGGTGCGAGGTGATGAAGGTGTTTGAGGCCACCTGTAGAATCTGCTGAGTGGCGTTGGCAAGCGCCTGCAACTGTTGGGCCTGCGCCTGGGATTGGACCACTTGCTGCTGCTGTTCCCTCTGTTGCTGCTGAGCCTACGCCACCGCCTGCTGTTGCTGGGCGGTCACTTGCTGCTGCTGCTGCTGGGTGACTTGTTGTTGCTGCTGCTGCTGTTGGGTGACTTGTTGTTGCTGCTTCTGCTGTTGGGCGTGAGGTGCCAACTTCTGCTGCATCTGGAGGGCTGCTGGAACATTTGCTGCTGCCGATACTGCTGCTTCTGAATCAACTGCAATTGCTTTTGCTGTTGCTGCTGCTGTTTGTCCACTCGTGTCGTGCTCATCACAACCCTTCTGTAATGATCCAAAGGTAATCAGTTAGCTCGATGATCTGGCCCGAGGTGTCTCAGATTATTCACTTGTTGCCCGCCAAGTTGACCACTTGCTGGAGATTCGCCGTCGCCTGCTGTTGCTGCTGCACTGTGGCCATGTGACCCACCACCTTGTTCTGACCCACCAACTGGCCGTTCTCGGTCTTCAGATCGGACAAGGCAGGTCGCCCCGACAGTTGCGTGGACACCAAGCTGACCGGACGCACCTGGGGCCATTGTGGGCCAGGATCGGGTCTCCAGGGCATTGTAATGCCGCTGAGTTGTTGCTGCTGCTGCAACCGAGCAGTGGCTACCGCCAACTACTGCTTCTGCTGTTGCTGCTGCTTCGGGGCAAGTGTGTCCAATTGGGTCCGAGCCTTAGAGGGCGTCTGGGTCACATTTCACTGGATAATCTCCGAGGAAACCGCAAAGAGCATTCATAATTAGGACCAGTTGGAAATGATTACTAGTATAAAGTGTCTTACAGTTCTGCTGCGTTTGCAGGGTCTGCGTGGCCGATTGTCGGATAAACATGCCCGAGGCTCCGTCTGGCTGGCCCCTCAGGATGACCTGGTTCGAGCTGAAGGACTGCAGTCCAGCCGTAGTGCGAACTTCATCCATGTGATACAGTTCTCCGGTCCGAACTCCAGGAACTGCTCGTACAGCAGCCGGCAGCGCTCGAACTCGCGCAATTGGATCTACAGGTCGATGTAGCCGAAAACGAGCTTGTCGCGCGGACACATACCGATGGCCAGGCCAAGGGCCTTGCGAACCCGCTGCAGCTCCTTGTAGCGGATCTCGAACTGGGCGTAGAGCAGCCACAGCTTGCTGAATGTGAACTGCTTGTGCGGTATCAGCTCCTCGATGCCATTCCGATTGCCGTACTTCTTGTCGTGTATGGTGTAGGCCTTAAATAGCTCCTGGGTTCGGTCCTTGGGCAGGTGGCCCAGCGCGTATTTGTACATGATGCGCGCTTTGGCCCTCCTCGAAGCGCCTCAGTGGCTTCTCCGTTGGGCAGGGCTCCCGTTGCTGTTGCTGCTACGCCTGAGCCTGCTGGTCGAGGTGATGAAGGTGTCCAATCCCACCTGGGGCCACCTGTAGGATCTGCTGAGTGGCGTTGACAAGCGCCTGCAGCTGTTGGGCCTGCGCCTGGGATTGGACCACTTGCTGCTGCTGCTGCTGCTGCTGCTGCTGCTGCTGCTGCTGCTGCTGCTGCTGTTGGGCCTGAGGTGCCGCCTGCTGCTGTATCTGGAGGGCTGCGATCTGCTGCTGGAACATTTGCTGCTGCCAATACTTCTGCTTTTGAATCAACTGCAATTGCTGCTGCTGTTTGTCCACTCCTTTGTTCTGACCCGCCAACTGGCCGTTCTCCATCTTCAGGGCGGACAAGAGAGGTCGCGCCGGCTGCTGCTTGGTACGCATCTTGCCCTTTAGCAAGCTCGGGTTCTGGACCGTTACGTGGACACCGAGCTGACCGGACTCACCTGGGTGCCATTGTGGGCCGTGGATCGGGTCTCCAGGGCATTGCAGAGCCGCTGATATGAGCTGTTGCTGCTGCTGCAACCGACCAGTGGCTACCGCCAACTGCTGCTTCTGCTGTTGCTGCTGCTTCGGAGCAAGTGTGTCCAGTTGGGTCCGAGCCTTAGGGGGCGTTGGAAATGTTTAACAGTATAAAGTGTCTTACAGTTCTGCTGCGTCTGCAGCGTCTGCGTAGCCGGTTGCCGGATAAACATGCCCGAGGCTCCGTCTGGCTGGACCCTCAGGATGATCTGGTTCGAGCGGAAGGACTGCAGTCCAGCCGTAGGGCGAACTTCATCCATGTGATAGTGTTTTGGTTCGAACTCCATGAACTAGTACAGCACCCGGCAGCTGTCGAACTCGCGCAATTGGATCTCCAGGTCGATGTAGCCGAGAACGAGCTTGTCGCGCGGACACATACCGATGGCCAGGCCAAGGGCCTTGCGAACCCGCTGCAGCTCATTGTAGCGGACCTTGAACTGGGCGTAGAGCAGCCACAGCTTGCTGAACGTGAACTGCATGTGCGGTATCAGCTCCTCGATGCCATTCCGATTGCCGTACTTCTTGTCGTGTATGGTGTAGGCCTTAAATAGCTCCTGGGTTCGGTCCTTGGGCAGGTGGCCCAGCGCGTATTTGTACATGATGCGCGCTTTGGCCCTCCTCGAAGCGCCTCAGCGCCTCCGTTGCTGTTGCTGCTGCGCCTGAGCCTGCTGATGCGAGGTGATGAAGGTGTTTGGGACCACCTGTAGGATCTGTTGAATGGCGTTGGCAAGCGCCTGCTGCTGTTGGGCCTGCGCCTGGGATTTGACCAGTTGCTGCTGCTGCTGCTGTTCCCTCTGTTGATGCTGAGCCTGCGCCGCCGCCTGCTTTTGCTGGGCGGTCACTTGCTGCTGCTGCTGCTGTTCCCTCTGTTGCTGCTGAGCCTGCGCCGCCGCCTGCTTTTGCTGGGCGGTCACTTGCTGCTGCTGTTGGTCCTGAATCTCCAAGTCCCGTTTCTTGGCCTCATGGAGCAGCTACTTTGCCGTTATCTGCACCTCCGCTGGCGCCATGTTGTTCACCTAATAAAAGCGAAACAAACGATGTGATGAATTAGGACTTCTTTTCAAGCTGTCCGCTCACTCCATCCTCCACACTAACCTTGGCCATCTTTTGGGGCCGTTCCATAGCTTCTGTATTTCTTTTCTTACTTAATTAATTATAAAATAAAATAATTTTACTGCACGAGGTGAAAATTAGAGATGTCCTTTTACCAATGTTGTAGCAGAGCTTTAAATCTATCTTGAAATAAGCTAGTCTGCCATCCTTACATTGAAAGCTTTTTTTGTAGTGTGACCAGCTTATTTTTCTCAAGCGTTTTGTAGTATGGCCAGCTCATGTTTCACCACTTAAGGCCCGTTATCGTACAAAGGTATTTTGATTTTGTGCTGTCGTTATCGGTATATATCGATATATGAAAATAAGCCGTTTCTTTCAGGAACGGGACTGTAAAATTGAAAGTTAGTTAATTTTATGTATACACACGTAAGAAAAGAGTGCCGCCGCCACAGCGGTGCTGCTCCGCTCCGTGTTGTCCTGGAAGTTCTCCAGCTCGGCGAACTTCATCCATGTGATACAGTTCTCCGGTCCGAACTCCAGGAACTGCTCGTACAGCAGCCGGCAGCGCTCGAACTTGCGCAATTGGATCTACAGGTCGATGTAGCCGAAAACGAGCTTGTCGCGCGGACACATACCGATGGCCAGGCCAAGGGCCTTGCGAACCCGCTGCAGCTCATTGTAGCGGATCTCGAACTGGGCGTAGAGCAGCCACAGCTTGCTGAATGTGAACTGCTTGTGCGGTATCAGCTCCCCGATGCCATTCCGATTGCTGTACTTCTTGTCGTGTATGGTGTAGGCCTTAAATAGCTCCTGCGTTCGGTCCTTGGGCAGGTGGCCCAGCGCGTATTTGTACATGATGCGCGCTCTGGCCCTCCTCGAAGCGCCTTAGTGGCTTCTCCGTTGGACAGGGCTCCCGTTGCTGTTGCTGCTGCGCCTGAGCCTGCTGGTGCGAGGTGATGAAGGTGTTTGGGGCCACCTGTAGGATCTGCTGAGTGGCGTTGGCAAGCGCCTGCTGCTGTTGGGCCTGCGCCTGGGATTTGACCAGTTGCTGCTGCTGCTGCTGTTCCCTCTGTTGATGCTGAGCCTGCGCCGCCGCCTGCTTTTGCTGGGCGGTCACTTGCTGCTGCTGTTGGGCCTGAATCTCCAAGTCCCGTTTCTTGGCCTCATGGAGCAGCTACTTTGCCGTTATCTGCACCTCCGCTGGCGCCATGTTGTTCACCTAATAAAAGCGAAACAAACGATGTGATGAATTAGGACTTCTTTTCAAGCTGTCCGCTCACTCCATCCTCCACACTAACCATGGCCATCTTTTGGGGCCGTTCCATAGCTTCTGTATTTCTTTTCTTACTTAATTAATTATAAAATAAAATAATTTTACTGCACGAGGTGAAAATTAGAGATGTCCTTTTACCAATATTGTAGCAGAGCTTTAAATCTATCTTGAAATAAGCTAGTCTGCCATCCTTACATTTAAAGCTTTTTTGTAGTGTGACCAGCTTATTTTTCACAAGCGTTTTGTAGTATGGCCAGCTCATGTTTCACCACTTTAGGCTCGTTATCGTACAAAGGTATTTTGATTTTGTGCTGTCGTTATCGGTATATACCGATATATGAAAATAAGCCGTTTCTTTCAGGAACGGGACTGTAAAATTGAAAGTTAGTTAATTTTATGTATACACACGTAAGAAAAGAGTGCCGCCGCCACAGCGGTGCTGCTCCGCTCCGTGTTGTCCTGGAAGTTCTCCAGCTCGGCGAACTTCATCCATGTGATACAGTTCTCCGCTCCGAACTCCAGGAACTGCTCGTACAGCAGCCGGCAGCGCTCGAACTTGCGCAATTGTAGCCGAAAACGAGCTTGTCGCGCAGACACATACCGATGGCCAGGCCAAGGGCCTTGCGAACCCGCTGCAGCTTCTTGTAGCGGATATCGAACTGGGCGTAGAGCAGCCACAGCTTGCTGAATGTGAACTGCTTGTGCGGTATCAGCTCCTCGATGCCATTCCGATTGCTGTACTTCTTGTCGTGTATGGTGTAGGCCTTAAATAGCTCCTGCGTTCGGTCCTTGGGCAGGTGGCCCAGCGCGTATTTGTACATGATGCGCGCTCTGGCCCTCCTCGAAGCGCCTCAGTGGCTCCGTTGCTGTTGCTGCTGCGCCTGAGCCTGCTGATGCGAGGTGATGAAGGTGTTTGGGACCACCTGTAGGATCTGTTGAATGGCGTTGGCAAGCGCCTGCTGCTGTTGGGCCTGCGCCTGGGATTTGACCAGTTGCTGCTGCTGCTGCTGTTCCCTCTGTTGATGCTGAGCCTGCGCCGCCGCCTGCTTTTGCTGGGCGGTCACTTGCTGCTGCTGTTGGGCCTGAATCTCCAAGTCCCGTTTCTTGGCCTCATGGAGCAGCTACTTTGCCGTTATCTGCACCTCCGCTGGCGCCATGTTGTTCACCTAATAAAAGCGAAACAAACGATGTGATGAATTAGGACTTCTTTTCAAGCTGTCCGCTCACTCCATCCTCCACACTAACCTTGGCCATCTTTTGGGGCCGTTCCATAGCTTCTGTATTTCTTTTCTTACTTAATTAAATATAAAATAAAATAATTTTACTGCACGAGGTGAAAATTAGAGATGTCCTTTTACCAATATTGTAGCAGAGCTTTAAATCTATCTTGAAATAAGCTAGTCTGCCATCCTTACATTTAAAGCTTTTTTGTAGTGTGACCAGCTTATTTTTCACAAGCGTTTTGTAGTATGGCCAGCTCATGTTTCACCACTTTAGGCTCGTTATCGTACAAAGGTATTTTGATTTTGTGCTGTCGTTATCGGTATATACCGATATATGAAAATAAGCCGTTTCTTTCAGAAACGGGACTGTAAAATTGAAAGTTAGTTAATTTTATGTATACACACGTAAGAAAAGAGTGCCGCCGCCACAGCGGTGCTGCTCCGCTCCGTGTTGTCCTGGAAGTTCTCCAGCTCGGCGAACTTCATCCATGTGATACAGTTCTCCGGTCCGAACTCCAGGAACTGCTCGTACAGCAGCCGGCAGCGCTCGAACTTGCGCAATTGTAGCCGAAAACGAGCTTGTCGCGCAGACACATACCGATGGCCAGGCCAAGGGCCTTGCGAACCCGCTGCAGCTTCTTGTAGCGGATATCGAACTGGGCGTAGAGCAGCCACAGCTTGCTGAATGTGAACTGCTTGTGCGGTATCAGCTCCTCGATGCCATTCCGATTGCTGTACTTCTTGTCGTGTATGGTGTAGGCCTTAAATAGCTCCTGCGTTCGGTCCTTGGGCAGGTGGCCCAGCGCGTATTTGTACATGATGCGCGCTCTGGCCCTCCTCGAAGCGCCTCAGTGGCTCCGTTGCTGTTGCTGCTGCGCCTGAGCCTGCTGATGCGAGGTGATGAAGGTGTTTGGGACCACCTGTAGGATCTGTTGAATGGCGTTGGCAAGCGCCTGCTGCTGTTGGGCCTGCGCCTGGATTTGACCAGTTGCTGCTGCTGCTGCTGTTCCCTCTGTTGATGCTGAGCCTGCGCCGCCGCCTGCTTTTGCTGGGCGGTCACTTGCTGCTGCTGTTGGGCCTGAATCTCCAAGTCCCGTTTCTTGGCCTCATGGAGCAGCTACTTTGCCGTTATCTGCACCTCCGCTGGCGCCATGTTGTTCACCTAATAAAAGCGAAACAAACGATGTGATGAATTAGGACTTCTTTTCAAGCTGTCCGCTCACTCCATCCTCCACACTAACCTTGGCCATCTTTTGGGGCCGTTCCATAGCTTCTGTATTTCTTTTCTTACTTAATTAAATATAAAATAAAATAATTTTACTGCACGAGGTGAAAATTAGAGATGTCCTTTTACCAATATTGTAGCAGAGCTTTAAATCTATCTTGAAATAAGCTAGTCTGCCATCCTTACATTTAAAGCTTTTTTGTAGTGTGACCAGCTTATTTTTCACAAGCGTTTTGTAGTATGGCCAGCTCATGTTTCACCACTTTAGGCTCGTTATCGTACAAAGGTATTTTGATTTTGTGCTGTCGTTATCGGTATATACCGATATATGAAAATAAGCCGTTTCTTTCAGGAACGGGACTGTAAAATTGAAAGTTAGTTAATTTTATGTATACACACGTAAGAAAAGAGTGCCGCCGCCACAGCGGTGCTGCTCCGCTCCGTGTTGCCTTGGAAGTTCTCCAGCTCGGCGAACTTCATCCATGTGATACAGTTCTCCGGTCCGAACTCCAGGAACAGCTCGTACAGCAGCCGGCAGCGCTCGAACTCGCGCAATTGGATCTACAGGTCGATGTAGCCGAAAACGAGCTTGTCGCGCGGACACATACCGATGGCCAGGCCAAGGGCCTTGCGAACCCGCTGCAGCTCCTTGTAGCGGATCTCGAACTGGGCGTAGAGCAGCCACAGCTTGCTGAATGGGAACGGCTTGTGCAGTATCAGCTCCTCGATGCCATCCCGTTTGTCGTACTTCTTGTCGTGTATGGTGTAGGCCTAAAATAGCTCCTGGGTTCGGTCCTTGGGCAGGTGGTCCAGTCCGTATTTGTAGATGATGCGCTCCCGGTCGTGCTCCTTCCGGCCCTCCTCGAAGCGGGCAAATGCAACGAACAGTCGCTCCTGGATTTACTCATCGAAGAACTCCACTGCCCGATCGAAGACACGCTGCGTGCCATGGATGAGGTCGTGGGACGCCTCGAACTTGGCGAACTTGGTCCAATTCTTGACGTCCGGATGCACGTAGACAAAGCGGTCATAGACCTCGCGCGCCCGATCAATCTCCTTGAAGCGCAGCTCGAAATTCACGTACGTCTGCCACGCCTGCTCCTCTGGCTGCCACTCCATCCAGCACTTAAATACCTGCCGCGCCCCGGTCGGCACTGCGGGCGCTCGAATGGTTTTGGACTTACGTTGCGCGAGTTACAATTCATCGTTCGGCACTAGTTTCTAACGTTTTAATATACAAAATTAACCAACATTTAAGAACACACGATATCACAAAACAAACCTTGGTACGATAATTAGCCAAAAGTAGTGAAATATGAGCTGGTCACACTACAAAATATTGCATATTTTGGAATTGCATACTTTCGGGAGTGCTTGTAGCATACTTCTAGGCTATATAATGAATTTGCACAAAAATAAATTTGCTTGCTGCTGCCTTCTGTTCGCCTGGTACTTCAAATTGAAAAATTAAGGAATTTGTTCAAATGGAAGGCTCGTTGAAGCCAACAACAACAACTCTTACAAAAACAACAAAGACTCTTTTACAACAACAACAACAACTCTTTTACAACAACAACCATTTTTAAAACATAGAAATGCAGGCTTTTGTATCTGGAAAGTCACAGATATAAAATTACTATTTATTTATGCCATCTCATGGAAGAGTCTGGGCTGTAATCCAAGTTAAGGAATTGCTCCAAATCTTGCCCTGCTCCAAATCCTGGCCGTCTCCCAAAGGAATCTCTGCCAGAGATCCTAGATCGATTCGTTGCTGGACCTAGACTTTTTCTTGGTTATACCAATGAAACCCCACACGGAGCTGCGTTTTCCGTGGTTCCTGTTGTTACCGGCTCCCGATACTCCAGAACCGGGGTCCACCGTGTTGGCAGCGGCAGTGCCAGCGGCGGTGGCGGCGGCACTGGCATTGTTACTAAGAGCTCCTCCGGCAGATCCAGCCGCCACAGACTGCCTCCTCTCCAGTCCCAAGCTGTTCACACTGTGGCCCATCTTGCTGTTGTTCCCAACATTGACGACGGTGACCACCCGGTTGGCAGCGGGCGGATTGACGGACTTGGCCGACTTGACGGTGCGCACAGTATCGATGGACACCTGAGGCCCATTGGCCAGACTGGGACGCGGGGAAATGCCACCATTGGCGGCAGCAGAGCGACGCCGGTTGGCGCCGAAGAACTTGTTCAGGAACTGAAAGCACATCCTTAACGCGGAAACGGAAGCAAAAGGGAAAACCAGGAACGGATAAAGAACCAGAAGTGTATCCGGATGCGGTTGTGGATGTGTCAATGGTACGAGTTACGGAGAATCGAAAGGGTTTAGCTTTTCCGCGAACGCTGTAATAGCGTTTGGGGCTAATTTTGTAAAATTTTGAGCTCTGAATATTTGGAATTTGGATTTTAGTCTACATCATACGGAATCGAAGCGAGACTGACAGCTGTCAGGGTGAGGAGATTAAAGCTACTAGGATGTTGCCTAAATTATAAAATACTTAAACACTCATATGCGGTGAAAACATTATTTTTAAATTATTCTTTTAAATGTTCTAAAATTTAAATTCTAATAAAATACATTACCCCGGGAAATGCAAGGCAGGTAGAAAATGCATTTGTTTATTTGCTGAATACGGAATGCCACTCACTAGCGCACGCATTCCTTGGAGGGCACGCACATGTGGCCCAGGAGCTATTTATAGAATACTCTCCCTCTCCGTCAGACAACAAAGCCGAGATGCTGAGGCACAATCAGTCGCAATCTGAGTTTCTAGGAGTACACACACTGAAATCTTCATCATGCAGCGATCCACGCCAATGTCCGCCTTTGGAGTTCGGGGAATGAGCCAGCCGCTGGGCATCCGTATATGTTGCTGTCGCGTCTGCACTTGCATCAACTTTGGCTTCCTATTGTCCCGAATTGGCCTGCTGAAGCTCATGCAGCTGGGACTGGCCATGCTCTGCGAGGGATTACTGATCAAGTACGGTGTGCCCTATGCGGATTCCATTGGACAGGCGCTGACCAGCTTCTTGGCCACCACTGGGCATTGCTTCACCACCAACGGGATACTACTCATATGCTATGCTTTCTCGGATAAATCGTACAATCTCATAAGGCAGTCCATGTTTGTGAGTAGTCAGGCTCCTGTAGGAAGATCAAGAAAGCTATGTATGTTAAACTATACTTTCCAAGGAGACTATATTCAATGGGCTAGCTAGCTGCATGTACTTCAGTTCGGCGAGTTACATGGGCTTTGCGTGCGTGGTGTGGCTGCATCCGCAGTTCCTGGTGCGACCAGGATTCTGGGCATATCCTGCAATGACAGCTTGTTATGTGAGTAATTAGAAAATAAACTATACTATATAAATTTGTTGCTTAAATCTTTAAAACATTTCCAGTACATGGGCTATGCAGCAGGCATTCTGCATGCCTTGGACGCCTATCTGGCTTTTCGGCATTATAGAGGAGCGCGTTAAGAAGTAAGGTTTAGGATGGAGTTACATATATATAAATACTAGGATTAATATATATATTTATATTTATTTATTAAATGAGTTTATGGGTTAAGGCACATCTTCCATCCCTCCTTTCTTCTTTCCATCGGCTATATCGCATACATTCTCACCGTATAAAGCACTGCTTAGTTGTAATGTTTATAAATAATAATGTTTTAGAATAAAAAATGGACTGGTAGTATGATTAGCACCAAAAAGGAGTGGGAGATTCAGTAACATCCGGTATCAGGCCATCTTATTAGCCTCTGCCTTGAATTTTCTGTAAAGAATTAGGACACAATACTGGGTTTTATCATAGTTAGCCTATAGGAAGACCTACTTGAGCTGCTTGAGCGCCTGGCTAGTCTCGTAGTCCGACTTGAGCAGACCAATTCGCACCCAACGTGGTCGCTCATGGATCACCTTGTGAATAAGGAACTTCAGGCCCAAAAGAAGATGCTCAAAAATCACAAATGACAGATCCGGCACCGAAGGCAGCCAGTGGGAAAAGAAGTCCCTGGAAAAGAGGAAAACCCAAGGAAAAATAACTTAAAGAGAATAGCAAAAAGATTTAATTAAGACTCACTTAACATTCGGCTGGAGGAAGAGCAGTCCGCAATTGCTAAGCAACGCCATCACCGAGAGCAGCTCAAAGGCCAGCTGCCAGGCACCAATATTCTTGGCCCGTCGGGCAAACGGACGCTTGAAGATGTTGCACAGCTTCCACATGTCAATGTGTACGGCAAATACGTTATTGAGCAGCGCTCCAATGGCGGCGAATGGGGCAACGGCGGCGAACAACACGACGAAACCAAACTGAATGCACACCTGCAGGTAGTCCTCATACGTGGAATGGTATTCATCTAGCCCGGACTCGTAGAAGGACTGCTCGTAACGCGGCACATCGCTGATGGATCGCAGCTTCTCCTCGGCAACCTCGCGGTGTCGAAATTCGGCATATTTCTGCCGGAGCACGGCCAGCAGCGGTATGCCAATCTCCTGGGCTATGCATAGCACCTGGAAGACCAGCAGCTGCATCATCAGTTGATACTTTAGCTGGCGCAGATCCTGCAGCACGAACGCTATGTAGAATTGCGAGAAGAAGTTGTTGACGATCTCGAAGAGCATCAGCTTGTTGACCCGATGCCGATCGTACTGCGACCTCGTCCGATGGTTCTCCAAGTTGGTAAGGAATGTGGCCAGCTTCTCGTATGCCCACGAGAAGATGGCAATCAGCACGGACTGAACGATGACTGGGATGTACAGCAGCCAGGATTCTGGGCCAAAGTCGGCCAGTACCTCGGCCTCGATTTGGAACTGATATAGGGCAAAGCATCCGGCGGCCACCACACAGCCAAGAACAACTGGGTAGGAGATGCAGTACATTTGCAGGTATGTATAGCGCATTGGATACTGTAGCGTCATCTTGCCGGTTATGGGATCCGGCTTCATTTGACCCTGGTAGGCGGATCGTGGCTTATCCAAGCTGTTCATCTCGATGGTGCCCCAGCGGTACGAGTAGCCGGCACACTTGCGTTTCCATAGCTCCAAAAATATCTGCAAAATATTAATATTCATTATTGAAGCTCCATTTTATATTGATTATTTATGTAATTATATTACTATTACACTGTCTATACCCTTGCAGGGTATTATAATTTCAATCAGAAGCTTGTAACGCGTGAAGGAGTCATTTCGGACCCCATAAATAATATATATTCTCGATCAGCATCAACAGGCAAACTTCCTAGACATTATTTGGCAGAAAAAAAATTTACCAGTTTTTTTTTTAAATTTTATAATAAAAACTTGCATGGGACAGCTTTCCGAATTAAAATTAATCTTTTTTTTGGCGGAGTAATGCGATTTTTGAATTGTAATAAGTCGAAAAAATTGTCGTATAAACATGTCAATAAATATAGATTTAAAGAATAAAGGAATATTTTACGAAGCTCCATTGCAAAAATATAGAATCTTTTTAAATACAAAATATTCTTTGCTTCCTTTGTATTGTTTCTAATAATTATTGTTGTATTTTTATAATTTTATTATACAATTTGCAATTCCCAGCAACAAATAAATATAGTTTTTATTATCTCCATTAAGTGGAAAGCACTAAAAAGTAATTAAAACGTTTCTATATTTAGTCACCGAAGGGTAAACAATTTCCTCAATTTATAAACTGTAACATTATGTTAGCCACATTGCTTTTATCTTTTTGATTCAAACTATTAATTAATGCATATCTGGGGCCTACTCACCGTTGTCCAGACCACATAGAAGCTGCACACCAACGATATATTCAGGTCAAACAGTACCTGGAGCAGTCCAAATACAGCAGGGAATATCAAGGCCTTCGTATAGAACTCAATAAAGCCGAAATAGAGACCGATGCTCGAGCCAAAATAATTGCGGATGTCCTCGATGGGCAGTTTGGTGCGCTTCAGGTTCCAATTAAAGCGTTCGAGATACAGCTAATCAACATAATATAAACAGAATTAAATCAGACACAGAAACTTTAAGAGTAAATGATTACTCACAATATCGTGAAGTGGAAACATATCCTCAATGTAACCCTTCTGCACGTACGACTTGATCCCATCCTGAATGACATCCTTGATTAGCACTGGGATCTCGCAGTAGCGCAGGACCTTGTCCTTGGTCATCCCCGGCAGCAGGAAATCAGAGATGCAGCCGTAATTGAACTTTTGCATGCTGTTGGTGGTGGTCATCTTCTCCAGCTCGGCAGCATCGGCCAGGCGCAGCAGGGTGTCCACGCTGGCCGACAGATATAGGTACTTTTCGGTTTTCCTAACCAAGAGAATATATATATATATATTCAATTATAATATCGATTTCATCTAATGCTTTATGCTGTCATACCCCACGATCTCCAGCGTGGTCTGGATGCCAAACTCCTGGATAATCTTCTCCACATCCTGACAGTGTCGCAGCTTAGCCTTGTCCGTGAAAATGATGACAATGTGCGTCTGTGCGGGAGAGATCATTATATCGAAGTCACCGTGATGTGGGAGAGGGGTAGGGAGGGACAGGCTAAAACTGACCTTGTCGAAGGGTCCCGCATCCGGACCCAATCCCTCGATATCGTCGCCAGAATTCAAGGTCCGCTGGCGCTGCAGCGCCTCCAATTTAAGGCTACGCTGCCGGCGGAACAGCTGGTTCTCAATGATGTTCCGGGTGCGTGGTCCAGGACCTGGGCGTTATGAATTATGATTTATCCAATTATCGATATAACCATTATGCACTCACTCTTGGCATCTTCGGACATCGTTTACGGGTGACGGCTGATGATGAGTAACAAAATAAAATAACAATGCCAGGCGGCAGCGGCTCGCATCCAAATACAGTGGCCGCTCGATGCAATGAACGGACCAAAGCTCAAAATGAGTCCCAGGTGATGGAAATAAATACGGAATATTTCCAGTTTCTGAAAGAAAATTGATCATTTAAATTAGTTAAAGAAATGCGTGTGAAAACGACATACTTACACGTGTCACACTAATGTTTTGCAGTTCGCTTTGTTCTGGCTCACTGTGCCGCGTGCGTATGTTTCAGAAGATGAACATATATTGTATATTTTGGCCCGCGCCAATGCCAAAATACAGAATTTTTAATAATGCCAAAATATTTTGAGAGACGGTCGCGAGTATTTGCGACTCTTGCCGGTTCGAGGTGCTCGGCTCGTATGTTGTTGTTGTTGCTGTTGGTGCTGCTGCCGCTCTCGTTGTCAGCGCAGCGTGACGTCATCGCGGCCATGTTATCGAGTTGGCTTAGCCTCAAAAAACGTAAATGTCATAATTGATTTAGTTTTAATTCGTTATAATTAACAAGTTTCGCGCTGTGCAACTTTGTTAGAGATGCGCGATCGCTTTGGCTTGCTTCAAGCTATATCTGGCTATAGCCAGTTTAGATATTTTAAAGCTAGAGATTGCTAGTGAATCGGTCGGTAATGCAGTACCTAATTCCAGTAAGCAGTTAAAAAATCTGGTAGCCTTGTTTTCAATCTCAAAAACCGACAATCTGGCAGCACTGCAGTTTCCTCTGTCCGGCAACGCCGGCAAACACAGCTGATTACACCTTTTTGCCGCCGCCGCGCGCTCGCCCTGAAGCATTGTGATGCAATTTTGTTGTTTTTCAGGCCTAAAAAGTGAAAGTTTTCACTGATAAGCCTACTCGAATTCCAAAACCGCCCAGCGCCCCGACCTCCAGAGCCATCCCGCTTTTGTTGGACCAAGAATTCCGAACGGCGGCGCACATGGAGCAGGGCTGAAGCTGACCCTTCCACTTCCACATTTCCATTTCCCAAAAAAAAAGAAAACCCGTCGAGTGTTCAAAAAACAGATAAGATAGAGCTTTGAGGATGCAGCGCCTCATGCCAGCGACCTGGAGTAACGGGGGCCACCTGCTGCCTTTTCGCGTCTCCACCACCACAAAGGTTTGTAGCACTCGGGGCAAAGTGCCAAGTGCCCTTTGAGCACTTCGATTTGGATATAACCCTCCTCTAATCAATCTCTGAATCCCCGGCAGGTTGTCATCTTCTCGCTGACGGCCGGCGTGGCTCTTATGGGCGTCCTCTCCCGATTTCTGCGACGACGCAAGCCGCCGCGTCCTCCTCGCCGGGCGAGGAAATACACAGGACGGCGGAACCGCAACAGCATGCGCAGTCCCAATGACCTCATATCTATAGCTGGGTCCAAGGCCTCGGCAAGATCGGGCAGTCCCGTTGGCTCAACAATTGCCTACTCCGATCGCCTGTCCATGGCCTCGGGATCAATTGGAGTTGGTGTGCTGGGCAGCAGCATAGCTGGCGGCGGCGCCGTCAGTGGACAGAATGCTGGACCCGGTGGGGGAACGATGGTAACGCAGCTTACAGCCCAACAGTTGGGCATGATGGGCATGGAAGCCCTGGATACGGTAATCAATTTCTGGGAGGATGCCCTGGCTGCGCACTATTCGCCCGGCGGTCTTCCTGCCCTGCTAACAACGGCAGAGGACTCTGAGTTCTGTCGCGAAATCCAGAATCTGCTTGAGATGGCGTATACTCTGCAGGAACAGAGCGAGTTGCTCTTCCTCGACCAGCGATCGGTGCTGTTCCGTGAGGAGCATTCCATAGACGAGGCGGAGGAGACGGGCGAGACGGACGATGACCACCGGTCACGCAAATCCGGCAGTGTTCTGAGCCGCGCTGGCTCTGATCCGAATTTCGATTCGGCGGAGAGCTTTGCATCTGCTCTCGACCAAGTGGCGGATCTGCGGGAGTTTGATGGCTTCATCGAGACCTCGTACGAGGAGTATCCTCTATTCCAGACCGCCCTCAAGCACCATGACGAGTACACGGTGCCATGTCGCACCATTCGGGCGGAACTAATGCACTGCAGCAGCGATACCGAGTATCTGGCCAAGCTGCATTGCGTCCGCTTGGCCTTCCAGTTCCTGTTCAAGGATCCGGCTGTCGGCCAATGGATCTGCGATGCCGGTCGCCAGATACTCACCGATCTGCTGTGCCTCGGCGACAAGGACACAAAAGAGTTCCTGGTGGGCTATGAGGATATGGTGAATTTCCTGCGCGACAGCAACAACTGGCCGTGCATACAGCTGGAGCTGGAACAGCGCAACGTCAAGGCGATGACCTTCTACGATATCTGTCTGGACTTTATCATCTTGGATTCATTCAAGGATTTGGATGCACCGCCTGCCAGTGTTACGGCGGTGGTGCAAAACCGCTGGCTGTCCAATGGATTCAAGGAGACGGTGAATTGATCACGCCAAGGTCCTACCTGTTTACTCACTGAACCCTCTTCATTTTCAGGCTCTTACCACGGCAGTGTGGTCGGTGCTAAAGGCGAAGAAGCGGATGCTGAAGTTTCCCAACGGCTTCATGTCTCACTTCTACGTGATATCCGAGCAGATATCGCCGCTGATGGCTTGGGGATTCTTCGGGCCCAATGAAAACTTGCGAGAGATTTGCCACTATTTCCGGGAGCAGTTGCTTGCCTTTTTGGCCGACATATTTAGCTTCCAGAAGAGTCGCTTCACTACCATCGAGGACTTCTCGCAGGACGTGCTGCAGCACATGCAGTCGCGTGTGAATAATATTGGCGTAAAGTTTAGTCAGTAGGTCGAGCTGAGCGCTAGCGCCGGTCCTTGATTTTTTATGTACTATTCTTCTACCTGGACTTCTCTTTTTTCTTTTCGGTTTGTTTAGTTCAATAGTTTCCCTAAGAATTAATGCTCCACAAAAAGTTGACTAATTTTAAAGCCTCATCCCAGCATCCAAACATCATCATGTATGATTAAGCTGCATTTACACAAATCGCCAAACACAACAATTGTAAAATAAAGCATCAAGCAAAAAAAATACAATCCAACTGCGATGTATCCATATTGGCACAAAGGGTGAATGTGAATTGCTTTTTTAATTGTTATAACTACAGTAATAATAATAATTATAATAATGAAATTTTTAAAATGAAAAGAAATTATTTGCCTTGCAGGCTTTAAACTTTAATACAATATACTTTATTTTGGTCTAATTAAAAAAAGAACGAAAGTTTGCCTAAAATCTATAGCCACAAAACTGATTTCTTTTTTACTCTTACTATAAGAATAACAATCTATGTGGCTTATTAATGCATATGGTCATATCTCACGATCAAAAACCTACTCATATGCGTTCTGACTATAAAATAAACATAATTAAGGAAGGAAGTTAACTTTACGAAACCGAAGTATGTTTACTCTTACAGTTTGCGTTTGGATCACGAAAACAAATGGGAAATCGATCATAACTAAGCCAAAAATGCATTAATTTCAACTCGGAAAGCTGTCCCATGTTAGTTTTTTTGGTTAATAAATCTGCATACTAAATTTAAAATGAAAATAAAATTCAAGTGTTTGCTAAATTTTGAAAATTCCAACGATGTTACACCTTTTAAAATTAAAAAAAAATTGGTAAATTTTATTTTCTGCCAAATAATGGATAAAAAGATTTGCCTGTTCATGCTGATCAAGAATATATATCATTTATAGGGTCGGAAATGATTCCTTTACTGATTTGCAAGCTTCTGACTAAAATATAATACCCTAAAAGGATATATAATAATATAGCAAAAGTAGCAAAGTAGTGCTAAGAAATTAATATTTGTGAGCAAATTATAAATAAGATAGGCTGTTAACTTTGAGTAGATATCATTAATACAAATTGCTTTATCACTTTAAGGGAATCGATTGGAATGCATAGCTAGCACTACTGATTCTAAATTTAAACCTGATACCTCTATTATCTATCTACAGAATATAATTATCATGGTTAGGACTTACCCCAGTGGAGGACACATGGTTATCCATTTTCGTCATTGGGTAATGCCTTCCAGTGCAGAGCTATATTCCTGGTATCATCCATATGAGCATCTTCCTGGTTATCCGTATCCATTGCATAGGCCACGTCAAAGTGCACTATCACTATCATTATCTCCATAAATGTAAACAAGTGAGCCTCTTCCTGGTTATCCATATCTATTGCATAGGCCACGTCGTCCTCTTGGAGTTGAATTGCACTATCATTATCACTAGAGATGTAAACAAGTGATCCTCCTCCATATCCATTGCATAGGCCACGTCATCCTCTTGGTGTCGATGTGCACTATCATTATCACCAGAGATGTAAACAGGTGGGCCTCCTCCTGGTAATCCATATCCATTGCATAGGCCACGTCGTCCTCTTGGAGTCCAAGTGCATTATCATTATCACCAGAGATGTAAACAAGTGAGCCTCCTCCTGGTTATCCATATCCATATCAATTCCATAGGCCACGTCGTCCTCTTGGAGTCGAATTGCACTATCACTATCACTTTCACCATAGATGTTAACGCTAGGTACCCCTAGGACAGACTGAATCGCGCGCGACTCCAGAACCTCTATTTATACTTCCCGAGAGAAATTGAGAGCGAGAGGGAAAGAGCCCTCTCCAGAGAAAGGCAGCAAAGAGGCACCTCTAGAGATGCACAGAGGCATACCAAATGAGTAAGAGGGAGAGGGAGCGCGCTAGAGCTAGAGCTAGAGCTAGAGGGAGAGAGAGAGGGAGGGAACTAGAGATAGAGCTAGAGCTGGAGCTGGAGCCCAGTTGTTTACTCAAGGAATTACTTTTCAAGCATTTTAAATGATTTACTTTACAATTTTCAATATTTCCATCTACTAAATGGTTTCTCTGTATTACCCTACATTTATGAAACGCACTGTATATGTGGATACACTCATTTACCTGACACAGTCGCCCCCTTTGGGTCATCATCTCTCCCCCCGCGTGTTGTCACGAACAATTTATTCGCTCTGCTTGTTTCGCACATTTTTCATCTTTTCAGTTTTATGCTATTTTCTTGCTTTTAATTTTTTTCTCTCTTTGTTTTTATTCTGTATATTTTGTTATTTTTATTTTTTAATTTTTAGTATTTTCCACACAACAACAACAAATTCTTTAGCCGCTTCGTTGCATCTTATGGCTGCATTTTTATTTTGTAGATTTTTGTACGGCGCAAGCTGGACCATTTTAATTCGATTCCAAGGAAACAACATGTAACGAAATGATGATGAGTTCAATTTTTTAATTTAAAAATAAATATCCGCTGTTTGTCGTACAAAATATTTGTTCTATTTGGCACATTTATGCTGTGTGCGAGGAATACGTGTGCGGAAGTTCACATGCTGAAGGGTTGTCTAAAAACAAGTTAATATAGAGAGTATAAAAAGTTTTTATGGGAAACTTTGACGGTCTTAAGCTTTAAATTTGCTTTTTAAAGAACCTCTAATTTAAAAAGTTATTTTTTTTTGGAGTTTGATATTAATTTTCCAACAAATCATGACAATCTTCAGATTTAAGCCTTCTCCCTAAACTCTCTATATTTATTGGGTAATTAAAGTTACCTTTTTATGGTTACATTACCCAAGAGACTTGGCTCTTTCTCTTCTCCTCCCAAGAATGAACAATTACTAGCATTTTAAAATTCATTGAAATAATTTTATAACCTTATGTTTCCTATAATTTTAGTCAAATTCTTAAAAGGCAGTGAAGAGGTCGTTTTCGAACCTATAAATCATATATATTCTTGATCTGCCGAGTCGATCTAGCCATGTCTGCAAGAAAAAATATCTTAAAGCATTTTTTAGAATTTCGTTAAAATTTTCGAAAATTTCAACAAAATTTAATTTTCGTAAATTGACAATTTTAAAAAAAAATCAAAGTTTAAAGATTCCATAACTAAGCCAAAAAAGCATTAATTTCAATTCGGAAAGCGTTCTTGTGCTAGTTTTTTAAAGGTTTATAAATCTGCATACTCAATTAAAAATGTTAAAAATTTTATTTTTTTTGTAAATTTTTGAAAATTTTAACGATGCAACCCCTATAAAATGTTAATAAAAAAATTGCGAAGAAAAATTTTCTTTCCGACATGGCCAGAAAGATTTGCCTGTTGATGCTGATCAAGAATATATATGATTTATAGGGTCGGAAATGACTCCTTCTTCGATTAAAATTATATTTTCCTCTGAAATTACAATACCCTGCAAGGTGATAAAAGTCTGTTTTTTAATCGTCTTTTTAAATCAATGCAGTATAGATATATCAATATATTCTGTCATCTAGTTAAATAATTATCGATTATTGCCCAAATATAGCGTAAAAAAGCGACACAATACCATTTGTACTATATTTTCTCAAACTAGTTCTGAAATCCACAGAATTTTCTGTAGTAACACAGGAAATAATTAAAATAAATCCACGAGAACCAATTAAAATGCTAAGTGTATTCATTTTATAATTTGATTTTTATTCAAACAATTTGCTTTCATTTGGTTGGTTGATTTCTTTGTTTTTTGCTATCTGTTTGTTTTTTCGTATGTGTAAGTTGTGAGTGATGGCTGCCAACTTAGAAGAGGCAGTTGTCGGGAGTTTTCTAGCTTATGGTCAACATTTCCATAAACATTCTATTTTTGAAAAGTTTGGAAATCCACGCACATTCAGGACCCAAAAGTAGGCAAAATCTGTGCCTACTTTTGGAAGCTATCTCTCAAGGATTTTGAGAAATCCGTCGATTTTGGCATAGGCTTAAAGATTGTGAATATGTGGCGGCACACAAAGAGCACGACGAACCAATTGTAAGTATATATCTATTCTCTTCATCTCTCCGATTCTCTCTTTATATATACATATGTCATATATATCTTTTTTCGTATATAAATCTAACTTTTTATAGTTTACGAAACTTACACAACTAATTTCAGGGATTAGGAGAGGGGAGAGTGGGCGTGTACCATGAATCTTAATCGTACAAGTGTCGGTAATTTATTTATCCACACGTTAGTTAAGTCCTAATTAATCCGATTCGCGATCCGATACTTATTGTTGCAGACTTCCCTTCGAGTTGGTAGCACATATTGGTAAAAGGTAATTTCATCTTGCTTTTCGTAAATGGGTCATTGTTTGGCCGACCTTTAAGGTCCGCGTTACTTGACTCGATCTCCATCTTGATCTCAACTAGCAGCAATCCTTTGCTCTTTGTCTCTGGATCTTAGTTACTAATAAATAAATGTTTCTTCGGTTTTTGTATGTTTTTTTTTCTTTTCCATATTTTTGTTTCGTTTTCTTTTTCTGGTTGATTTAATGTTTATTCATTCATCATTTTCTGCACTTAATGTCAGGCTTACTTGCCATTCTCTATCAATTATTGAATTATGTTAGTTTTTATGCTTTGTATATATAATTAATTGTTGGTATAATGCAGTCTTTACGGCAAAACAAAAACAGAATTATGCTATTTGATTTCTTAATATTTGTTTTCATAGTTTATATGTATCATTTGCATCATTTTTCATTGTTCTCATCGTCATTAAATACATAATAATCAAAAATATATCTGTATACTACGTACATATATTATTAATATTTAGTTTTTGCTTTTTTAAAGTTTATGAAACCAAATACACTTATTTAGTTAGGCATTTCTGTCTGTCTGTCTGTTGTTATGTGTTGGTGTTGGAACAAAATAAATTTTTGAAAGTTTATTGGGATTAAATTCATCAAGCAATTTACAATCGTACATCCTTTCCTTCTTCTGCTAAGCATCTTTGTTTCTCATTGCATCATTCATACATATACATAAATTTGTTAATAATTACTCAGTGTATGTACTTTTTGTATTTAAACTGTTTTCTTTTTCATTCTTTGAAGGCAGTTAGACTTGAGAAGGATCTCAAATACATATGTGCATACATATGCATACATACATATATCTTTCCCAGTTGTATAAATTGTAATGCTTACAGAGTTTTATTTGTTGGTTTCCCCTTTTCTTGCTTACTTTTTGTTGTGTTGTGATTTTTTTAAGTTATTTACAATATATTATTCAATCATTTTTGTATTTTAAGCTTTTAGTTAGCTTGTCTCTTTTCGAATTTTTATATCTTTAGATTGCCAAATATGCATTTTGGCTTACAAATTAGTATTCTGCTTTTAATTTGATGTTGTTTTTCTTGTCTTAATATAAGGCTTAGGCTCTCAGTTGCTACTTAATGATGCATATATCATAATGTTTTCAACACGTCCTTTTCTTCCTTCTCATCATTTCACATTACATACACATTCGAATACACAAAAAATACATTTCGGCACTTGCTCTCTCTCTCGCTTTCTTTCTGATCGCCTATCTGTCTCATTCTTTCCTCTTGACTTTTACATATTTGATCCCTAAAGGCATTTTCAAGTTTTTGTTTTTTTTTTACATTTCTAGAATTTGTTTTTGGGTTTTCTCTTTGCAAATCGTGAAAAATATAAAAAGAAAAGGAGTTTGATATTTTTCCCCTTACATATTTCTCTTTTATATTTTTGATTATGCATAAGTTTTGAACGATATGAAAGTGTTTTTTGTTTTTTAGCACAAAAGAAACTAGAAATATTCTATATGTAGGTATGAATGTGTGTGTGTTACATAGAAGAAAATGAGGCAATTTACGTTATAAGTTCGGAAAACATTAATTTGTTGCACATTTATGCATTTAAATAACATTTGCAGGAGGGTGTGTTATGTGTGTGTGATTTGGATTTTATCTGGAAGTACTATTTCAATGATTGTACAATTGTCTATATATATTGTATTCTTTTTTTAAGTCAGAAGAAGGCACGCCAAAGAATTGCGATTTTTTTACACACATATCGACAAAGAATTTGGGTTTTCCGCTTTCCTTATTCTTTATTCTTCTCTCTTCCCGTTTTATTGCTTGTTTGTTTCTGATGTACGACGTAATGTCTTAATATTATGTATGTACATGTGTAGTTTTGTGTTGTGTGGGTTTATGTATGCGTTAAGTTAACTTAAAATATGTATTGTATGTGTATAATTTACATTTCTTTTAACAACAACACAGGAACAAGTTTGTAAATCTAAGCTTAAGTTGCTTTCTCTTGCTAGGTTTTTTAAATATTTAATTTAATGCGAAATAAAAAAAGAAAAAAAAATATACATACATCTATGCATATATCTGATAATAGTATTATATTGGGTTACGAATTTACTTGCTTTTGTATTAAGAATAAGCACTTAGAAATTAGTTTTTGTTTTTCTTTTGCCTAGTCATTCGTTTTTGTTATCATTATCGATGCCAACCTCTTATATATTTTTCGTACTTTTTGCTTAATGTTTAATGATTATAAATCTTCTTTTGTTTGCCTTCACTTTTTGTTGTTGCAATGTATAAAGTATAAATGTATGTATGTACGCATAAATTAAGACGTAATTAGTTGCTGTTGTATTTGTTATTGGTTTAAATGTGACCAGATATAGGTGTATATATGTGTGTGTGTTTTATCATAACTTAAAGTGAATTAAAAAAAAAACTAATAATTGAAATATTTAATTTGTAATATTATTCGGTAATTATTCTACATTTGCTCCTCCGGGTCTCGTGCTAATAATTATTATTTTTGCTTGAGAATTTTGGTTTTGTTGTTTTTGGGGGAAGAACATGCTTGGTTTGAATCCAAAATTCAAACAAATTTATGTTATATATTTCTTTAACTTTACAGTATCTCTTATTAGGCGGTGGACTTTCTGCTCACATAAATTAACTATTTATACCAAAGAAAAAAAAAGGAAAAAAAAAACAGTAAACAATTCGTTATATTATTGTTACATATTACGTAAACCGCTGTCAATACGTATTCATAACGCTTATATTGCTGAGTCGCTTAGAGCTGGAAAAGCGCCAAAAATTTCAATGACTCTAAAGATAAGCATCGATGTTTCTGGTTGTAATCGTTGATGTTGTTCCAGCTCCAATGTCGAGGTGTTACGTCAAGTTACAGTTTACGTTAAGGATACACTTTTACGTTAGGCTATATTATACGGTTAATGGTAAGCTCTCTGGATACCATCTGGTTGTTGGTTGTTGGTTGTTATTGTTGTTGTAGTTGTGTTTGTTGGTTGTTGTTTTTTAAGGTTGTTGATGGGTTTGATTTCTCAGAGTTCCGAAATCCTCGATGCTCTATTTATGTATATATCTGCTAGTTTTGTTGCTTACTGTGTGCTCTCTTAAAGTAAGTGTTGTGTAAACGTAAACCTAAAATAGTGAAAGAATAAATGCAAATAAGTAAAAGTTTGGGAGAGCAGAAAATAAACTAACAAAAATAGTAAGAACTACATATCGAGAGGTAAAATCCATGTATTGAATATTACTTAGCCGTGTTATTTACGAGTTCTGCTAAATAACATAAATAATAAAAGAAAGTTATTTTTTTCGGTAACATTATTATTAATATAGAACATCCAAGTGCTCTCACCTTATAAATTAAATATTTTTGGTTGGTGGATGTTGTTTGCTTATGTTTTGTGTATGTTGCTTGCGTTGCTGCTTGCATGCTAGAAAGAAGTCTTTGTCTTAATATTTCGTCTTAGCCACTCTCCCACTTTCCGCTTTTGCCATGGTTTGGTTCGTTTTTGTGTAAATGCAACGAACACAATAAAAAAAAGAAAAATGATCAAAATGATCAAAAAACACAAATCGACGAATTTTGGGAAAGAATAGGTAGCTCCTTTCTGCTCCTGGCTTTGTTTTCTTTCCTCTCTCTTGGCTTAAGCAACAACAGCAAGGCCCCATCAATACTGACTATCCATCTCGTTGATCTCCTCCTCCTCGATCAGGTCATCCACTTCGAAGTCGCTGGGCGAGAAGCTCCTTTGTTGAGCCAGCAGCTTCTGCTGCACCTGCTGCTGTTGCTGCTGCTGTTGCTGTTGTTGCTGTTGCTGCTGCATTAGTCGCTGCTGTTGCTGCTGCTGTTGCTGCTGTTGCTGCCGTTGTTGTGCTGACAGAAATCCGGCACTACTCCCACTAACGCTCAGACGGGAAGCGGCGGCGGGGACAACGTTGGAGGAGGAGGAACTGCTGTTTGAAGCCAACGCCAGATTCAACGGCGTTTGGCCGACGGTCCGCATTCTGGCATTAGCCAGGGCGGCTGTCTTAAGTGGATTGCGCAGGTGGGCTTGGGCTTGGGCTGATGTGGAGGCGGTATGGGAGAAGGCATTACCAGCTGTAACAGATGCAGCAGCGTTGTAACGTGGCCGCTTATTCTGAAGCTTGGTGGCCCAGCATTCTGTGGCCCGGCGACGGGCACTGGCACAAATATTGTCAGACGTCGATGAGGACGAGGACGTAGCAGAGGTTGAGGGTTTGCTGGCATTCAAGGCAGTGGCGGTGGTAGTGCTGTTAGTGCTACCGTGAAACGGTATATGGCGTCGCTCCTCCTGGGTCTGCTGCATCATATTGCGGTAACCCTCCAATTGCTTAGAACGCTGAACATTATTGATCGCTGAATCGCCGACACTACCGCTGATGGCGGAATTGGAAACGGTGGTGTTGTTTTGATCCGTCTTGTTCATGTGGGCAGCCGTCGTATTCACGAATATATCATTAATGGCCGCCGCCCTATTCTCCGAAACGATAATCTCTTCCAGCTCATTGGGATCAATGCCTCCGGTCAGGCGGCGCTGCTTCTGCCGCATATGCTGCAGCTCCTCAGCTGAACGTTGTTTGCGGAACTCAAAGACCAGCGGATAAATGTGTTGAATGGCCGCTTCCACATCATTAACGCTGGCCGCTGAGGAAAGGAAGAAAGATTATTCATTTACGGGAAAAGAAACCATTGCAAGTTGCTAAACAAGTAGCCATTTTTCTTCATAGCTCACCTGTCACGGTTATACTGCCCGTGGAGAAGATCTTAAGTGTGGCTTTGGGTTCAATCATTTTGTACGTGACTCCCGGATGCAGCTCTGGCTCATAGCTGGCTTTTTTGCGATGCCGTTCCGAAAAGTTGACAATCTTTATAGCCCAAGGCATGCTGCAGGTACCCAGGACATTGACGATGCGAAAGTTCTGGAAACGGGTTGGGAAGCCCAATTTGCCCAAACATCGGGCATAGCGACGGGCAGCGACCTTGGCCTGGAACAGATAATATAATAAATATATATAAACAAAATATATGATTAAAAAAATTATCCTTACCATTGGTTCGGAGGTGGCCCCCGTACACGTGATCCTGCCCGAAGACCAAATCGAGGCTGTAGTATATGGATGTCGCAGCTTCATCGTCACCATCCCATTCTCCCGACGATACTCCACATTGGATCCATTTAAGGCAATTTCGCGCAGCTTTAAGTGACAGCGAACGCTAAACGAGCACACCACATTATTGATGGTAATGTCCAGTTCCGGCTCTTCGCCATCGGTTGAATTGTTCGCCACCAACTCCAGCGGCTGATCCTGCTGGCTGCTGGCCACAGACGCCTTCTCCACGTCAGCATTGTTCTTAATCACAGTCTCATCTAATTCTATTGGCTCCATTTTATTCGTTAGCAAACAAGGGTTTCCGCTGCTGCCGCCATTCGTGGAAGCTACAATTGCTGGTAGTGCTGTTGCTGGTGCTGGTGCTGTTGCTGTTGCTGTTGCTGTTGCTGTTGCTGTTGCTGGTGCTAGTTCTGGTGCTAATGCGACGGTGCCGCTACTGTTGCTGGTTAGGATTCGGCTTTTGGAGCCATTAGATAGCACGATGGTATCGCCATTGACCAATTTCTTTTGCAAACTGGGTACAGCGTTACCTCCAGTCGTTGGCAGTTTGCTAAATTGCGAAAAATAGCGAACAGTGCCGGGGGACGATGCTGTCGCTGCGTTGGATGAGGCAGCAGAACCAACACCGACTATAGTGGCGCCCCCAATCTTTCCAGTGGCTTGTGCTGCTGCAGCCGCCGCTTGGCGATTGGCCATAAATGTAGCCGTGGGCGTTAGGTAAACTCGAGGAGCATTCGCTAGCACCGCGGAGGAGACACTGCTGGTGCCTACTCCGGACCCACTGCTGGTGGCCTTCAAGCCCCCGTTTAAATTTCCAACCGGTATGCTCACCATTTCGTTATGCATCATATTTGGCTGCAACTGAGGGTGCCCGGATTCGGGAGGGAAATTTGGCTGCAACTGAGGGTGCCCGGATTTGGGAGGAAAATCCCAATCCTGGAACTCCTTTTGCTCTACGTGCTGGGTTCTCTTTTGGGGATGAAGTTCCCTTTTGGTAGGAGACTTATAATTTGGAATTTGTAGTTTTGGCACACCAATCTCCTCAGTGTCTTCGAATGGGTTGTCGGTTAAGCACTCCAGATAGATGCGCAATTGGCGGAGGTTATCGGCTTGCTGATCTCGGGATTTAGCCTCGTCCTGTTGCAATTTCTTTAGACTTTGTTCACGCTTATCTATCTCGTGATCTTCTCTTATTTTGAGATCGGTCAGTAGTTTAATTTGACCACCATTAAGTCTACAAGCTTCTTCGACGGTCAAAGATGATGCTGGGATTGTTGGTAAACGTATTCGTGGTTGTTCAGGGGTTTGTGTTGGTTTATGTATAGGTGTCGGTTTATCTATTGGTTTAGATTTTGTTGTTGGTTGAAAGATTGGTATTGGCTTAGATTTTGTTGTTGGCTGAAGGATTGATGTTTGTTTAGGTTTTGTTGTTGAATTTGCTTTTGTTGGTGTATGTGTTGGTTTACGTATTGGTGTTGGTTTAGGAATGGGTGCAGGTTGAAGTATTGGTGTTGGTTTAGATTTTGTTGTTGGTCTAGGTTTTGTTGTCGGTTTACGTATGGCTGTATCTATTGGACTTGATGTTGCTATTGGTGTTGTAGTTACTGGAGTTGATGTAGTTATTGGTCTGTGTTGTTGTTGTTGTGCTGATTGTGTATTTTTTGTTTTTGTTGCCAACTTGGTCTGGCCCTCGTGTTGGCTTGATTTGAGTTTTCTTTGCACCAACAGATTCGACTTCCCTTTTTTATGATCCAATTTCGACGGATTCGATGGCTGTTGCAGTCTCCCTTGTAGTTCTTGTCCAGATGGCCAGACTTCTGACAAAATACTAATATTATTGACATTATAAAGATAAGTTCATTTAATTTATTAGGTCTTACTTTTAGAATTTGATGTTTGCTTGCCCACTCTTGCTAAACTTGTTTCCTTGAATGCTGCTTGTTCCTTATGCTGTTCGTCTGAATTCAAAAGTTTGGTCGAATTGCAACTCACGTCCTGATCTGCATAATTTATAATTTTATAATTTTGGTTAGATGATGGTTTAAGTTCCTTAAAAACTTTTTATTCTTACCTTGCTGTTGTTGATGTAGTTGTTCCAGCTGTTCTCGTTTCTGTAGATGTTGTCGTATGAGCTTTAAACGTTGTTCTTGTTGTCTTTTTAGCTGTAGCAGATGCAGTTGCCGTTGGTTTACAACTAGACGTTTTTGTAGCAGTTGCTGATTCTGTATGTACTTTAGTGGTAGATTTGGCTCTTCCTGTTGCCGTTGCACCAGCCGTTGATGTAGACGATCTTGTTGCCGTTTAAATATCTGATTATATTTAGCGCGCTCCTGATAGTGTTCGCGTTGCAGTTCTCTATCCTCTTTATTGTGTTGGCTTTGTAGTTCCTTTAACTGCAGCTTTTGCTGTGGATTAAGTAGGAGTTGCTCCTGCCTAAGTTGTGGCTGTGCGCTTTTCTCTAGCAACTTCACTAGTCTTTGGCGATGTAATGCAAGTACATTGGAACCTGTTGAATCTGTTGGAATCTTTTTATTATTTTCTTTAGTTTTTCCTTTGGATTTTGCCTTTGGATGGTTTGAACCAAGTGGATTATTCTCTTTATCTGTACTAAAAGAGTCTAACACGTTAGACGTAGAACCGCAATCCTTGTCGCTAGATAGCTTGAGATCGTCTGCAACAAATTTCAAGTAAATTAATTTAGATTCTACCAAAAAAAAAAGCTCTGTTCTTACCTTTTGAATTTTTTATTTGTTGGTTCTTGTCCTTGCATATTGCTTTAGAGAATGTTCCCCCTTGCTTCCTTTTTTTGCTTCCCTCCTCTGGATCTGATGAAAGAAAGAAACAATATAATATTTTTAGGTGGCTGAACATATGTATGATATGTATCGTTTCTCCAGTTACCTTGGGGTTTCTGCTGATGTATCCGCTTCAAAGATCCTGGTTTCTTGGTTGAAGAAGAAGTAACAAGAGTTTCCTGCCTGGCGTGATTTTTTTTTAAGACTGATATCTCCGGCTGGTTGCCGTCTAATATATTTAATACAGTTTCAGGTACTGTCGATGGAGGAGTTTGTAACTTGTCCTCAAGTTCTATTTGCTTTGAAATATCAATCTCCTTTTTCGCCTCCTCCCCCTCTCGTTTGTCACGCCAATGTTTTGTATTGCCGCACTTCGTTGAGCTTGAAGATGCTCTTTTCTGTTGGAGTGGTTTGTATTATTGTTTTAAGGAGATGATAGATTTTAATGCTTGCGCTGTTATCGGAGTTTTTGGTATATAAGTTTTTTCATGTGTGTGTGTGTGTGTTTGCTGTTATATATATATATATATTTTATATATATCTAATTTTGTATATATTGTGTGGTGTATATGGGTCTTAAGTCTTTGAGCAACTTACACAGGGGCCATCTTTAAATTTTACTTGCTCAAATATTCAATCCTAACGTCTGCTTCTGAATTCTTCGTCTTCGTCTTAATACTAGATTGATTTGTTTGCTTTTTCTTCTTTTTTCTATCTTTCTTGATTCTTTTTTGTTTGTTGTATATAAGGCTAAAAGTGATTCTTTTTGTAAAGTTTTTTTGTTTTGGTTGTTTCTTTGTTGTGTTGTGTGTGTATGTTTCGTAAATCGCGTTTGCTTTTGTTTTGCTCTTTATGACAAAAATACTTATTTTTTCTATTAAATTGTTGAAATATTTTTTAAATTAGAATTAGTTGTTGTGGTTGTTGTTGTGGTTGTTGGTGTTGTTTTCCTCTTGATGTTTGTTTTTCGTTTAATGATAACTTCTGTGTATTACAATTATTTTCTAGTCTTCCGTTCTTTTCTCCTTGTTGTTTCTAGCTTGTTGTTGTTTTAGTTGTTGCTGTTATTATTTTGTTGTTGTTCCTTTGTAGCAGTCTGCAAAGAAAAATAGGAAAACATTAGGAAGACAGAAAATCAGCTGTTTTTAATGGCAGGGCAATGAAGGAAACCAATGCAAGGACCTAATGAAGATGATGGGCTATGATCAATGCAATCCACTTTCGAATCCAATGCACAATTTGCAAAAGACTAAGGTCAATGGAACAGTTGGTGTAACTGTAATTAAAACTTAACCTATCGCTGGCACTAAAAACAACAATAATAATAAAGAAAAAGAACGTCAAACGAAACACACACTTGACTGCCGACGACACCGCACAACCGACGAAAATAAACCAATTGAAATGCCAAATAGAGATGACAGACCGGCAACGGCCTTCTTGAACCACAATATTTCAAAATAGTCACGACTCACGACCGGCGTTAATCGAATGCCATATTAGGGATGTGAATAGTACGTTATTTTTCCTTAATTATAGATAGGAAAATGTTAATGTAAACATTGGAACTTCCATACAAAAAAAATTATAAAAGTAGGGGCACTTTTGCCGCCTGCACACTGTTAGTAAACAGCAATTTAACATTTTTCTAGGATCGGCAACGTCTGACGCTGACCTTAACATGGATTTCATGAGCTGTTCATGAGCGCAAAGGAAAGGCAAGGAGGAGAAACAGCAAAAGAAGGAGAGCCGACTAGACAAACAGATGGCGCAGGGAGGGAGGTTGGGTGTTATTTGTGTGTGCAAAAGTTATCGTACATGACTTCTGGGTCAAGGACGCACTCGCACAAAAAGTGGAACACTGTCGTCAATTGAGCACAGCAATATAGTAACAGCAACAAAAATTACAGCGCCAGTGACGAAAATACCAGCCACAACAACAACTACTACTAAAATAGTCACCGTCATTTAAGCATCTCACAACATCAAACTGCAACATCTCGTTCGCACCCACAGCACACATTGAATGCAACACTGTTCTATATTCGGAGCAAAGTGCAAATGAAAAATTGTTTTTGTAAATTAGCAAATTGTCATAAATTAGAATAGAGCGGAATGAAACAAAATGAAAATATTGCAGGCAATGACCCAATTTTCAACTTCCAATTATTATGAATAACCAAAAACGTTCAAACACTTGTTTTATTGCCCAGACCGGATGTATTTATGTACATACATATGTACACATTTATGTAGATTGTTTCTTACACACCCTCCTCCATTCATGTTAAATGTGATTCATTTACAAAAAAAGGGCACACCAAAGAAATGAAATTGAATAAAACTATATAAAACTGAATGAATGAGTGTGTGTGTGGGGGTGTTTGGATCAAAGCTTTTTTTTTTTTTTGGTGACCCACAAAAAGAAAGTGGTTCGGCTGCGATTCTTCTGAACAAGAAGACTGCTGCTCAGCACCAAATTGTGCTGTAAAGCGCAGGCTCACAGTTGTTTTGGTAAATTAATTTAAAACAGCTGTGGTGCCTTTCCTTCCACTTCCTTTGACTTTCTGGAATCAGCTGTAATTTTATCTAGATCTTTAGTTTTGGAATTAAAGTTAGCACTAGACTTTTAAAACAAACTTTTTTAACGCATACATACCCGAAACTGCACTGTATGCTCCTTAACCGATATTTACTGTAAGCTGTAATCAAGCAAAACCAAAATAATTGAAACAAAGCGAAGCAAAACAAAACGAATTTTAAACGAAACGGAACGTCACTCGAACGAACACAACGATACATACATACGTGCGTGTGCGCCTTTAGCGCGTGCGTACATGTGTGTGTATGTTGGAGCTCACATGACGTCGGCATTTGCTTTGCTTTCTACATATGTATACCAAGTCTAAAATTTCGCTCTCAATTGCACGTTCTCTTTGCTCTCTGCTATTTTTAACAGCTCGGCAACAGAGCGACAACAACAAATTACGGGTCAAAAATAGGCAGCAATAGAAAAACACAATGCACAATAAATGCAAATGCGAATGCCGCTCATTGCTTGAATTTCAATAAAGAAAGAAAAATAGACAAGCAGCCAGCCAGCGAAAAATGCGAAAAATCTACCAAAAATATTTGATCGAAATCAAATTCAGAAACATACGCGCAGACACCGTCCTGAGAAATAAGTGCGCCAGAAATTGAATATTTAAATTTACGCAAAAAATACCCCTAGATATTGTACAAAACCAACAACAAGAGGGGGGAAAATGGTACAATTCAGTTCATTAACCTAAAACGAAAAGGAAAATTAAAACGCGAGCGCGAACAACAAACAGACAAAATGAATGCAGGGTGCAAAAAAAAGAAGAAAAAAAAACATTATACTAATAATAATAACGAACAACAATAACAGCGAGCACACACTGCCAAGCAGCGTTCCAAAAGGCAAAAAAGAAATAAGAATTCGAAAAATTAAATGAACTGCAAATTTCAGGTTCAAGGCCAAGCGACATACATACATATGTACATAATTCACAATTGTCAATTCGAACAATTTGCAATTGGCAGTCACCTTTTTAGGTAGACTATTTATTTCGTCTTATGCTTAAATGTATATAAATCTATGTTTTTTTTTTTAATGTAACCTTGATGGCTAAAAAAGCTATGTGTTCGTTCTGTCGTCGTTAGCAAAATGTACACTAAAGGGGTATACAAAAAAAATTAATAAAAAAGCAAAATGTAAAATATATATTCTGCTTGCATTTTTCAAAAAGCCACTGAGTCTGGCAAATTAATCCAACAGCATCTGAAGACCGATCAAAAAGTTCTTTATAGAACCAAGGGCTTCTCAATTTTATTTGTTATCTAGCATAATATACACAGCCCGAACTTCTGTTGGATTATTTTCTCACGATTCGTGGAATATACATACATATTCACCCCTACATTCCAGCTCTCATTCCTCCCACAATAATCACTTTGCCTACGTTCCATTCCCGAGAGCTCTCCAATTTCAGGGGAATATGTATTTATGTATGTACATACATATGTACATCGTCACTTTTTTCAATTTTGTCTACATTTGAGATTTGTTAGTTAAAAAATGGGAAGGGGTTTCGAAATGTGACCTACGTGTCTGACAAGAGGGATCATAAACTATACAATAAATATATGCAAACGCACACATGACCAACCAACAATTTCCCTATTTATTATATGTATAAGTATGCATTCATATGTATTTATTTATTTCCGTTCCATATTGGATGGGTGCACCATAGCCAGTACGAGAGAAATTCAAAATTAGAAGTACAAGAAATCAGAAATATTGTAATTTTATATAATTTCAATCGTTGAATTTTCTGCAAATTAAAAACCAAATAGTGCTGCCAATAATGTTAGAAAGAAAACGGAACATTTTCGGACTTTGGTAGCAAAGAAATACACCAAAAACAGATCGCGCGAAAAACGACAAACTTAATGGATTACCAAAAGAGGCAGTAGCTGAAATCTTTTACGTACATTCCATATTTTTTATGGATTTAATACAACACATTTTTATGAAAAAATAATCAAAAATTGTGAATCATTTAACATGTAACACATGTGCAACGATTTATTCATATACATACTTGAATTAAAGAGTGAATCACTAAGATAAAGTGGTGACCTCATGGATAAGGATGCACTTGCCAATGCCGTGAGACATTTGCTTCACATGGTTTGGAAACATCTTGAGAATATTTTTAAGCTATCTGAAACAATTTTCGGACTGTTAATCTCGTAGTCACGTTTTCTCAATTACATCATCGTTTTTAATTATTGATTTGCACTTTGAGAGTCAAATTGCAGGGCTAGAAAAACCTAAAGAAACTCGTTTCGAAGATAAATAGAGAAGAGAAGGAAAATCAAGAGACTGGCTTCAGTCTGCGTTACCATTGCTAACAGGGGAAAAGCTCTGCACGTGTTGTTTTTAGTGGTTAACTCGGACGATTAACATGGCTGGATTAACAGTGGCGCCGCCACTCAACATGGCCGAGACGCATTGCACTTGACATTGGCCGTTATTCGCGATATTGATAACGATTTATCACGGCACGGTTACTCACCTCTTAAAAGTCCTTAATTAGTTGAATGGTTATATTAAATGGTTAGCTCTTTGTTTGTTTTGTATTATTTGCTTTTAGATGTTTGAAATCTCGACCGGAGAGCCTGCAAGAAGAAGAAATAAAGGTGGACAACTGTTAGCGGGCGTGTCAGTAGGAAAAAAGGTTGAAGATAACAAAAAAGAATTGCTTAATACAAACAGCTGGCCAAAAAAAGGGACAAGGAAACGTAAAGAGCAAGAGACGAAGATGAAAACAAAGAGAAAAGAAAAATCTCCCCAGGTGTGCAGAAGGCAATGAAAGATACAAATTAACATATGGATGTGTGTGAGCATTGCACACACATTTGTGGCCGTAGCTATACCATCAATAGTCAGTAGATATTTATTTTATCACACTTTTGCTTTTAATATAGATTGGTTGTAATGGAAAATATACTAGTTTTTAAATTGAGCTAGGTTTACAAATTTAGAAATTGTTGAATAGTGGTATTAAGTTGCCCTCTGCTGTTTGAGCATTTTGATAATGAGAAGGAAGACTCACAGCTATAGCTACTTATATATGTACATATATGGATACAACAATTGCCTGGGAGAACCGGACAGCGGAAATGCTGTTGTGGACAAGAAATCAGCGACGAGCACTACAAAAATCCCCATGAAAACAAGCAACCACTTATTATAGTATTAATTAAAACCATAAGATACTATTTAGGTTCTGTTTCTTTAAACCCGATAGCGAGAAATATAACAGAAGAATCTACAAACGTATAGAAATAAAAGTAATGACAATACTAAACATAATATGGGGGCAACCCCAAAAAGTTCGTCATTGGCGTCTCGCCTTTAAGTCAATGAACTGTTATATCCTCTAATACACCTCACATTCGCTCTATCAGCCAGTCTGGCTCTCCTTTTCTCAGTTTTTTCTGGGAAGAGCGACAGAGAAAGACGACGAAGACCAAGCAAAAGAACAACAACTACAAGTCGTTGACATGTCCTCCACAAAAAATAAAGAGAAAAGTGGTCTGAACTAACTTACAGACGGCAGACGGACTGACAGACAGAGACAGCTGGCTGTCGATTTGTTTTGATTAACCGTTATTTCAGGGAGAAGATCCCAGGAGAAAGAAAGCGATCATGGAAGCCAAAAAAGCAAGTTGATGGTTTTAATACCCTAACATATACAGAATCAAAAATGACCTTGAATTTAAACAAAATATATATACATATAAACCCTGAATTGGACTTTCTCTTGTGTTCATTTGGACAGTAGAAAATATGCTGCATAATGAAATCACTAAAACCGCACTCTCGCTTCTCCTTAAATGAAAGTTTAAGTGACCCAAAAAAGAGTATAGCTTGGGTTCTTTGGGGCGGGCGGTGGAGTCAGGGATTACTACTGTCTGGCGAGACAGGATAAAGTCAGACGGAAATTATCGCTGACCTTGGGGGCTGCCTCGCCTCGTTGTTCATGGTTTCTTTTTCGTATAAAACACAAGTATTTAAAAATACGTACATACTTAAGTATGTAATGTACATTTGTGTGCATTCGCATTGAATATAGGCATTGGCGGTATACATACCATGTGCTAATTGGCTCCTAGTGCTAATTCGCTAAAGCTACAGTGCGTGAGTATGGATAACAAACTAGAAATATTTACATGCATATGTATGTATGTATTTATATGTAATAACTATGTAGCTTCTGGCAATGAGTTTTATTTATAAAGTATTGATTTTAACACAAGTACATTTGTAAATAAATAATATATTTAATAAATTTCTTAGAAAGGCAAAATAAATTAAATAGATATTGATGCTAAAGGTTTTTAAAGTAACCAATTTTAAAGAAAATAACTAATATTTATGTTGCTTTCTGTGTTGACTTTGTATTTTCTTTTTCTGTGACTGCGTTATACAAAGATGCTTGTAATTTTAGTTGTATTCGCTTAATTTATTCATCATTCACTTATTCACTCGGGAAAGCTCTTTTGCGTGTTAATCATTAAAAGCAATACATAGATACATGTACTAAATATACAAATTTAACATTAAATGGAAACGTTAAAAGGCAGCGCTTGCGTTTTTGCAGCTATTCTGTATTTATTATTATTATTCTTTTTTGTCACGTTGGAAGTACGCACTTTTTGTGGGAAGAGGGGGGCTGCACTGACACACTTAATTTAGCCCCTCTCTTTCGCTGCTACTGCTGGAGATTTCGGTTCTTTTTTGTGCTTGTGTTCTATTCGACCAAAGCAGAGTCGGAAAGATTTTACAGTTATGATGCCAAGAAAAGTAAAAGTAAAAAATCAATGAATTTGCTTTGTTTTTGAATATAAAAATGTGTGTATGCGAAAAGAGGATACTGTTAAGCCATCAATGAAAAAATATTCTTGACTTTTCTTTCTTATAGTTTTGGACTTCACACTGCTGATTTTAATTGCTAACAGCAACAACAATAACAACAGGTTGCCGGTGATGAGTAACGAAAGAAGCGACAAAGAATTCGAAAAAATGCATTCTTACGATTTCGCAGACCAAAAGAGAGAAAATAAAAAATTGTAAGCGTGGAAAGAGAGAGATATAGGAAGGGATCAATTATCAGGCAAAAAAGTTGCTCGCCTTATCACTTAAGTCCTCTCTCGCTCAGTCTCCGCCACTCTCTTGCGAACATTTTTGTATAAACAAAACATTCCACCTGAACAAGTCAGCCGCAAAAGCTTTGAGAAATCATTCTCAGTCAATGGAGAATTAAATAAACGAACGTTTTTTAAGTCGAATTCTTACAAATTCTCCCAAAAAGTTGCAATTTTAATTTTGTTATAACTCATGTAACTGATTTGACTTTATTTTTTACCTCGTGGAATTTTAAATATTTCAAATTTGTTTATTTGTTCTATTTTATTCTGACCGTATGTAGTTCTGCTGCAAGCGGCGCTGTTATAATGCTAAATTTCTGTGATCGCTCTTTCTCTGTCTCACGCTCTCACTTATTCCTTATTCCTATACCGTCACACCTGCTCCAGTTAAAAAAAAATATGTTTAGATTTAAAGCAATCACTGTCAGTTATTAACTGTTTTTGCTCTTTTTTTCAGGGAGAAGAAAATATGTATATACTTATGTACATATGTATTTACATATAATAAAGCTCATTTGCATGACGTCATATGGACTGCTGCTATACTGTAAAAATTGAGGCACTTGAAACAATTTCGTGCATTTTACTTTGTGCCAAGCCAGCGAACTGGGTCAATATCTTAATTAATTTTAATGGGCTTAATTTAAAGACAAAGGAAGCGAACCGCACTAACAAAGTTACATCAATCATTTGCGTATTGCCATTGAAGGAAAGGGGGGAAGTCATTATTCTCCGCTCTAAATTTAAAAAATGTGAAATATCAGAAATACGTAGGGATAGATATTATGTACATTTTTACAGTGGGCTTCATAAGCTAATAAATATATAGGATATATGAACGCTTACCCACCAAGAAACAATGCATTTATTTTTAGAAATCGAAATGGGAGTGTAAATCAAAATCTTATGCCACACATTCTTGCGATAATATATTCACATATTTGTTTAAAAAGGGCGTAAAGTCAAAACAAAACAAGGCCTACTAATAATTATAATACACACACACACTCGTACGCACCCCACCAGCAGAAATTGGCGATAACAACAAAATGCGGGCATCGTACATTTGATTTATGCAGACAGAGCGAGAGCGAGCGAGATACAGAGTGGAAAAAGAGGGCGGACAGAGAAGAGAGCACTGAGATCAAGCCGGAAGTTACTTTTCAAAGAAGAGAGTGTAACAGATGCATTTAGCAGTAACAGGAACAACAACAGCAGTAAAAACGATCGCCGACAGGTAGGGAGAATACAAAAGGGCAAGAGCGAGATGGACCGATGGCAGCGGAGAACTGCAAACTGCGATTTATTTAGGGTTGCACGTGTGTGCGTGTGTGCTCATAATGCGCTCGTATCTGTGTGAGTCTGACCTCGTTGGCCAACTTAAATAAAAAATAATAATAAAGAAGAGCATGGAAAAGTGGAATATGGCAGAGCGGACGTAGGCGGAAAAAGAAGCCGCACCTAAAAAAAATCTATTACATCACTAGGAAAATTGACACAAGCATTCAGCATTTACATACATACATACATACGAGCAAGCTAGAAACGGAAGCAAATTAAGCATAAAAAAATACAGAAACAAAAAAAAACCTGAAAACGTGAATTTAAAAGCCCATTTTTATAGTTTCTGCTATACCTGAATTCGATATAATATTTTACAAGCATATGAAACAACAAACGAAGTCATATTCATTAAAAATATAATACAAGAATATAACCTCTAAATATTAAATAAATGGCAATTACTGCCAGAAAGTTTTCCAGAAACAAATGTAACACTTGTCAATAAATTAATAAAATATAAAATGTATAACTCGTCGGCTTCCAAAAAAAAGCAATTAAACAAATAAACCAACAAATATGTTTGGCTAACAAAAATCAGCAGATTTTTAGCACCTACAAATGGCGAAAACTCGTCGTTTATATGTCATAACTGATGAACAACGTAACAAAATGATGAAAAATCGTCAATTTCTTTGAAATTTTTACGTCTTTTCGGCCAAAACGGTACGCGGCCGAAGCATAAAATAAAATCTAACCCTAAAGCGACTACAACAACTGCTAGAAACTTCTTTTCTGAGAAAATTCACTGAATGTGTTTCCTCCGACAGAAAAATGAGAGCGTCCGCGACAGAGAGGGAGCACGCGAAGCGACAAGCTAAGCTACAAAGCAGCCAGCCACAGGGCAGCAAATGAGAGGCGCATGCGGCGAATTCGGTTCAGGTACTTCTTAGTTGCCGGGCATGAAGGTATGCTTTGACAGTGAAAACTACTTGTATTTTCCATTTACAATTTATATTTAAATAAAGTACTAGTCGCTAACCCAAATTTGAATATGAATCCGAAGGGCAATATTTTATGTAAGGTAATTAAAACGAAAATACGTATATTTATCTAACTATTCAAAAGTGGGAAAACTAATTAAATATGACAGTGCTTACGCAGAGGCAGGTCCAATACAGGGTACCCCGCTGGTCGAGCGAATCAAGGGCGACGTGCTTTCTGGTTTCACTGAACAGGGCGAGCGGACGTCGACGTCGGCAGAGAAGCGAGTCGCCTGAAATCTCGAACGCGCGACAACGCTATTGGAAATTCAGTCTGCCGCCAGCGCGACTCGAAGCAGAGGTTTTTGTGAAAAAATATTCCACTATTTACTGCGCCACACAGCCACCTCGCTCGCTCACTCGCATTGTCCGCCTTTGTCTTCGTCCCACTCTGGCACGCTGTTGCTTAACAGAATGGGGGGCCGTCGAGCGAGGAATGTTACCAACGCAACGCACAGAACCAAGAAATGAAGAGTTTTCAGTCCAATATTGGCGAAAATTCTGGCAAAGTATGTTTAAACAATGGATGCAGAGACCTTGTCCCCTTTTCCCCCACTATCTGTTACTTTTTCAGCATAACAGCATGAACAGAAACATTTTGGCAGTAAAAGGGGAATTTCAACATCGTTTGAAATGGGAAAAATGTCAGCTATGTGACTCATAATCGCACACCGAAATTAGCAGTAGTAAACTAAAAGCGAAGAAGCAGCCGCCCATGACGTCATCCCGCCCACACAGTACTCGAAATTATTGAAATGCAGACATTTGTGTTTTTTGTAAGAGCAACTCTTTTATAGTTAAATGTTTATTGGTTTTTAACGCACTGCTGAAAAAATATGTTAACAACAGCCCTATGTGCTGTTAAGTGCGTTCTCTGTCTCGCTCTTTGTGGTTTCAATGAAAGTGAGCCACAAAGCTGCAAAAATTGAAATTCCTCGAATTGGTTAGAAAAGAAAATGATTTAATTTGAATTTTGATCAAGAACAACAAAAAAACATGTGATTTTTAAACGAAATCAAGAATGAAACAAGAAATCACAGAATGAGAATGCAAAACGAGTTATGAAATGAGAGTGAGAGAGCAAGAGGAAGTCGAGAAGAGAGCAGAGCCAAAGTTACATTTCTCACTGGCAATTTGTAATGGACTAGGCTTAACTAGGCGTACAATTATGTTTCAAATATGCAGTGTACTAAAAAGAAATTCGAATAGGGAGTAGAGGGATAAATCAAATAAAATGAATGAAACGAAAAAATCACCTTTTCAGTAGGTCGCGTCGTAATGTGCTCTCGCGCTGCGCTCTCTCCTTTGTGGCTTTGCTCCTTGCGGCGCTCTCTCTGGCTGCTGGCTGTCTCGTTCTGTCCCGTTGCCTCGCAGCGGAGCTCTGCTGCCGTCTCGCTTGCGCTCCGCTGCTGCTGCCGCTGTATTCGCCGTTAGCTTTTCGCCGCTCTCTGCTACTATTGTTTTTGATGTCTTTTAACTTTTACCAGTTGGGATCACTTTTGTTTGTTTTGACAATTATACCTCCGATTGCTTGTTCAGTTTTCGTTTATATGTGCAAACTAGATGGGTTTCGGGGAACATTGACTTAGAGCAAGCAAGCAAGACCTGCCAGGGCGAATTTCGCGAGAGCGAGAGACCAAACACGACGCGGCGAAAACGGCTCGCTGTGGCATTGGCAACGGCAGCGGCTGCGGCCCGTTTTCAGTGAGAGTTCACGGCGGCGGCGATAAACACGAGCGAAACGCGCGGCAACCGACGAGACAGAGACGGACACATACCGAGACACCGTACAATGGCGAAGAGAGCGCGCGCCCCAGTGCTCTCCCACTCCGGCCGCTTTGTGGCCGCGCGCTTTGTCGCTTCGCCCGCAGAGCAGAGCAACACGCAATAAAAGTTCAAAAACAGTTGAAGTATACCGCGACGCGAGTAAAAATCTTTCCTGGCGACGTCGCCGCCGTCCGTTGTGTAGTTGTTGTTGCTTTCGTCGCGAATTTCGTTGCTGTTTACGGTCTAACATAAAACAAAAATGACGAAAAACTGTAATGTTGGGACAAACTCAATGCGACAATGTGCCATATTCTGAGACCCCTCGCCCTTTGTTTAAGTTGTCCAAGTTAATCTGCAAATCATGGTGTCATTTTCGAATTTCGCTGAAAGGTCTTGCTTGCTCCCCAGAATATTCCCAGCTATTTAGTCGCTACTATCTATTAGTCGTAGAATCAGTACCAGAGGCAGTGGAAAGTAGGCGACAAAAATAATCCGAGCACAGGTCTGAGCACACACGTCGTTCTCAATTCGTTTGGCGTTTCACTTTGAACGCTGCATGTTTTCACGTCGGTGTCGCGGTGTTTGTTGGTGTACCACAGAAGTGTCACTCGGTCACTCTGATTATTTAACATTTTACATCCTACACGCTGTTGGCCATTTTACGGGTTTGCATGGGATCGAATTCTCACTTTTGGGGTAGAAATTTCTACGTGGGGTAGAATTCCCGTGTAAAATGTAAAATCCGTAACATGACTGCTCTCATCCAACAGAATTCTTTGTCACTGGCAGTCGGGTTGTTGTAAACTAACAGAACTCTCTCTTGGGGGCTGTCGGGTCTAAGTTGGTTGTTGAAAATACCAATATGTCAGTATTGGTATTTTGTGATATTGTTTCTGGTTACTCTGAATTCCGAAGCTGTTATTTAACATTTTACACATTTATACATAAATGTAAAATTATACTGTAAAATTTATAACAACTCTCGTTGAAAATATATCAAAATACCAATTTATCAATATATTTGTTTAGTATTTTTTGACTGGCTTCTGGTCACGCTAAATTCAGAAGGTGTTTTTTTTACATACGTACGGATACATTTAGAATTCGCATGTAGGAAGTAGATTTTACTAACAGATCTGCTCTCAGAAAGACAGAAAAAGAGTAGATTAACATAATCTGGTCACTTTTAATCCTTAAGCTGTTATTTAAAATGTTACATCTGACACATCTCTAAAACCATTTTACACCATTACAGGATGGGGTAAAATGCTCATGTAGAACGAAACTACATCAAACGTCCGAGGACTAGAAAATCAAACTACTGACAGCAGGAAAAAATAAAAAATTAAATTAATAAAAAGCAATTGAATTTCTGTTTCCACAAGTAGATGGAAAAAGGATGGGAACTTGGCTAAACAAACGCGAAATCTTGGAAGAGACCTGCCAGAAGCAATGTAACCCCGCTTATGTTGATGTAAAATACCACCCGGCATAAGCATTTATTTAAACTAACTTAATGATTTGTATGAAATTTTCCTTGTTAAATGACATTCAATACGTCACTTTTAAATAAAAAGAATTTAGCATTATTTATTTCCTTATTTTCCTTTTCACGACTATTGGTCTTCATTGCGGTTTATTACCACGAGAAGAATACAAATAGCTACTGTCGAATGGGCGCGAGGAAGACGTTTTGATTTCAAATTTTAAACGGACGAAAAAGTTGTATTCTCTAAAAAAATATATTTAAAATTCACTTACAAATTGCTCTCCTTTGGGTTTGCCAACGCCTTCTTGATGAAATGACCGATACTCGCGAAATAACTCGGCATAAGCTTTATTCTTTCGTTTACAAAAAGTACACTTGATTTTTGTTGAAAACTGATCCAGTTTTTGGTTTTTTTTTTTTACAAATATGTTCCTTTTTTGGTTTCGAACAGCTCCGTCGAGTTGAAAATACGAACTGGAACATATGTACGTGCCGCTGGCCTTTTTATAGTAAATTTGATGTTTTCTAAGCCTACTCATTGCAAATTGAATGGTTTTAAATTTTAAAGTTGTCAACTAAAAACAAAGTAATCGGCTGTATTTATCGATGTCTCTTAAGCAAATAAGAATACAACAAATTTACGTACACTTTAAGCGGATTACAACTGTTTCGTACCAAACAAATTCAAATAAAAAAGAAACTAACTATTCGTTATTTTCTTTACATGAAACGAGTTGGACGGTAAAAATGTTTTTTACATCGCCGTCAGCTGTGATAACATTGATAAACCGATAATAATATCGATAACAACCCTCACAAGCTGTTTTCTACCTTGTTTTTCGATTTTTAATTATTTCTCAATTGGACAGTAAAAATATATTAAATCGCCTGCCAATGAGCCAGTTTGGGAGTGCCACCGCCGGGCCACGCCTGTGCCCGTGCAGCATTGCCCTGTTCCTGGTTGCAATCATTCCACTTGCTGTTGCCGGCTCAGCCAAGTCGTCGCTGGGCAGGGATGACGAGCGCTTCTACGAGGAGCTGGTGGTGCGGCCACTGTCCGGCGACCATGTCAACACCTACTTCCAGTTCACCACGCGTTGGCACTTTGGTCAGAAAGATAATCGTGAGTTAGATTCCATCACATAAATCTCTACTATTGCTTACCGAAATTGCTTTTTATTTTACTTAGTTTACCACACCCAGTTGACGCCCCGGGTAATTGCCGAGCTGCTGCAGCAGTTTGACGTCAAGGAGCTGCACATTGGACTGACCCAAGGCTTGTGGCGCTACGAGACCTGGGGATATCCCATTGTGGAGGCAACCAGCGGTGCTGAGATGTGGGCTTGGTTCAGCGGCGATCACAATCTCACCGACAGCGAGGTGAACAGTCAGTGGAGCCAGCTGGCCAATGTCTTTTCCGGTGTACTGTGCGCCTCCTTGAATTTCGTGGACAAAACGAATAGTATATCACCACGCCATCTGCTCCGTCCACAGTTTATGCCAGCCGCAAACAGGAAGAACTTTGTTCGATACTCGGCATTGCCTCGGGAGATCGTTTGCACTGAGAATCTGACGCCGTGGAAGAAGCTCCTGCCATGCGGTAGTGCCTCTGGCTTTGCCTCGCTGCTGAATTCCGGCCATGTCCACAATACCAAGTACCATTCGCTGGGACTGAAGGTGCGTACACTGTGCGAGGATAATAGCGAGAAGAATTGCATCGTAGAGCTGACGCAGACGGCCAATTTGGTCTACGATCTGCGTCTCTTTGAGTTGAGCAGCAGCAACAGTGACTTCTCGCTACGACGGCTCTTCGGCATGGGTCTCAACGGCTACTGTGAACTGGCCGAAAGCTCCAAGATGTATGTGCAACGGAATGAGCAGGGCGAACGCTACCAGTTGGTGCCCCCGCCCAGCCCGGAGAACGATGAGGTGAGGAGCACTCGTGGCGGGCATACTGCCATCTATGGCGTCTATGATATGCACGAACAGTTCAAGGATCACGGCGAGCGTCTCTTCAATGTGGCGTGGCTGTCGCCGAAGAGCGAGAATCGACGTCGGAATTCGGTGAAGCCCACACCGCCGCCATTAACCGTCCATCGCTATCTGCTGGGCCATGGCCAAGAGCGGGGTCGGATAGCCACCGAGATCACGAATTCACATTATGATGCGCTGCCTATTCTGGTGCAGGAGGTAATACCTTGGTATGTTCACGGCTATTTGCACACCCTCTCCGTTCGCCGAAAGCCGCAGCGCGTGAACGAGTACGGACGCCAGCGGATTCCGTTCAAGCTGCTCCACTATAAGCCTGGCAAGCAGCGAGAGCTGCCGTCGCATCTAGAGATCGGTTTCTTGCTGCCGGGACAGACGTCTGCTCTGATAACCATCGACGTGGATTATTTGCTGCTCAAGTGGCTTGAATATCCGCCGGATGCCAATCATGGCCACTATATCGGATCGGCGCTCGTGTCCAGCCAGCTGCCAATGGGAAGGAACTACACTGCTTTGCCGGTCGAGGGTTATCTCTTCCAGGATTCGTTTAATGCGACGCGACCCAGCTATGTGCTCAGTATGCATACGGAGGCGTTAATCGTTTCACTGCCCACACCGGACTTTAGCATGCCGTACAATGTCATCTGCTTGGCCTGCACGGTGGTGGCCCTGGCCTTTGGTCCCATTCACAGTGTGGCAACCAAGATGATAATTGTGGGCAAGCCGACGACGACAACGCCAAAGAACTTTATCAAGAAGCTGCTGAACAAAGTGTTCCGGCGTGGTCAGGCCGCGGCTGAGGAAGCAGGAGCAGCAGACGGGGAAGGAGCAGGAGAGGGATCAGGAGAAAGGGCAGCAGGAGATGGTCTGCTCAGGGAGCCTGGCTTACCAGGCAGCAGAAACTCGGATGGTCAGCCGTTGCTCGAGGATCTCGAGGAGAATGACTAGGAGGAGACAATGAACATAGTCAACAGCCACTGGAGTCGTGATAAGCTCCCACTTTGATATATCTAAGAAGTTCTAATAAAACTATATTGTAAAAAAGTAAATATGCTAGTTTTATATGCTACTACTAATTTTATTTTATTATTTTAATTTTTCAAAATTTTTCGTTAAAATTGAAAAAATTTGAATCTTGAAATTTTAAAAGAGGTGTGCAAATTTATTACCCTAATAAAAACTAACATAGGACAGCTTTCCGAATCGAAATAAAGTCTTATTTAGCAAAGTTATGAGAATTTAAAACTTTGATTTGGTGAACAAATTTTCGATTTATAAACGATATTATTTTTTAGATTTTATTTTGGGGATGTACCCCAAAATATTACTGAAATTCGAATTACTCTTATTTCCCAGCAAGAAAAACATTTGATTTTATTTTCATAACTTTTTCCATTTTTTTTTTAGATTTGTTTTATTATTTACTTTGTTTCTTTTGCATTTGGAAAATAGAGATTTCTAAATGCTATATTTGATAAACATACATTTACATACATATGTCTAAATGGTTTCCCTCGATGTGGATCAAATATGAAATCATATAAGATTCTAGATCAGATCGGATTAGAGCAGGCCAGAGGTAGAGGCCAAACTCCGATCTAGAACGAGATAGCAAGTGACCTTTTCAGATTCATCTCGCTTTTTGCACAAACTTTCTTTCCCTACAAGACTAATGGAACGAGCTTTCGGGAAATATCTAAGCGAAATTTTACAAGGATCTCTCTCTCTCACTCTCTGGCGTTCCAAAATAATAATTTCATCGCCTCTTGTTAATATTTTAACTAACCTTAAATAAACAATTTAGATATCATCAATTTTGGAACTCTTCTACTTTGTGCGCAAGTGAATAATTGTAATAATTGTTTTAACAGTATATTTCGGAATTAATATTACTCTTTACAAATCGCCAAATATAAATTATTTAGTTTGTAGAATTCAAAGTATTTATTAGGGAACTTTAACAGGTTTCCCGAAAGCCGAAGGATTTACTTTGTTACTCTTTTTTTTCTTGTCGGCAGAAAAATGAATATATAATATATTGTTATAATAATTATTCAATTAGTTTCTCAATATTTGTGCTTCATTTCTGGCTTGTTCGATTTTTAACTGATTTTCTTTATCATGGAATATTTTTCATGTATTATTTTGTTTTAATTATATAGTTTACTCATGATTTCTGCTGCTTGATAGTTCTCTTGGTTTTAGTTTTACTTTAAATAGTAAATTTAAGCTTATTATATAAATATACATATACGTTGATTTTACAAATTACATTTCTTTACTTAAAAACATGCACTCTCAACAAAAAAAATATATATACGAGGACAATAAAAAAAATCGATTTAAAGAAAAACTTGAATAGAAAAAAAAAAATTAAAAAATGTTTAAATAGTCTGTTGTGATATTGTTATGTTAAAAACATGTTGCTAATTCTGTTCCTTACAATCATATATCTATATCTAAATATCTATATATTTATGTTTATGCATAAATCGTTTACGAAGAAGAGTGTGGTTTTTCTTAGCTTGTTTTTCCTTTTTTGTTTTGTTTTGTTTCGATTTTAAGAGAGAATTATTTATATATAGTAATAGGATGAAGGGTCGTTCGATTGGCATTGGGTTTTATTTATAAGAAGCTGAAAAGTTAAAGGAGGCGGCCAGGAGGTAGTCTGGGGTAACCAGCTTACAGATGTTAAGTATTCCCATTTTTGCTCTTACAATTGCCTTGGGAGTGTCGAGGTCCTGGCGCTATATATATATATATATCATATCATATCACGGAATCACTAACTAATCACGAATATTCTTATTCTCGCTATCCATTCGTTTCCTCCCTTTTTTCCCATTTATTCTTGTCTTCAGATTCGCTTTTAGCGTCTCAAAATACATACATAAAATCTGTTAGTTTCTGTACCACCATCTTGACCTGGCCGTCTTTGTTTTTGGGGAATCCCAGAATTTTATGTCGACCCATTCTTGTTCTTCGCTTCCTACTTTCTCTGCTTACTTATTTTTATTCTGCAGCAGAATATGCTATGATTGGACTTTCTCCTGGTATTTCGTATGCAAGTTTTGTTTTTCGCTGAATTTGCCTCTCTTCCGAGGCCTACTTCGTTTTCTTTTTTCTATTTTAGTCTAAATTCTTACTTTCTCTCTTATTTCCCCTATTCGCTTTAATCCTAATTTCTAACTCATACTCTTCCTTCACTGCTGTCGTCTCTCTCTCTCTCTGCTCCTTCGCTTTTGATACATTTCTTTTCAACATCTCATTTCTCTCATCTATTAGTAATTGATATTCAATCTTAATTATCGATCCTTTCCTTTCCCCTTCTGCCACCGCCTTGTGGTCCATCCACTTGCTCTCAAGTTCTGCCACCAGTGGCTCCTTATTCATCCTGAACTGGTGGCGTCTCCTCGCCAGAGCTAGATTTGCTGTCTGCTTCAGCCAACCAATTCCGACACGAATCACTTGGGATGGATGAAGCCCGGCGGCGGCAATAGGGATTCCCTGCCTCATTGAGGCGGCTGCTGGCTATAATATCCATAGGCTCCCGTTGGCGGCGGTCCTTGTGGTGCTCCCGGTGGCGGCATTTGGGCACCGGCGGGCCTATACCCCTGATAGCCCTGCGACGGCGGATATTGGGCATAGCCGGCAGTCTGAGGTGGCTGATGGTATGCATGGCCGGGATATGCACTGCCCGGCGGCGGTGGACCATAGCCTTGTGGCGGTGGTGGCGGTGGTCCTCCATAGGGATTCTGTGGAGCTCCTGGTGGCGCCGGTTGATATTGATTCGGCGGCATGGGCGGCGTGGCTCCGTTTGGCGGCGGTTGCTGTTGCTGCTGGCTGCCCTGTCCCTGCTGGGCATTGGGTGGACCTCCTGCTCCACCAGGACCACCACCACCGCCACCGCCTGATCCACCGGCGACCGCCGGCTGCGCCTGCTGCTGTTGCTGATTGGGCGGCGGTGGTGCTCCTCCCGGCTGTTGGTTGTAGTTACCCGGCGTGGAGTATGTTGTCGGTTGAACTTGCGTTGGCAGTGGCGCCACACCGGACACAACGACGCCCGGTTGCTGCTGTTGCTGCGGCGGTCCGGCATATTGCTGGCCAGCAGATCCACTCGGTCCTGTGGGGCCTCCTGCCCCACCACCTGCTCCGCCCTGCGGGGGCGGCGTCGACTGTTGCTGTGCGTTGGGTCCATTAGGATTTGTGTTGCCGCCACCGGCTCCACCACCTGCGCTACCTCCCTGAGGCGGTGGCGTTTGACTCGGCGCCGTGCTGCTATAGGCACCACCCGGCGGTGGCGGTGGCACCGATGCCACACTATTGGGCGGTCCTCCCGGATAGCTGCTGCCCGGCGGTCCTCCACCCCCACCGCCACCACCAGTCGCCTGTTGTTGCTGTTGCTGCTGCTGTTGATACGCCTGATAAGGACTCTGGCCACTGCCCGTGGGCGGAGGTGGTGGTCCGTAGCTGCCAGGTGGCGGAGGTCCTCCACCGGCTCCCGCCTGACCGTACTGCCCAGGCTGAGGTGGATACCCTGCATAGCCCATCGGCGGCGGCGGCCCACCCGCTGAATTCTGTGGCGGCGGCGGACCGTACTGGCTCTGGGGCGGCGGTCCTGGCTGCTGCTGTCCACCGGTGGGCGGTGGACCGTACATCTGGCCGGGCGGTGGTGGTCCTTGTGGTGGCGGCTGCTGTTGTTGTCCCGGCACTGGCGGTACCTGCTGGCTACCAGGCGGCGGAGGATATGCACCAGGCGGTGGTCCTCCCGGTCCACCGGCATTCGGCTGATAGCCATGTCCGCCGGCTCCCGCTGCTGCTGCGGCTGCAGCTGCTGCCGCTGCTGCACCTGGCCCATGATGATAGCCACCTTGGCCGGCATTCGGTGGCACTGGCGGCGGCGGTCCGTAGCCCTGGGTGGGCGGTCCATAAGGATAGGCGCCGGGCTGTGGCTGGTATTGAGTTTGCGGCTGCGGAGGATAGCCAGGATAGTGGCCATGCTGCTGCTGCTGCTGTTGCTGTTGTTGCTGCTGTTGTTGGTAACTGACGCGATAGGGGCTCTGTGGCGGCGGGACACCGGGTCCACCGGCACCAGGCTGAGGACCGCTCTGCTGCTGATTGGGCGGCTGCTGTGAACCGGGCTGCTGTTGCTGCTGCTGCTGCTGAGGATTCTGGGGTCCTGGCAGTGGTCCATTGTTGGGACGCTGTTGATCTGCATGGCAAGGAGGTAAATGAACATTATATTAATTTAGCGTTTATTTAGTAAGGAGCAAATGTAAAGGGAATAACAAATTCAATTCAAGCTTGCAAGGCTTGAGGATTAGCTAGAGAATCGACTTATTCCTTGGGAAGAATCAATATGAATCTGCTTTTATTTATATGGCAACAGTAATTGACTGTACTTGAGCACAATGAAAGAAAGAAATTGCTTGAAACCCTCTTGAAACTTGCGAGATGACTACGTTATATCTCTTGAACCTTGTTAGACAACGTTCTTTCTTGCAATAACCTCATCGAAAATCTTCAACATAGAAACCCTGCTCAACCATATAATTCCTCCAAGCTGTCTCTTCATCATCTTGCTTTTGATCGTACATGACATTACACTTACTGGGCGCTGCATTCGGATTTGGTCCTTGTCCTGGTCCCTGTCCCGGACCAGGCTGTTGTCCCTGACCCTGGGCATTACGGTAGACGGGATGCTGCTGCTGTGACTGCGGGCCCGCCTGGCTAACCTGCGGTCCCTGTTGTTGCTGCTGCTGACCAGCAGCTGCCGCTGCCGCTGCTGCAGCCGCCGCCGCCGCTGCAGCCTGCTGTTGTTGCTGCTGCTGCTGTTGAGATTGCTGTTGGGCATTGGGCGGCAGTCCGGGATGTGGCTGTGGTTGCTGCTGTTGCGCTCCATACGGCGTCATCTGAACGGGTGGACCCTGAGGATCGCCGCCATGCTGCTGCATGCCCATTTGCGGCGGAGCACCCTGCTGTCCGGGCTGCTGTTGAGGTGGCGGTCCGCCCAACATACCATGCGGTCCCGATGGGGGCGTTTGCTGGCCGCTCTGTTGCATGGCTTGCGTCTGGAGGATGTGCGGTGGCTGCAAGAAAAGCAGTGTTTTAGTAATTGATTTATATTGGAATTTCTTTTTAAGAAGAAAATTTACTTGGAACTATTTATTAAGATTTTCAGCAAAATGTAAGGATATTCAGTTAGAAATAGCATTTTAGAATGACGCTTTTTGTCATAAATAAAGAAACAAGTCTATGTATAAAAAAGTATTGATCTTTAATAAAATGCCAAATCTTTTCACATGTTTTAAGCACTTAATAATATTAGCAATTGTTTATTAAATTATTAACAATATATAATCCAAGGGTTCATTCTAGGAATATATAACTCTACTTAAATATCTTGATTATTATCTACTTTAGTCTAACCCACCGGCAGTATTTGGGAGATATTCATGGTGGGATCGGCCAGCTGGGCGAGATAGACAAGATTTCGATGCAACGCCACATGGTAGGACATGCACTCCTGCGCCTTGCCCATGCTCTGGAAGTCCTGAATGGTCTGGATGAGGCCACAGTTCTCGTCCAGCATCTTTTGGATCTGGGCAGAGTTGACCTGCGGCGGCACCACATTAGAGCCGCGCGGTGTGGACGGCGGTGTGACCATCATGCCGCCACCGCCACCGCCGCCGCCGGAGATGATGCTGCCGGGTGAACCGGGTACGCCCATTTGTGGTCGTTGCTGTTGTTGCTGCTGTTGCATTCCCATCGGCAAGATGCTACCTCCGCCGCCACCGACTCCTGGGAGACCACCGCCGCCGCCACCTCCTCCTCCTCCGCCGGGGCCCACACCGGAACCAGGAGGAGGCTGTTGATTGGGGGCATTATTCGGGGGCGGTTGCTGCTGCTGCTGCTGTTGTTGTTGTTGCTGTGGCGGGGGTTGCTGCTGCTGCGGCTGCAATTGCTGCTGCTGCTGCGGCGGTTGCGGCGAATAAACTGCAGACATTTTACTGGCTGCAGTCTTCTTCTTCCGCTTCGGGGTTTTCTCCTGTTTTTCCACAATTTTAGCGGTTATTCTCGACCGTTGGGAAAATGAAAATTTGTTCGTCTATTCGCGTTTTTTTGCAGTGTGCGGCTTTTTTTTCACATACACACACACACTTTCTTGGCACGCACGCACACACACAATCACTTACTCGCACACACGGACAAACACACGCGCAAACAAACACACGTACAAAGAAAGGAGTCCCGGGTTGCTAGGAAAAAGTTTTGTGCTGCAGGTTTACTTATAAACCATTGGTATTTCGACTTCTTCTATTCCCGATACTTCGACAATTATGACGGCCGTCAAATGTTCATAGTTTTTGTTCTTTTTCCCACACTTTTTCGCAAGAAAAATTAGCAAGAGGCAACGACGCTTAAAACGATGACACGGGCACTATCGATACTATCGATGTTTAATTCGTGATTTTGTAAATCGATAACGGAAAACATCGATTTCTTGCCAGCTCTGGCGACGATCATTTTTATCGATATACTATCGATAATCACCCTTACGTTGATAGATTACGTTTTGCCACCTCACGTTTTTCGGTGTGACCAGCTGCCGGTGGAAATATTGAACAAACGTTATCGACAGGCCAGATAGTATCTTTAATCGTTCTCGGTGCGGTCTTATTGTTGTAATTTCTAAATTAAAGTAGCAGTGCGTTCCGCTTTTCTGCGCTCTTCTCTTGCCGCAAAGAGGTATCTCAACGTTTCGTGTTTATTTGTTCCGTTCGCTGCCTGTTGTTGTTTTTTTTTGTTGCCTCCAAATGCGTTTCTTGTGTCAGTGTTGTTGTGTGTGAAAAGAAGCGCAAAAGCAAATGCGAGTCAATGTTAAATTGTGCGTAAATACATAAATGCGGATTCATCTCAATTAGTTTAAATCAATTAATTGTGAGGGGAGTTGCAGCAAATTGGCAGAGGACAGCAGCTGAAAGCGACGATCAACGGAGGCTCAGTAAATCAACAGGTAAATTTTAGAAGATGGGTCGAGACGGAAACTTACAAAAACTCCGCTACACACACACATACACACGCTTGCAAACACACACAACACATTAAAAACATGCGCAAATTAGGTGTGTATGTTTATGCAAGTGTGTGCGTTGCTTATTAAAAATGTCTGTCGCGGAAAAAACAAACAGTCGGCAAAAACAACAAAGCCGGCCGCTGTCCCAAAAAAAGTTGTTAAAAAAATCAAATTAAAAAGAAAAACAACAAATGCAAATGATCGAGCGGGAGTACAAATCACTTACGTGACAGAGAGAGGGATAGAAAGAGTGAGTTTAAATATTATTGTCTCTGCTCTTCCGTTAATTATAAGTTGACACCCCTCCTCTTATTTGCTGTTCACGTGCCGCACTCTTTCGCTCTCCCTCTCTCTCCTTCTGTGCAGTGTGAAGGTCAGCTGTTTGTGTGTGCGACCCTGCACTTGGAGAGCAAAAAATATATATTTTATTGATTTGCTTCCTTTTTATTCGCTTCTCTTGCGGTTTCTTTTTCTGCTTCAGCAACATCAAAACAGCTTCTGCAGCGACTAAATCTAATACCCTATAAATGCGAATTACCGTTTGGTTAATCTCGCGTGACCAAGAAGCATAGGGACTGGGCAAAAGGCAAAGGAAGAAAACATTGATAACAAGATAACGGTTCTCTGGGACGCCATCTGTTGGGCATTTAAATGCTATCTCTCGTAAGGGGAATTAAAAATAGAATTCCCTATTTTTGATTTTTCATTTAAAAATATAGGCAGTTGTGTTTTAAAAAATTATTGGGAAATTATTAGGAAATAAATGTAAATTCCTAAAAGGTTATATTTAGTAATATGAGCAGCTGAAAGCTTATAAGAGGCCTAATATTTAGTTAATAAATTCAAAATAAAATTTATATGCTCGATTTTATTAAAAAACTTGATCAGTTTTTATTAAAAATGTAACTTTAGTACTAAACACGAATGTGCTACATAGTTTTCCATCACTTGATAAAGCTGTTTCATATGCAAATGTTAATAATTAGTCATTTGAATGGGTTTTTTCCTGATTACTGGACTTTGACACGTCATATTTCAGTTGTATATTTGCAAAATATAAAATTTACAAATCGAATCCAATTGAAAATCAGCACTAAACTGTTTAAAAATTTACCAGATTTCTGGCATTAAGTTAATCTCATATCTTATCCTGTATTTATAATCCATTGGACTTAAAACAAGTTGCTTGTTTTAACAATATTCCACCTCTACGTGTACATATATTGCACTTGCCTGGCTCACTAGAATATAACCCCACCTGCACACACACACCTGCCCAACTTTCAGGCCAAGTCTCGATGTGTAGGTTATTTGTTATTTGGTCGATAGACTAGCTCCTGTTGCTCCTGCTGCCGCCTCGTCAACGTTGACTTGCCCATATATAATGCTAGTTGGACGGCCAGTTGGTGGATAACGCGCTTGATGGATGGATGAGGTCATACATAGGTGGCTAAGAACTGTCCATTGCAGGAGCTCTACCATCCGCCTTTGGAATCCTTGTTCCGCTTGAACTTAGTGCACTGGGGGAAAGTTTTCATATTAATTATTTGATGTGAATTAGAATTCTTATGTGGCTTAAAAATATCTTTAAAATTGATTTATAATTTATGAATTATTTGCTTGGGAATTAGTTCTCTGGTTAATTCCCGACTCTTGTTTGATATACATTTAATGATTGCCTTTATTTTTTAGTGTGCAGTTTTCTGCTGTATTGTTTGCTTACTTGGGCTATCGGTCAATGCAATTACTTAACGACATTTACAATATTTATTGTGAAGTATTTTCGGTCTGTCCGTCAGACTTACATTCCCATTTCATGGTCACTTTCGACCCGCATACATTCGCTGATTCCGCACGGCCATCCAGATCCAAAGTTGGACATTAGCAGAAGACTCCAGATAAGCTTCTCAGCTACGATCCGATATCAACTAAGTGGAATTGCTGACGTTTCATTGCGACATCGATAAGGAGTAGAGAGTTTAAAGAAAACAATCAAAAAGTGGTCATTTAATAATGTAAACAATTGTTGCTTCGATACAGTGTCAGCAAAAATATTGAAGAAATGGAACAACAAATTGAGTCAGCAAGCAATAAAAAAACAACATCTTAAATTAGGTTCTTTGGCTTGGTAAAAACAGCACTGAAAAACATTGATTATTATAAAGGAAGATTACAGTATTTATATATGAATTATGGACTTACTCTCTGACTCATGATCTCATGAATGCTTTTAAAAAGTTAAACTAACTTTACTCTTACAACCTAAAGTCAAAGGGAGTGATTGATAACATGTCTGATTATTATGTTTTCTTCGTTTTTTTTAAACCCCTTCTTCCCTGCATAGGAACACATATAGGAACTGTCCATTGACCACGCCCCTTAGCACACCCAGATCGAAAGCAACTCTCCCCCTTCAAGGCCATAGCTGACGTCCGATTCGCATCGAACCACTTGAAATATACATAGCACTTGAGCTTCGGCTCCGTTAATTTTCCACCCATCGGATGTCATCGAGAATTCATTTTGGTCACCTTATCAATGGCCGAAAAAAATCCTCTCCACTCTATGCAAATTCTATCATAATGATAACACAAATACTGTCGGCTATAAATACGATTTTGTCCTGTGTGTGTATTTACGTTTACCCACCATTAGTTGTGTAATTTAATGCAGATAATAAAAATAGTTAAGTGCGATAACACGGGATGTGTAAGCGGGAGGAGAGACTTTGGAACCTGTATATCGGGGAGAGTAAGAAAATGGAAGATATCTCGGGTAATAAAGTAGTTTTTAATTAAGAAATTGAATTTTTTACGTTTAAAACTAAGTATGCAGATTTGTTAGCCTCAAAAGAACTAACACAGAAAGGCTTTCCGAATTGAAATTAATGCATTTTTGGCTTAGTTATGATATTTCAAAAACTTTAACTTGCTATAACTATGCCACAAGAAGCTAATTAAATATTATGACTGGAAAGTATTGAAATATTTACCTTAAAATCTTAAGGTTTGCCTTTTAAACTCTATAAAAAAGAGCCACTTGTATGGAATCTGAAATCTGCAGCATTATACAAATACAAGATAAATGAAAATGGATGTCAGAGAAATACAAAAACATCATATATATCTTTGATAAGATAAGGGCGCAGAACCTCAGGTGCTCATACGTCTGAACATATATATAAACATGTATCCCCAGCAAAAATGTCGGTTAAATCTGGAAATAGCAAGTTCCTTTAACTAGTTGAATTAGATTTAATTAGAACTAAACTTTGAAATGTGTCAATTCAGAAGGTAACATTAATTTTATTTTAATGTTTCAAACAATAAAATTTTAAGGTTTTTACTAAAATGTAAAAAAACGATAGATAAGATAAGTTACACATTCGCTAATTGAAAATTGTTCGTACCCTCCAAAGCGATCAATCTTGTATGATAAGAAATACCCTAAAAATATTTGACAGATTTCAAATATCATCAAATCAAAATCAATAGGGTGAAATAAGTATCGATGATGACGAAGAAGAAAGAGAACGAGCAAAGGTATTATTATATAGATAGATAAGGCTATCTCAGATACATGTATTGCTTGAAAAAGGCCAATGACCAATGCAAAAATTCAATTTTTAGCTGACTCAAGTCAGTGTTCTGGAAGTTTCTGGTTCCCATATATATAGTATATATATATATCGTGAATCGGCTGTCATCAAATTGAAGCCAAATGTTTCTAGTTTCCAGCCTTGAAATTGGTGTGGAAATGCTTTCGTTTGCGCAGTTTTATTATATGGGTCCCCCCATTATGTCTGTCGTAAATATATGGCTCAAGTTCCCCTATCGGTTCCATTTGACGATAAGCTTCTACTTGCGTCTGTCGAGCGACTTCTTGACACCTTGCACCTGTATGTCTGGCACTGGTGTGTGTGTATCTTTATCTCTCACTGTATTTGCCCGACTGCTCGCGGATTATAAAACTGTCAATTAAAATCAAATTTGGCTTTATTGGCTCCCAAATATTATTTCACATTAGTCGTGTTAATCTTGCTTTAAGCAATTTATAAATCGATAGGAAAATAATTCAGTTTGTTACCCTCTCGTCTGGGGTTTTTTTAAATAATATTCAACTACATAAAGGGTTTCTCTGCAAGATCAAGTGAGTGTTTATGTGAAGAACATCTCCTTAAATTGTGCAACAACCACGAAAATCTGTAAAACCATAATTAATGTGTTACTCTCTTAAAGACGTGCAAAATGTCCAAGGTTCTTATCTTAATTATTTTTCGACACCTGCTCTGCGATTACATTTTTGTTTACGAATACCCGAAGTCATATAAAATAAAGACAACATTATAAAATGCTTGGTGAATACCTATTAACTTCAGCTCATGAAATTATAAGAATTTTTGCAATTAGATTTTAAATATTTCCAAACAGAAATTCCCATAATAAATAGCTTAATAATTATTGATTCTGATCCAAAACAATTGTATACCATAGCCTACAGATGGCAGAAAACATTGATATCTCGATACTGCATCGATATTTAAAGTGTAATTTTTGTACTTCTAACAGTGATTTCTAACATTTCTTAAATCACTGCCAGTCCCATTGGCCTGCAATTATATTTTATGAACCCTTTATATCGATTCAGTTTATACCTTTATATCTACAGAATATTAACGTACTTTTCCATGTTCTCCGATTGTTATATATCATTTTTGCTGCTGACGCCTTAATTTGCAATCATTTTCCTGCCAATCAATATTTAATTGCCCAGCGTTTTCTTTCCTATTTTCTTCTTTTTTGTATTTTTTGTATTAAAAAGTAAGAATAAAATGAAAATCGAAAATCAATAGATAAAAACGTAGAAAATAAGTGTAAACAAGATGATGGACTGAACTCTGGCCTCGAGAATATTTAAGTGGAATATTTAAGGAGGCTATAGGCTCGAAGAAAAGAGGAGGTTTTTCTATTTGATAAAGACATTTAATTAAACAAATGGATAATCAAGAGTTGAGGTGGAGGGAAAATGCATTTCCACAGGTAAGAGGTGGAAAGGTGTGGTGGGCGGATCTACGTCACGCGAATTGCTAAACATTTAAATGATTCAGTAACCCTGAATCGACGGCTCCTGTTTCCCAGTCTATACATACAGACTAGAATATATGTATATATTGCTTCCAGGAACTAGATTTTTCTAGATTTTAGCAGATATTTCAAGTGTGATTCAAGTCTTTATCTTTGGGCTTATTCATAAATTAATTGGTTCAAGTGTTTGTCTTTGGTGTTATTCATAAATTAAGCTGCAAAAATACGATTATTAGCTTTAAATCAAAACACTTGTTTTGGGGCCAGTTTTTCATTGATTGCCGCTTGCAGTGCACGTTTTTATTTAGCTTTAAATATCGTAAAATATTAACTTTATTTTAGTTGGAAAATTACTCTTTAAAATAATTGATCTGGTTTCTTTATTTAAATTTTTTAAATTACATCTTAGTTCTAGGCTCTTAAGGTTGAGCTTCAGGTTTTTAGGTTCCAAAGGCAAAGAAAGGTAAAAGAAATGTTTGCCTGTTGTCATAATCTTAAATGTAATTAAACAAGTAATGATTCTTAACGTCAACTATATAGTCAAAAAGACGTGCTTCCTAAGGAAATATCCACATTATATAGTAACATCATAACAAAGCTTAAAATATTCGCTTTCCTTCAATCAATATTTATTGATATATTGATATAAAAATGTTTTCGCCAAATCGAAGTTTAAAAAACTTATAACTAAGCCAAAAATTAATACATTTTCAATCGGAAAGCTTCTCTATGCTAGTTCTTATTAAGTTAATAAATTTGCATAGTCAATTTAAAATTAAAAGCAAATTAAAATTTTTCCAAATTTTTGGCAAATTTGAACGATGTAACACCTTATAAAATTTTTTCTTTTCCAAAACCTGGCTAGATCGATTCGCCTTTTGATGCTGAATATACATGTTTTAATGATATCCATGTTTACCTTATGACCCTTTGCAGGTGCTCACATAATTTTGGGTGCAGTGACTTAGAGGAGGTGCATCAGTGCAGCATCAGCAGTTGTTGTTGTGGAGGCGTGCGTCAAATTTTGGAGGCGCCGGCCGGCATAGAGAACTTTTCCGAGACGCGAGCGCCCAGCGGAGCAGTCGCCACCACGACGTCGACGTCGCCGCCGCCGCTGCCGCGAGCTGCGCTGCTGTCAACCCACTTGGACGCCAGCGCCGACAACAATCGCGGGCGTGTCTACAAGCTCCGGAAGAAGAAATACCTGGACGCAGCGCACATAACATAGGTTGTCGTCGAGGTGGAGCTATCGTGGATTTAATTGGTGCTATAGCAAACGGAATCGGAATCGGAAACAGAATTGGAGTTGGAGTTGGATTTGGAGACGGAGACGGTGCTAGGAGTTCAGGAAACGGAAACAGGTGCCTGCAAATAGTAATAAATATATGTATGACTTAAATATAAATAATATATTAAGATCAGAGTACTTCAGAGATTATTTACATTTTTTATATTTATTGCTATTATTTATTTAATTTAAGTGTTTAAAGTATAACAATTTAGTATTATTTTTATATATTTTTTCTAGTGTTGAATGAACTGAATTTGGAATTATTAAAAAAAATAATGAAGTATCATTAAATTGATCGATTTTCGGTTAAGGTTTTGATATTTAAAGGTAGCAATACATTTAATTTTAATGTTTGATTTTAAATGGTTTGTTGCTTTTTTTAAATGTTTTTTCATTGATTTTTAACCAATAAGAAGTTCCTTGTAATTTGTGATTTTAAATATTTTATTGCTTCATTTTCGAACCCTATTTTTATTTAAAATAAAAGCAATTACTGAGGAACAAAATAAATATGTAAAATTCGGCTTAAGCCAAATTTTTAGGCTCATAAGGTTTTTTCCATAATTTTTCCTCTAGAATAATAATTTTATATTAATTTTCTGCGATTTTTTAAACTCAATTATAATATATATACCTACTACGTTTTTAGGATTTCCAAACACCAGTCCCAGGAGGATTCAGTCAGCCCAAACAGATCAACAACAGACACTACAGAGAGATAGAAAGCAATGCCAGTACAATCCCCCATCGAGATCAGCAATCGTGCAATCGAGCACATTGACGATGTGGATCCCCTGGAATATCATGGTCACTGGGAGCCGGTGGGTGTGGCAAGGGTCCAAAATACCGGCACCTCGGCAATGGTAACTTTCAGCAAACGAAAGCAACAACCATATATTATCGGTGGTGCCTTGGACACGGACATGTATGTGTTCGAGCAGTTGCACTTTCACTGGTCCGACAGCGACGAATCCGGCTGCGAGCATACGCTGGAGGGTATGAAGTACTCAATGGAGGCGCATGCCGTTCACTACAATGCCAAGTACAAGGATTTTGCCGAGGCCAAGAATAAACCCGATGGCCTGGCCGTGGTGGCCTTCTTCATTCAGGCGTGCGGAGAAAAGGATTGTCCGGAGTTTAAGAAGATCACGGAGGGTATACGCAATGTGCAGAAGATCCAAACAAGTGCATCGCTGGATTCCGGTAAATAATACATTCTATTATTAGTGGATATATGTATTATTATGTTAACATTTATATGCATACTTAGATTGCCTGTCATGGATTGGTCTACAGGAGTTGAGCAAGCATTATTATACCTACAAGGGTTCGCTTACAACGGCGCCGTACTTTGAGAGTGTCACCTGGATTATATACCGCACACCCATCTATGTGTCGCGGGGCCAGGTGGGCTGATACATTTAACATTTATATATGTAATATGTTATATATAATAATATTTCTATGTATATCACAGGTGAGCGTTTTTCGCAATTTGCAATCGTGTCCCAAAGATGAGTCCAAAAAGATAGTCAACAATTATCGTGAGATTCAGCGTCCGCACAAGGATCCGGAAATCTTTTTCGCTCGCAATACAAATCCAAAGTCCAAATTATGATGTGCTTGTTGGCGCCGAACTCTACCCTCTCTCCAACGCTCCTTTCCATCCGTTTTGCCTGTGAAATCGTGGATTCCTATCCAAAATCTATATCTTTATATATATATCTGTCTATGGTTTTATTCTAAGCTGCTTTTTTGTTATTTTGCCTCATGTACATAGCGTTATATATATATATTTTGTTTCCTAACATACACACCCACATATATATATATATATATGTAAATGTTTATATAAACGGAGTAATTACGAATGATTTTAGTCGGAACACGCGGTTGCCTTGCATTGAATATTTCCGAGAAATATATCGGGCACAACAATATACTTAAGACATATAGTGTACAAGAGACGTAAATCCTAACATTTAAGCTAATTAGTTAACAAAGGAACAGTGAAAGAAAGGTAAAAAACGTAAAACACACACATACACACATTTTGTATGTCCCAACTGAATTTATTACAAATCTATTATTAAAATCTATTAAAGTGTATCAAAAAAGTGTGTTAAGTTACTTGTTCCTCAATTAAAAGTAAATATCCTTCTTGTCACATATCTTATTTCATGATCACATGCTTTTGGCCTAGCATTTGGCTCACTTTTCAAGTAGTAAAGGCACTAAGTTCTTAATAAACCACGCCTTGGATATGGACAAGTGATTACCCTCGACGCCCAGGAAGACTAGCTTACCAGCATTATCCATTTTGTCCAGTCCCAGCTGTAAGAGGATAGGAGAATAGGGTTAATAAGATGTACCATAATACGTATTTGTTAAGAAAGAAGCTTACATTAGTATAAACTCTGCTGTCCTTGAGTGGCGTAATGAGTTTGTCCTGCCCATTGGTATAGAACTCAAACCACTGCGACTCCTTTGGCTGCACAATTGTATCGTTCAGGAATTTAACCATCACAAATCTGCGGAACATAGAGTTTAAAACCGTTGTTCAGATATATACATATATATATATATATATTTATAATAAATATATTACATACTTTTTAAGCTTGTTGAGATTCTCAATGTAGAATGTATTTAGGTACACCTCGTTGTTGATGTCCGCCAGGAAAGTGCTGCCCAACCGGTAACGATTCTCCATGATGGGATCATGCCAATATGTGGCCTGCACCAGATCCTCCTGCACTTTGCTGATAGGATATATATTGAAATAGAGAAGAAAACAAACGATTTCGAAATAGAAAGAGTACGTTGGATCGTCCTTATATTCCATACTCACGTTGTATATACGGCCGTCGTAAGAAGCTCGCTAATGTACTCGCAGGACTTTGCGCTTAGTGTTGGGCACATGGGCAGCCCGAACACCCCCTGATGCTGACCGCCCAACGTAATGAGGGTACGCATCGGCGGCTGCGGACACCGCTGGGCCACGGCTCGCAGAAACTGGCCGCCCTGTGAGAAGCCAATCGCATTGTAGCCCCTGGACAGCTTCTCGTCCTTCAGCAGCTCCTTGCACACATAGTCCACCTGGTCGTTGGGATGGAGGAAGAAGCCGCTCTGCCAGTCCATCACAATGTTGCCGTCGATCTCAACGGAGCGAACGTAGCCGCCCTTTGTCTGTTCCACAATCAGCGACATGATGGCACCCAAACTGAACGGCGCACAGCAAGTGTCGCCCATTCCGTGCCACAGGATTACGGGCACGACATCGGAATTGGTGCCACCCGCTTCCGGCTTCCACCAGAAGAAAGCCACAACGATTATTACGAGTAAAAAAAGGATAAGGATGAACCGACACATAGCTCTTTGTTATTGTTTTTATCCAGTGTGACCGTTTCCAAGCAGGCTGGAAAATACTAAAGGACGGGTGGGGTCTTTCGATAGCTGAAAAGATTATTCTATCGATATTTTTTTATTGGTCGAAATTGACCCCAACACGATTAAAGCATGTTGCTGTTTACAAAATTGTTGTTGTAGTTGTAGGCAAAAAGCAGCCTTCAATTTTCAGTTCATAATTGTAAATTTCTGAGTCTGGCATACCAGGCGAACAGAAACCGCAGCAAATTGAATAATTTTAGTGCAAGAAATTTCGATTAACCAATATCGAAATATCGTCATCGGAATAATCGATTTACAACTTATTGTAGTGTGACCAACTAATTTTGCACTACTTTTGAAAATTGTATGACCATATCGACTATCATAAGCTTTTTGTAGTGCGACCAGCTAATGTTCATTACTTTAATATCGAAAAATGACTGTCATTTTTCACAACTTTTTTCGCTTATAGTAATTTTTTACTACTATAATCGAAAAGTGACACTCATTTTTCACAACTTTCTTGTAGATCTGATGCATTGCTTGCTTTGTGAGCAGCAGGAACGGACCTGTCTCGAGCGTATGGTCTCCGAGGGCAGCATACCCGAGGACCGGAAGGTGGCCGGTCTGGCTGGCTGCAATGGCCACCGCCGGCCATGATCAAGGCCATACCGCCGCCACCGCCACCGATGGCGCCGGACATGATGCCACCGCCTCCGCCACTGTGCTGGCGCCAGCAATGGGTGAGTACAGAGTTAAGACAGGTTAAGGAGCGTCGCATAAATTAATTTCTATCCTTGGCCTACACCTCCTGTGTCACCCAAGGTGGAGCCGCCAAAGAAGAAGGATGCCAAGCTCCAGGGCACCGTCTAGAGCGAGCTTGACGAAAGCAAACTGTATAACAACATGGAGTTGGAGTCGATAGACAAGTTCTTTTCGGCTTACCCAAAGAATGGGGTATCGGTGAGTGCCTAGGAGAGATTCCGCTGAAAGAAAGAAAGAGGAGCAACTGACGCAGGCAGGCAAGCGCGATGATGAGCTGGAACGTGAGAACTTTGATGTGCAGGATCTTGAAACGGGTCAGCATTCGCAGGCGGTGCAGCGCGTGCAGGCCGCCGAAATGAAGGCGGAGGATTTACAGCATCGGCTGCTCAGCGAGCAGCCGGAACGTGCCCGTCTGGAGCGTCTGGTCACCGAGGGCAGCATACCTGACGATCAGAAGGTGGCCAGTCTGATTAGCTGCAACGGAGCTGTGTCTCCGGGCCCAGAACTGCACCATCCTGCTCAGCTATTTACCCTGCTGCAGTCCTGTGAGTACTACTTGGGTGTCCTTGTCCTAAGCTTAGCTAATTTTAACCCTTTTCATGCGCAGATACTGGTCACTGCACGGATGGCTGCTGATCGATCGCGTGGTCCAGCAGGTTGTGCTGCAGGTGGACCAGCGGCCAAGCAGCGATCTTATATCCGATCCCGATCCGGTCAAATGCCGCTGGTGGATTAAGAAGTGCGACGACTCAGAAACGTCCAACTGGATCGCGGCCAATACCAAAGAATGTGATCATAGAGAAAGAAGGCGGCTGCAACCATATGGTGTGCAAGAACAAGTTCTGTTGGGTCTGCCTCGGCTTCTGGGAGCCGCACAGCTCCTCCTGGTACAACTGTAACCGGTACGATGAGAGGAGGCCAAGGCACCTCGTGATGCCCAGGAGAAGTTGCGCTCATCCCTGGCCAGGTGAGTTTTTATACTATTCTAATTTTTGTCGAAAGCTTGTAATGCTGAAGGAGTAATTTTCGACCCTATAAATATTATACATATATTCTAGATCAGCATCATCAGCCGAGTCGGTCTAGCTAGGGTCAGGGTCAGTTTTAAAAATAGCGTAAAAGAAAGATCTTATAATTAATTTAGGCTTTTAACTTTGAGTATACGTTTGTAGATATCATCAATACAAATTGCTAAATCACTTTAAATTAAAATTAAGTACTGGGATCCATGGCTATAAGGGAATTAATTGAAAAATCAATGCTTAGCTAGCAGAGCTGAAACTAGACCAAGGCCTAATCCCTCCTATAGCATCTATATATGTATGTGATATAATTCTCATGATTAAGACTTACCCAAGTGGAGGACACGTCATTGTTTACTTCCTTCCAGTATAGACTTCGAATCTTGTTGACTTCAATTAGGGTAGTCATAATATCGAAGATCACTTCCTGGTTATCCAGATGTATTCCATTGGCCACGTCATTCTTTTAATTCACTATCACTATTGATGTAAACACTAGGTACCCCTAGGACAGACTGAGCTCTCGGCGAACGAAGTGCCTCTATTTATAGTTCCCGAGTCAAGAGAACAGAGAAAGTGAGAGCGAGAGAGTAAGAGATAGGCAGAGAAACATACAGAGAAAGAGTTAGCTCTGGAGATGCACAGTGGGAGTTGGACCTACCGGATAAAAAGAGGCAGAGGGAGAAAGGGAGAATGCTGTGGATGCTGATCAAGAATATGTTTACTTAATAAGGGCGTTACTGCGTTCCAAACTTTTGAGTGAAATTATAATACCATGCAAGGGTATAAAAATGATCAAATAAAATTTGGATTTTAAGATTCTTGCAGGGCATCGACGAGATTTGGCAGTCACTAAACTATTTGTTCTTTTGTCCTGGCAGGATTCCCCACTACGAGTAAAGGCTGAAGAGTCTCCAGTACAGGAAGCGCTTTATGCCGACGGTCAACGATCTTATACACCGCATCGCCAGAGTAATTTCACTTCACTTCACATTCACTTTTTCATTTATTATCACTATTTAAGTGCATTTTTAATAACCACAGGCAACTACATGAACCGCAGGGCGCGTGACCCACACCAAGTCCAGTGCCGCCAAGGGCACCACCCTGCTGCAGTATCTCGTCCAGGTAATCGAGAGTAAATTCATGGATCCACTGGAGCTGGAGGATCATATTCCGTATGCCCGTGAGGCTTCCAAGGTGTCGCTGGGCGAGATGGACAAGGATATCCAGATGCTGCGCACCGGCCTGGCGGATGTGGCACGCGAAATCGAGTTTCATCGAACTTTGCCCTTCATGCGGGAGTTCCACGCTCGGTCCACTTTGCGGAGCTGGAGGACAAGTTCCAGGACATAAAGACCCGCTTCGATCACGCCCTGCGTCTGTTCGGCGAGGATGGTTCGGTATGTTAACAATAATAATAATAAGGTCGACGATCAGCTGACGTGGAGCCGCCATATGCAGCATGGAGGTGTGACCAGCTAAGGTTCACTACTTTAATATCGAAAAATTAGTGTTGTTTTTCAGAACTTTTTTGTGGTGTGACCAGCTAATTTTGTTTTACTACTATTATCGAAAAGTGACAGTTATTTTGCACAACTTTTTGTAGATCGGTATCATCGCTTGCTTATTGCGCAGCAGAAGCGGGCCCGTCTCGAGCATCTGGTCACCGAGTACAGCATACCTGATGGCCAGAAGGTGGCCGGTCTGACTGGCTGCAATGGAGCAGTGTAGCCACCGCCGCGGCCGCCCTCGGCCATGGTCATGGCCATACCGCCGCCACCACCAAAATGGCGCCGGCCATAATGCCGCCACCGCCAAAATGGCGCCGGCCAGGATGCCAGCACCACCGCCGGCCGGGTGCACCGCCTTCGCCACCGTGGATGACGCCAGCAATGGGTGAGTACAGAGTTAAGACAGGTTAAGGAGCGTCGCATAAATTAATTTCAATCCTTGGCCTACACCTCCTGTGCCACCCAAGGTGGAGCCGCCAAAGAAGAACGTGCCACAGCCCACGAATCCATTAAAGAGCCTCAAATGGTCCAAGCTGCCGGATGCCAAGCTCCAGGGCACCGTCTAGAGCGAGCTTGACGAAAGCAAACTGTATATCAACATGGAGTTGGAGTCGATAGACAAGTTATTTTCGGCTTACCAAAAGAATGGGGTATCGGTGAGTGCCTAGGAGAGATTCCGCTGAAAGAAAGAAAGAGGAGCAACTGACGCAGGCAGGCAAGCGCGATGATGAGCTGGAACGTGAGAACTTTGATGTGCAGGATCTTGAAACGGGTCAGCATTCGCAGGCGGTGCAGCGCGTGCAGGCCGCCGAAATGAAGGCGGAGGATTTACAGCATCGGCTGCTCAGCGAGCAGCCGGAACGTGCCCGTCTGGAGCGTCTGGTCACCGAGGGCAGCATACCTGACGATCAGAAGGTGGCCGGTCTGATTGGCTGCAACGGAGCTGTGTCTCCGGACCCAGAACTGCACCATCCTGCTCAGCTATTTACCCTGCTGCAGTCCTGTGAGTACTACTTGGGTGTCCTTGTCCTAAGCTTAGCTAATTTAACCCTTTTCATGCGCAGATACTGGTCACTGCACGGATGGCTGCTGATCGATCGCGTGGTCCAGCAGGTTGTGCTGCAGGTGGACCAGCGGCCAAGCAGCGATCTTATATCCGATCCCGATCCGGTCAAATGCCGCTGGTGGATTAAGAAGTGCGACGACTCAGAAACGTCCAACTGGATCGCGGCCAATACCAAAGAATGTGATCATAGAGAAAGAAGGCGGCTGCAACCATATGGTGTGCAAGAACAAGTTCTGTTGGGTCTGCCTCGGCTTCTGGGAGCCGCACAGCTCCTCCTGGTACAACTGTAACCGGTACGATGAGAGGAGGCCAAGGCACCTCGTGATGCCCAGGAGAAGTTGCGCTCATCCCTGGCCAGGTGAGTTTTTATACTATTCTAATTTTTGTCGAAAGCTTGTAATGCTGAAGGAGTAATTTTCGACCCTATAAATATTATACATATATTCTAGATCAGCATCATCAGCCGAGTCGGTCTAGCTAGGGTCAGGGTCAGTTTTAAAAATAGCGTAAAAGAAAGATCTTATAATTAATTTAGGCTTTTAACTTTGAGTATACGTTTGTAGATATCATCAATACAAATTGCTAAATCACTTTAAATTAAAATTAAGTACTGGGATCCATGGCTATAAGGGAATTAATTGAAAAATCAATGCTTAGCTAGCAGAGCTGAAACTAGACCAAGGCCTAATCCCTCCTATAGCATCTATATATGTATGTGATATAATTCTCATGATTAAGACTTACCCAAGTGGAGGACACGTCATTGTTTACTTCCTTCCAGTATAGACTTCGAATCTTGTTGACTTCAATTAGGGTAGTCATAATATCGAAGATCACTTCCTGGTTATCCAGATGTATTCCATTGGCCACGTCATTCTTTTAATTCACTATCACTATTGATGTAAACACTAGGTACCCCTAGGACAGACTGAGCTCTCGGCGAACGAAGTGCCTCTATTTATAGTTCCCGAGTCAAGAGAACAGAGAAAGTGAGAGCGAGAGAGTAAGAGATAGGCAGAGAAACATACAGAGAAAGAGTTAGCTCTGGAGATGCACAGTGGGAGTTGGACCTACCGGATAAAAAGAGGCAGAGGGAGAAAGGGAGAATGCTGTGGATGCTGATCAAGAATATGTTTACTTAATAAGGGCGTTACTGCGTTCCAAACTTTTGAGTGAAATTATAATACCATGCAAGGGTATAAAAATGATCAAATAAAATTTGGATTTTAAGATTCTTGCAGGGCATCGACGAGATTTGGCAGTCACTAAACTATTTGTTCTTTTGTCCTGGCAGGATTCCCCACTACGAGTAAAGGCTGAAGAGTCTCCAGTACAGGAAGCGCTTTATGCCGACGGTCAACGATCTTATACACCGCATCGCCAGAGTAATTTCACTTCACTTCACATTCACTTTTTCATTTATTATCACTATTTAAGTGCATTTTTAATAACCACAGGCAACTACATGAACCGCAGGGCGCGTGACCCACACCAAGTCCAGTGCCGCCAAGGGCACCACCCTGCTGCAGTATCTCGTCCAGGTAATCGAGAGTAAATTCATGGATCCACTGGAGCTGGAGGATCATATTCCGTATGCCCGTGAGGCTTCCAAGGTGTCGCTGGGCGAGATGGACAAGGATATCCAGATGCTGCGCACCGGCCTGGCGGATGTGGCACGCGAAATCGAGTTCCATCGAACTTTGCCCTTCATGCGGGAGTTCCACGCTCGGTCCACTTTGCGGAGCTGGAGGACAAGTTCCAGGACATAAAGACCCGCTTCGATCACGCCCTGCGTCTGTTCGGCGAGGATGGTTCGGTATGTTAACAATAATAATAATAAGGTCGACGATCAGCTGACGTGGAGCCGCCATATGCAGCATGGAGGTGTGACCAGCTAAGGTTCACTACTTTAATATCGAAAAATTAGTGTTGTTTTTCAGAACTTTTTTCTGGTGTGACCAGCTAATTTTGTTTTACTACTATTATCGAAAAGTGACAGTTATTTTGCACAACTTTTTGTAGATCGGTATCATCGCTTGCTTATTGCGCAGCAGAAGCGGGCCCGTCTCGAGCATCTGGTCACCGAGTACAGCATACCTGATGGCCAGAAGGTGGCCGGTCTGACTGGCTGCAATGGAGCAGTGTAGCCACCGCCGCGGCCGCCCTCGGCCATGGTCATGGCCATACCGCCGCCACCACCAAAATGGCGCCGGCCATAATGCCGCCACCGCCAAAATGGCGCCGGCCAGGATGCCAGCACCACCGCCGGCCGGGTGCACCGCCTTCGCCACCGTGGATGACGCCAGCAATGGGTGAGTACAGAGTTAAGACAGGTTAAGGAGCGTCGCATAAATTAATTTCAATCCTTGGCCTACACCTCCTGTGCCACCCAAGGTGGAGCCGCCAAAGAAGAACGTGCCACAGCCCACGAATCCATTAAAGAGCCTCAAATGGTCCAAGCTGCCGGATGCCAAGCTCCAGGGCACCGTCTAGAGCGAGCTTGACGAAAGCAAACTGTATATCAACATGGAGTTGGAGTCGATAGACAAGTTATTTTCGGCTTACCAAAAGAATGGGGTATCGGTGAGTGCCTAGGAGAGATTCCGCTGAAAGAAAGAAAGAGGAGCAACTGACGCAGGCAGGCAAGCGCGATGATGAGCTGGAACGTGAGAACTTTGATGTGCAGGATCTTGAAACGGGTCAGCATTCGCAGGCGGTGCAGCGCGTGCAGGCCGCCGAAATGAAGGCGGAGGATTTACAGCATCGGCTGCTCAGCGAGCAGCCGGAACGTGCCCGTCTGGAGCGTCTGGTCACCGAGGGCAGCATACCTGACGATCAGAAGGTGGCCGGTCTGATTGGCTGCAACGGAGCTGTGTCTCCGGACCCAGAACTGCACCATCCTGCTCAGCTATTTACCCTGCTGCAGTCCTGTGAGTACTACTTGGGTGTCCTTGTCCTAAGCTTAGCTAATTTAACCCTTTTCATGCGCAGATACTGGTCACTGCACGGATGGCTGCTGATCGATCGCGTGGTCCAGCAGGTTGTGCTGCAGGTGGACCAGCGGCCAAGCAGCGATCTTATATCCGATCCCGATCCGGTCAAATGCCGCTGGTGGATTAAGAAGTGCGACGACTCAGAAACGTCCAACTGGATCGCGGCCAATACCAAAGAATGTGATCATAGAGAAAGAAGGCGGCTGCAACCATATGGTGTGCAAGAACAAGTTCTGTTGGGTCTGCCTCGGCTTCTGGGAGCCGCACAGCTCCTCCTGGTACAACTGTAACCGGTACGATGAGAGGAGGCCAAGGCACCTCGTGATGCCCAGGAGAAGTTGCGCTCATCCCTGGCCAGGTGAGTTTTTATACTATTCTAATTTTTGTCGAAAGCTTGTAATGCTGAAGGAGTAATTTTCGACCCTATAAATATTATACATATATTCTAGATCAGCATCATCAGCCGAGTCGGTCTAGCTAGGGTCAGGGTCAGTTTTAAAAATAGCGTAAAAGAAAGATCTTATAATTAATTTAGGCTTTTAACTTTGAGTATACGTTTGTAGATATCATCAATACAAATTGCTAAATCACTTTAAATTAAAATTAAGTACTGGGATCCATGGCTATAAGGGAATTAATTGAAAAATCAATGCTTAGCTAGCAGAGCTGAAACTAGACCAAGGCCTAATCCCTCCTATAGCATCTATATATGTATGTGATATAATTCTCATGATTAAGACTTACCCAAGTGGAGGACACGTCATTGTTTACTTCCTTCCAGTATAGACTTCGAATCTTGTTGACTTCAATTAGGGTAGTCATAATATCGAAGATCACTTCCTGGTTATCCAGATGTATTCCATTGGCCACGTCATTCTTTTAATTCACTATCACTATTGATGTAAACACTAGGTACCCCTAGGACAGACTGAGCTCTCGGCGAACGAAGTGCCTCTATTTATAGTTCCCGAGTCAAGAGAACAGAGAAAGTGAGAGCGAGAGAGTAAGAGATAGGCAGAGAAACAGTTAGCTCTGGAGATGCACAGTGGGAGTTGGACCTACCGGATAAAAAGAGGCAGAGGGAGAAAGGGAGAATGCTGTGGATGCTGATCAAGAATATGTTTACTTAATAAGGGCGTTACTGCGTTCCAAACTTTTGAGTGAAATTATAATACCATGCAAGGGTATAAAAATGATCAAATAAAATTTGGATTTTAAGATTCTTGCAGGGCATCGACGAGATTTGGCAGTCACTAAACTATTTGTTCTTTTGTCCTGGCAGGATTCCCCACTACGAGTAAAGGCTGAAGAGTCTCCAGTACAGGAAGCGCTTTATGCCGACGGTCAACGATCTTATACACAGCATCGCCAGAGTAATAGAGGCGTACCGCGTAGTGGCTAGTTCCCGACGTCTGCGCAAGCTCCCTGAGCTGATTCTAGCTATGGGTAATCTATCCATTCACTTTTTCATTTATTTTCACTATTTAAGTGCATTTTTAATAACCACAGGCAACTACATGAACCGCAGGGCGCGTGACCCACACCAAGTCCAGTGCCGCCAAGGGCACCACCCTGATGCAGTATCTCGTCCAGGTAATCGAGAGTAAATTCATGGATCCACTGGAGCTGGAGGATCATATTCCGTATGCCCGTGAGGCTTCCAAGGTGTCGCTGGGCGAGATGGACAAGGATATCCAGATGCTGCGCACCGGCCTGGCGGATGTGGCACGCGAAATCGAGTTCCATCGAACTTTGCCCTTCATGCGGGAGTTCCACGCTTCGGCATCGGTCCACTTTGCGGAGCTGGAGGACAAGTTCCAGGCCATAAAGACCCGCTTCGATCACGCCCTGCGTCTGTTCGGCGAGGATGGTTCGGTATGTTAATAATAATAATAATAAGGTCGACGATCAGCTGACGTGGAGCCGCCATATGCAGCATGGAGGTGTGACCAGCTAAGGTTCACTACTTTAATATCGAAAAATTAGTGTTGTTTTTCAGAACTTTTTTGTGGTGTGACCAGCTAATTTTGTGTTACTACTATTATCGAAAAGTGACAGTTATTTTGCACAACTTTTTGTAGATCGGTATCATCGCTTGCTTATTGCGCAGCAGAAGCGGGCCCGTCTCGAGCATCTGGTCACCGAGGACAGCATACCCGATGGCCAGAAGGTGGCCGGTCTGACTGGCTGCAATGGAGCAGTGTAGCCACCGCCGCGGCCGCCCTCGGCCATGGTCATGGCCATACCGCCGCCACCACCAAAATGGCGCCGGCCATAATGCCGCCACCGCCAAAATGGCGCCGGCCATGATGCCAGCACCACCGCCGGCCGGGTGCACCGCCTTCGCCACCGTGGATGACGCCAGCAATGGGTGAGTACAGAGTTAAGACAGGTTAAGGAGCGTCGCATAAATTAATTTCAATCCTTGGCCTACACCTCCTGTGCCACCCAAGGTGGAGCCGCCAAAGAAGAACGTGCCACAGCCCACGAATCCATTAAAGAGCCTCAAATGGTCCAAGCTGCCGGATGCCAAGCTCCAGGGCACCGTCTAGAGCGAGCTTGACGAAAGCAAACTGTATATCAACATGGAGTTGGAGTCGATAGACAAGTTATTTTCGGCTTACCAAAAGAATGGGGTATCGGTGAGTGCCTAGGAGAGATTCCGCTGAAAGAAAGAAAGAGGAGCAACTGACGCAGGCAGGCAAGCGCGATGATGAGCTGGAACGTGAGAACTTTGATGTGCAGGATCTTGAAACGGGTCAGCATTCGCAGGCGGTGCAGCGCGTGCAGGCCGCCGAAATGAAGGCGGAGGATTTACAGCATCGGCTGCTCAGCGAGCAGCCGGAACGTGCCCGTCTGGAGCGTCTGGTCACCGAGGGCAGCATACCTGACGATCAGAAGGTGGCCGGTCTGATTGGCTGCAACGGAGCTGTGTCTCCGGACCCAGAACTGCACCATCCTGCTCAGCTATTTGCCCTGCTGCAGTCCTGTGAGTACTACTTGGGTGTCCTTGTCCTAAGCTTAGCTAATTTAACCCTTTTCATGCGCAGATACTGGTCACTGCACGGATGGCTGCTGATCGATCGCGTGGTCCAGCAGGTTGTGCTGCAGGTGGACCAGCGGCCAAGCAGCGATCTTATATCCGATCCCGATCCGGTCAAATGCCGCTGGTGGATTAAGAAGTGCGACGACTCAGAAACGTCCAACTGGATCGCGGCCAATACCAAAGAATGTGATCATAGAGAAAGAAGGCGGCTGCAACCATATGGTGTGCAAGAACAAGTTCTGTTGGGTCTGCCTCGGCTTCTGGGAGCCGCACAGCTCCTCCTGGTACAACTGTAACCGGTACGATGAGAATGAGGCCAAGGCACCTCGTGATGCCTAGGAGAAGTTGCGCTCATCCCTGGCCAGGTGAGTTTTTATACTATTCTAATTTTTGTCGAAAGCTTGTAATGCTGAAGGAGTAATTTTCGACCCTATAAATATTATACATATATTCTAGATCAGCATCATCAGCCGAGTCGGTCTAGCTAGGGTCAGGGTCAGTTTTAAAAATAGCGTAAAAGAAAGATCTTATAATTAATTTAGGCTTTTAACTTTGAGTATACGTTTGTAGATATCATCAATACAAATTGCTAAATCACTTTAAATTAAAATTAAGTACTGGGATCCATGGCTATAAGGGAATTAATTGAAAAATCAATGCTTAGCTAGCAGAGCTGAAACTAGACCAAGGCCTAATCCCTCCTATAGCATCTATATATGTATGTGATATAATTCTCATGATTAAGACTTACCCAAGTGGAGGACACGTCATTGTTTACTTCCTTCCAGTATAGACTTCGAATCTTGTTGACTTCAATTAGGGTAGTCATAATATCGAAGATCACTTCCTGGTTATCCAGATGTATTCCATTGGCCACGTCATTCTTTTAATCACTGTCACTATCGATGTAAACACTAGGTACCCCTAGGACAGACTGAGCTCGCGGCGAACGAAGTGCCTCTATTTATAGTTCCCGAGTCAAGAGAACAGAGGAAGTGAGAGCGAGAGAGTAAGAGATAGGCAGAAAAACATACAGAGAAAGAGTTAGCTCTGGAGATGCACAGTGGGAGTTGGACATACCGGATAAAAAGAGGCAGAGGGAGAAAGGAAGAGAGCTGTTGATGCTGATCAAGAATATGTTTACTTAATAAGGGCGTTACTGCGTTCCAAACTTTTGATTAAAATTATAATACTCTCTGCAATATTATTGAACTATATATTTTTACATGCATTTTATTTGTTGACAAATCAAAGTTTAAAAATCTCGTAATTCAGCAAAAAAAAAGCATTAATTTTAGCTAGCTTTAGTTCATTCTTCAACTTTGGTAACAGCTGGTGTTTATTTATTAATTTAATTATATACATTTTCAGAACTTCTTGATTATGCCAATTACTGTTGTTGTTAGAAAGCTGTTCTGTGTTAGTTTTCAAAGGTTATTGAATCTGCATACTCAATTTAAAATTAAAAAAAAAAAAAATTGCCAATTTTTTTAATTTTAACTCCAGACACACATGCAGAAGGAGGATCTTGAAACGGGTCTGGCACGCATGCGCGAACGTTTGGAGGAGTCCGCTCAGCATTCGCAGGCGGTGCAGCGCGTGCAGACTGCCGAAATGAAGGCGGAGGATTTGCAGCAATGCGCCAGCAATGGGTGAGTACAGAGTTAAGTCCAGTTAAGGAACATCACATAAATTAATTTCTATCCTTTGTATCTGGGGCACCGTCTGAAGCGAGCTTGACGAAAGCAAGCTGTATAAAAACATGGAGTTGGAGTCGATAGACAAACTCTTTTCGGCTTACCAAAAGAATGCGGTATCGGTGAGTGTCTAGAAGAGATCCCAATGATGGCTCCTATAAGGATCTGCGAGCAACTGGCGGCAAGCCAGCCAAGCAGAAGGTGCTCTCTGTGATCGATGGACGCCGAGCTCAGAACTGCACCATCCTGCTCAGCAAGCTGAAGATGAGCGATGTGGAGATATCAAAGTAGGAGTTGCTGCGGTCAACTCCTGGTTCTAATTACTAATCTCTTCTCTTCTAGGGCCATTCTCTCGATAGACAGCAACGACATGGTCGAGCAGCTGCTAAAGTTCACGCCCTCGGCGGAGGATGGATATTGAGTCACTGGTCCGCGCCGATCGCTTCCTTTACGAAATATCAAAGTGGGTTTGAAGAGCATCGAAGACATTTGGCAGTCACTAAACTATTTGTTCTTTTGTCCTGGCAGGATTCCCCACTACGAGCAAAGGCTGAAGAAACTCCACTACAGAAAGCGCTTTATGCCGACGGACAACGATCTTATACCCCGCATCACCAGTGTGATGGTGGCGTACCGCGAAATGGCCAGTTCCCGACGTCTGCGCAAGCTCCTTGAGCTGGTTCTGGCTTTGTGTAATCTATACATCACTCTTTCATTTAATTTCACCTTTTAAGTGTATTCTTAAATACCACATTCAACTACATGAACCGCGGGGCACGTCGCAACGCCTCCTGATTCCGTCTGGCCTCACTTAATCACCTGGCCGCCAAGGGTACCACCCTGCTGCACTATCTCGTCCAGGTAATCGAGCTAAATTCAAGGATCCACTGAAGGAGGATGATATTCCGCATGCCCGTGAGGCTTCCAAGGTGACGCTGGGTGAGATGGAAAAGGATATCCAGATGCTGTGCACCGACCTGGCGGAAGTGGGACTCGAAATCTATCGAAGTTCTGGCCCCGCCCAGCAGGGTGAGAGCAGGGTGAGCAGAGTTCCACGCCTCGGCCTCAGTGCGCTTTGCGGAGCTGGAGGACAAGGTCCAGGACATGAACCCTCGCTTCGATCGCGCCGTGCGTCTGTTCGGCGAGGATTGTCCGGTATGTTCATAATTTAGGTCGACGATCAGGTGACATGGAGCCATGTGCAGCATTGACGATCAGCTGACATGGAGCCATGTGCTGCATTGACGATCAGCTGACATGAAGCCATGTGCAGCATTGACTATCGATTGCTGGCATGCAACCAATTGCAGCTTTGACTATCGATTGCTGGCACGGAACCATGTGCAGCTTTGACAGCCTAGGTTTTAGGTTATGGTGAATGCACTCAAGAGCAGCAACAGGATCAGGATGAGCTGGATGAAGACCAGAGGCTGCTGGTCACAGCCCGTCAATATTGCAGACCACTTCGCTCCTGCTGCCCATTGATGACCTATTCAACACACTTTCGCTAGCCTCTAGCGAGAACAGCGCCAAGGAGAAGAGCCTCGATGATCCGCATTCTGGTGACTTGGGCATCGCGGCATTCTCGCAGATCAACAACAACACACAGTCCAAGCCGGAGCAGCAGCCGCTCAACCTGACCGTGGTCACCCGCCAGGAGCATTACCACGGTCACCCTATCACCGGCAGCCATCGAGCCATCAGAGGGCAGGCCGTTGCGTCGAGGGTATGTGTCCGTCGAGCAGAAGATCCAGCAGGAGCTGCAGGACCTGAAGGCGCTGAAGCGCCTGCGCAAGATTAACAGGCACAACACACTGAAGGCTTCGCTGGACAAGCTGAGGCTTTCAAAGAATCCTCTTATCATCTTAGGTTTTTTTGTTTCCAGCCAGCTCAGAACAGATGACGAGGCCGATGCGGACGACGATGACGATGAGGACTCTGAGGTGGAGCACTGCTGTGGACCCGGAAAACTGCGCAATATCCAGTCCACCCAGGAGTTGGATAGAAATGGGCAAGTTTTAGATAACCTACTTAAGTTTGATTCTCATTGAATTTTCATTCTTACCGACAGCATCGAGCCGGAGAACGTACACAAGCCCGCTGGCAATCGCAGCCTGAATGCAGCCGCCTCCATAGCCAATGGAGCCAGCAATGGCAGCATTAATGGGATGCGTCCGACCATGTCGCTGGACCAGCTCTGTGATCTGACGCCCAAGGAGGCGTCCTTGTCGAAAGGCCTCATTTCCCAGTGGGAAAGCCTGATCAAGAGGAATACCGAGAATAGGACGGGCCTCTAGCGTAAACAGCGCCAAGGAGAAGAGCTTCGATGACCCGCATTCTAATGACTCGGGCTTCGCGGCCTCCTCGCAGAGCAACAACAACCTCCAGTCCAAGCAGCAGCAGCAGCCGCTCAACCTGACCGTGGTCACCCGCCAGGAGCAGCGTTACATTGGACCCAACTGCCTCAACATGCCACCGGAGCCGCCGCAGCAGAAGCTCATTACCAGGACCATTTCCACTCCGCAGCTAGACAAACAAAAAGCTAGATAGACAAACTCTTTTCGGCTTACCAGAAGAATTGGGATTCGGTGCGTGCCTAGTAAAGATTCCTCTGAAAGATCTTCACTTATTTAATGTTCTCCTCTCCTTCCACAGGCCACCGATGGCTCCTATGAGGATCTGCGTGTAACTGACGGCAAGCAAGCAAAGCAGAAGGTGCTCTCAGTGATCGATGGACGCCGGGCCCGGAACTAAACTATTGGTGCTTTTGTCCTGGCAGGACTTCCCAATACGAGCAAAAGCAGAAGAGTCTCCACTACAGAAAGCGCTTTATGCCGACGGTCAACGATCTTATACCCCGCATCACCAGTGTAATGGAGGCGTACCGCGAAATGACCAGTTCCCGACGTGTGCGCAAGCTCCTTGAGCTGGTTCTGGTTTTGGGTAATCTGTCCATTCACTCTTTCGTTTATTTTCACTATTTAAGTGCATTCCCAAATACCACAGGCAACTACATGAACCGCGGGGCACGTGGCAACGTCTCCGGATTCCGACTAACCTCACTTAATCATCTGGCCGACACCAAGTCCAGTGCCGCCAAGGGCACCAGCTTGGGCGTAAATTCAAGCATCCACTGAAGCTGGAGGATGACATTCTGCATGCCCGTGAGGCTGCCAAGGTGTCGCTGGGCGAGATAGACAAGGATATCCAGATGCTGCGCACCGGCTTGGCGGATGTGGCACGGGAAATCGAGTTCCATCGAAGTTCTGCCCCCGCCCAGCAGGGTGATCGCTTTTTGCCCGTCATGCGGGAGTTCCTCGACCTCGGTGCGCTTTGCGGAGCTGGAGGACAATTTCCAGGACATAAGACTGGCTTAGGTTGTTTTGTTTAATAAGCCAATGAATAAATGTAATTAGTCATTCCCATATGGCGGCTACTGATAGATTATTTAAATTTTGCAGTTAAATAAATATATATTTGATTTCTTTTGTTGTGGTAAAGTCAAAATTGTTGTTATTGTCAAAGAGTTGTTTATTGTTGTTGTTCTCGGCAAAAACAAGAATTTACTTCGCCCAGTTTCAGTACAAAATCGCAAATTTCTGGATCTGAAGTACCAGGCGAACAGAAACAGCAGAAAGCAGATTTATTTTAGTGCAAAAGCTTCAAATTAGAGATGTCTCTTTAGCTATATTGTAGCAGAGCTTAAAATATAGCTTGAAACAAGCTAGTTTGTCAGCAGTACATTGAAAGCTTTTTTGTAGCGTGACCAGCTCTTTTTTCATAAGATTTTTTTAGTATGGCCAACTCATGTTAAAGCACTTACGGCTCGTTATCGTACAAAGGTATTTTGATTTTGTGCTATCTTTATCGGTGTATATCGATATATGAAAATCGGCTGTCGTCAGGACCGGGGGCATATAATTAAATGTTAGTTAATTTTATATATAAACACGTAAGAAAAAGAGTACCGCCGCCACAGCGGTGCTGCTCAGCTCCGTGTTGCCCTGGAAGTTCTCCAGCTCGGCGAACTTCAACCATGTGACACAGTTCTCTGGTCCGAACTCCATGACCTTCTGGTACAGCACCCGGCAGCTCTCGAACTTGCGCAATTGGATCTCCAGGTCGATGTAGTCGCAAACGAGCTTGTCGGGCGGTCACAGACCGATGGCCAGGCTAAGGGCCTTGCGAGCCCGCTGCAGCTCCTTGTAGCGGATCTCGAACTGGGCGTAAAGCAGCCACAGCTTGCTGAATGTGAACTGCTTGTGCGGTATCAGCTCCAGGCAGGTTTTATATATCTGGCGCGTGCGCTCCGCACGGAACCTCCAGCTCCTCGTACAGCGCGTAGTTGATTTACAGATAGATGTAGCACCGCCAGAAGTTCTTCTCGTTCGCCGGACGCACATTCTAAATTGCCCACTCGTACGTCTCGCGGATCGGGTCGCGCTCGCCCTTCGCCACGATGAGGCGCCGGTAGTGAATTTTCGGCCACTTCCTGTTCGTACTGGTAATTGCGCTGGAAAACGATCACGTCCTCGATGCCATCCCGATTGCCGTACTGCTTGTCGTGTATGGTGCAGGAATTAAATAGCTCCTGGGTTCGGTTCTTGGGCAGGTGGTCCAGCGCGTATTCGTACATGATGCACGCTCGGTCGTTCTCCTTCTGGCCCTCCTCGAAGCGCCTCAGTGGCTTCTTCGTTAGGCAGGGCTTCGCCGGTGGAACAGCTAGCCTCCGCGGATGAACTCACATTGTCTGGACTTGAGGATTTCGAAGTCTCGCTTCTGTCCTGAGTTGGGACGGATGCGGGCGTCACGGGCGAACCAATGGGCACAAGGGTGGCCGTCTTCAAGGGCGTCTCCTTGGTTGGCGTACTGGCACTACTCAGGGTCACCAATTGGCCTGGCGATGGAGTGACTGCGGTGCTGGTCACAGAGACTGTGACGGGTTGAGCGCTTGATAGATGGCCCACTGTAACATTCATCATGGAGGTCTTGGCCAGGATGGGATTCGTGGTGGGCGAGGGCGTCGTGGCTGTCAGGAAGGGCGGTTCCTGCTGTTTCTGTTGCTGTTGTTGCGGCTATTCCGGCTGGCGTCGTGGTCGAAGACATCGTGAAGGCCACGCTGTTCAGTTGCAGCTAACCCGCGTTCTGCTGTTGCTGCTTAGGAGTCGTTCCGCCTGACACAACAATCTGCTGGATGATGTTCTGTTGTTGCTCCCGCTGCTGTTGCTGCTGCGCCTGGGACTGCGCTTGGACATGCGCCTGAACCTGTTGCTGCATTTGCTGCTGGATCAGTTGGTTATGTAGTTGCTACATCTGTTGCTGGTGCGAGGTGATGAAGGTGTTTGGGGCCACCAGAAGGATCTGCTGAGTGGCGTTGGCAAGCGCCTGCTGCTGTTGGGCCTGCGCCTGGGATTTGACCAGTTGCTGCTGCTGCTGCTGTTCCCTCTGTTGCTGCTGAGCCTGCGCCGCCGCCTGCTTTTTCTGGGCGGTCACTTGCTGCTGCTGCTGCTGTTGGGCCTGAATCTCCAAGTCCCGTTCCTTGGCCTCACGGAGCAGCTGCTTTGCCGTTATCTGCACCGCCGCTGGAGCCATGTTGTTCACCTAATAAAAGCGAAACAAACGATGTGATAAATTAGGACTTCTTTTCAAGCTGTCCGCTCACTCCAGCCTCCACACTCACCTTGGCCATCTTTTGGGGCCGCTCCATAGCTTATGTATTTATTTTTTTAATTATTTATAAAAAAAAATAATTTTACTGCACGAGATGCAAATTAGAGATGCCCTTTTACCAATATTGTAGCAGAGCTTTAAATCTATCTTGAAATAAGCTAGTCTGTCATCCTTACATTTAAAGCTTTTTTGTAGTGTGACCAGCCCATTTTTGACAAGCGTTTTGTAGTATGAGCTGGCCATGTTTCACCACTTTAGGCTCGTTATCGTACAAAGGTATTTTGATTTTGTGCTGTCGTTATCGGTATATATCGATATATGAAAATAAGCCGTTTCTTTCAGGAACGGGACTGTAAAATTGAATGTTAGTTAATTTTATGTATACACACGTAAGAAAAGAGTGCCGCCGCCACAGCGGTGCTGCTCCGCTCCATGTTGCCTTGAAAGTTCTCCAGCCCGTCGATCTTCATCCATGTGACACAGTTCTGTGGTCCGAACTCCAGGAACTCTTCGTATCGCAGCCGGCAGCGCTCGAACTCGCGCAGTTGGATCTCCAGGTCGATGTAGCCACAAAATACACATACGCGAGGATACATACCGATGGCCAGGTCAAGGGCCTTGCGAACCCGCTGCAGCTCCATGTAGCGGATCTCGAACTGGGCGTAGAGCAGCCACAGCTTGCTGAATGTGAACTGCTTGTGCGGTATCAGCTCCTGGTAGGTTATATATATATGGCGCGTGCGCTCCGCATCTTCAGCCTCCAGCTCCTCGTACAGCGCGTAGTTGATTCACAGATTGATAGCGCCGCCACTTCTTCTCGTACGCCGTACATTCGAAACCGCCCGCTCGTACGTCTCGCGGATCTGGTCGCGCTCGCCCTCCGCCTCGATGAGGCGCAAGTAGTGGATTTTCGGCCACCTCCTGTTCGTACTGGTACTTGCGCTTGGAAACGATCACGTCCTCGATGCCATCCCGATTGTCGTACTTCTTGTCGTGTATGGTGTAGGAATTAAATAGCTCCTGGGTTCGGTCCTTGGGCAGGTGGTCCAGCGCGTATTTGTACATCATGCGCTCTCGGTAGTTCTCCTTCTGGCCCTCCTCGAAGCGCTTCAGGGGCTTCTCCGATGGGCAGGGCTTCGCCGGTGGAACTGCTAGCCTCCGCGGATGCACTCACATTGGTTCGTGTTGAGGATTTCGGCGTCTCGCTTCTGTCCTAAGTTGGGAGGGATGCGGTCGTCACGGGCGAGCCAATGGTGGCACAAGGGTGGCCGTCTTCGAACGCGTCTCCTTGGTGGGCGTGCTGGCACTACTGAGGGTCACCAATTAGCCTGGCGACGGAGTGACTGCGGTGCTGGTCACAGAGACTGTGACGGGTGGAGTGCTTGACAGGTGCCCCACTGTGGCATTCATCATGGAGGTCATGGCCAGGATGGGATTCGTGGTGGGCGAGGGCGTCTTGGCTGTCAGGGAGGGTGGTTCCTGCTGTTTCTGTTGCTGTTGTTGCGGCTATTCCGGCTGGCGTCGTGGTCGAAGACACCGTAAAGGCCACGCTGTTCAGTTGCAGCTGACCCGCGTTCTGCTGTTGCTCCTCAGGAGTCGTTCCGCCTGACACAACAATCTGCTGGATGATGTTCTGTTGTTGCTCCCGCTGCTGTTGCTGCTGCGCCTGAGCCTGCGCCTGGACATGCGACTGCAGCTGTTGCTGCAGTTGATGCTGGATCAGTTGGTTATGTAGTTGCTACATCTGTTGCTGGTGCGAGGTGATGAAGGTGTTTGGGGCCACCAGAAGGATCTGCTGAGTGGCGTTGGCAAGCGCCTGCCGCTGTTGGGCCTGCGCCTAGGATTGAACCACTTGCTGCTGCTGCTGCTGCTGCTGTTCCTTCTGTTGCTGCTGAGCCTGCGCCGCCGCCTGCTTTTTCTGGGCGGTCACTTGCTGCTGCTGCTGCTGTTGGGCCTGAATCTCCAAGTCCCGTTCCTTGGCCTCACGGAGCAGCTGCTTTACCGTTATCTGCACCTCCGCTGGAGCCATGTTGTTCACCTAATAAAAGCGAAACAAACGATGTGATAAATTAGGACTTCTTTTCAAGCTGTCCGCTCACTCCAGCCTCCACACTCACCTTGGCCATCTTTTGGGGCCGCTCCATAGCTTATGTATTTCTATTCTTACTTAATTATAAAATAAAATAATTTTACTGCAGGAGGTGCAAATTAGAGATGTCCCTTTACCAATATTGTAGCAGAGCTTTAAATCTATCTTGAAATAAGCTAGTCTGTCATCCTTACATTTAAAGCTTTTTTGTAGTGTGACCAGCTCATTTTTCACAAGCGTTTTGTAGTATGGCCAGCTCATGTTTCACCACTTTAGGCTCGTTATCGTACAAAGGTATTTTGATTTTGTGCTGTCGTTATCGGTATATATAGATATATGAAAATAAGCCGTTTCTTTCAGGAACGGGACTGTAAAATTGAATGTTAGCTAATTTTATGTATACACACGTAAGAAAAGAGTGCCGCCGCCACAGCGGTGCTGCTCCGCTCCATGTTGCCTTGAAAGTTCTCCAGCCCGTCGATCTTCATCCATGTGACACAGTTCTGTGGTCAGAACTCCAGGAACTCTTCGTATCGCAGCCGGCAGCGCTCGAACTCGCGCAGTTGGATCTCCAGGTCGATGTAGCCACAAAATACACATACGCGAGGATACATACCGATGGCCAGGTCAAGGGCCTTGCGAACCCGCTGCAGCTCCATGTAGCGGATCTCGAACTGGGCGTAGAGCAGCCACAGCTTGCTGAATGTGAACTGCTTGTGCGGTATCAGCTCCTGGTAGGTTATATATATATGGCGCGTGCGCTCCGCATCTTCAGCCTCCAGCTCCTCGTACAGCGCGTAGTTGATTCACAGATTGATAGCGCCGCCACTTCTTCTCGTACGCCGTACATTCGAAACCGCCCGCTCGTACGTCTCGCGGATCTGGTCGCGCTCGCCCTCCGCCTCGATGAGGCGCAAGTAGTGGATTTTCGGCCACCTCCTGTTCGTACTGGTACTTGCGCTTGGAAACGATCACGTCCTCGATGCCATCCCGATTGTCGTACTTCTTGTCGTGTATGGTGTAGGAATTAAATAGCTCCTGGGTTCGGTCCTTGGGCAGGTGGTCCAGCGCGTATTTGTACATCATGCGCTCTCGGTAGTTCTCCTTCTGGCCCTCCTCGAAGCGCTTCAGGGGCTTCTCCGATGGGCAGGGCTTCGCCGGTGGAACTGCTAGCCTCCGCGGATGCACTCACATTGGTTCGTGTTGAGGATTTCGGCGTCTCGCTTCTGTCCTAAGTTGGGAGGGATGCGGTCGTCACGGGCGAGCCAATGGTGGCACAAGGGTGGCCGTCTTCGAACGCGTCTCCTTGGTGGGCGTGCTGGCACTACTGAGGGTCACCAATTAGCCTGGCGACGGAGTGACTGCGGTGCTGGTCACAGAGACTGTGACGGGTGGAGTGCTTGACAGGTGCCCCACTGTGGCATTCATCATGGAGGTCATGGCCAGGATGGGATTCGTGGTGGGCGAGGGCGTCTTGGCTGTCAGGGAGGGTGGTTCCTGCTGTTTCTGTTGCTGTTGTTGCGGCTATTCCGGCTGGCGTCGTGGTCGAAGACACCGTAAAGGCCACGCTGTTCAGTTGCAGCTGACCCGCGTTCTGCTGTTGCTCCTCAGGAGTCGTTCCGCCTGACACAACAATCTGCTGGATGATGTTCTGTTGTTGCTCCCGCTGCTGTTGCTGCTGCGCCTGAGCCTGCGCCTGGACATGCGACTGCAGCTGTTGCTGCAGTTGATGCTGGATCAGTTGGTTATGTAGTTGCTACATCTGTTGCTGGTGCGAGGTGATGAAGGTGTTTGGGGCCACCAGAAGGATCTGCTGAGTGGCGTTGGCAAGCGCCTGCCGCTGTTGGGCCTGCGCCTAGGATTGAACCACTTGCTGCTGCTGCTGCTGCTGCTGTTCCTTCTGTTGCTGCTGAGCCTGCGCCGCCGCCTGCTTTTTCTGGGCGGTCACTTGCTGCTGCTGCTGCTGTTGGGCCTGAATCTCCAAGTCCCGTTCCTTGGCCTCACGGAGCAGCTGCTTTACCGTTATCTGCACCTCCGCTGGAGCCATGTTGTTCACCTAATAAAAGCGAAACAAACGATGTGATAAATTAGGACTTCTTTTCAAGCTGTCCGCTCACTCCAGCCTCCACACTCACCTTGGCCATCTTTTGGGGCCGCTCCATAGCTTATGTATTTCTATTCTTACTTAATTATAAAATAAAATAATTTTACTGCAGGAGGTGCAAATTAGAGATGTCCCTTTACCAATATTGTAGCAGAGCTTTAAATCTATCTTGAAATAAGCTAGTCTGTCATCCTTACATTTAAAGCTTTTTTGTAGTGTGACCAGCTCATTTTTCACAAGCGTTTTGTAGTATGGCCAGCTCATGTTTCACCACTTTAGGCTCGTTATCGTACAAAGGTATTTTGATTTTGTGCTGTCGTTATCGGTATATATAGATATATGAAATAAGCCGTTTCTTTCAGGAACGGGACTGTAAAATTGAATGTTAGCTAATTTTATGTATACACACGTAAGAAAAGAGTGCCGCCGCCACAGCGGTGCTGCTCCGCTCCATGTTGCCTTGAAAGTTCTCCAGCCCGTCGATCTTCATCCATGTGACACAGTTCTGTGGTCCGAACTCCAGGAACTCTTCGTATCGCAGCCGGCAGCGCTCGAACTCGCGCAGTTGGATCTCCAGGTCGATGTAGCCACAAAATACACATACGCGAGGATACATACCGATGGCCAGGTCAAGGGCCTTGCGAACCCGCTGCAGCTCCATGTAGCGGATCTCGAACTGGGCGTAGAGCAGCCACAGCTTGCTGAATGTGAACTGCTTGTGCGGTATCAGCTCCTGGTAGGTTATATATATATGGCGCGTGCGCTCCGCATCTTCAGCCTCCAGCTCCTCGTACAGCGCGTAGTTGATTCACAGATTGATAGCGCCGCCACTTCTTCTCGTACGCCGTACATTCGAAACCGCCCGCTCGTACGTCTCGCGGATCTGGTCGCGCTCGCCCTCCGCCTCGATGAGGCGCAAGTAGTGGATTTTCGGCCACCTCCTGTTCGTACTGGTACTTGCGCTTGGAAACGATCACGTCCTCGATGCCATCCCGATTGTCGTACTTCTTGTCGTGTATGGTGTAGGAATTAAATAGCTCCTGGGTTCGGTCCTTGGGCAGGTGGTCCAGCGCGTATTTGTACATCATGCGCTCTCGGTAGTTCTCCTTCTGGCCCTCCTCGAAGCGCTTCAGGGGCTTCTCCGATGGGCAGGGCTTCGCCGGTGGAACTGCTAGCCTCCGCGGATGCACTCACATTGGTTCGTGTTGAGGATTTCGGCGTCTCGCTTCTGTCCTAAGTTGGGAGGGATGCGGTCGTCACGGGCGAGCCAATGGTGGCACAAGGGTGGCCGTCTTCGAACGCGTCTCCTTGGTGGGCGTGCTGGCACTACTGAGGGTCACCAATTAGCCTGGCGACGGAGTGACTGCGGTGCTGGTCACAGAGACTGTGACGGGTGGAGTGCTTGACAGGTGCCCCACTGTGGCATTCATCATGGAGGTCATGGCCAGGATGGGATTCGTGGTGGGCGAGGGCGTCTTGGCTGTCAGGGAGGGTGGTTCCTGCTGTTTCTGTTGCTGTTGTTGCGGCTATTCCGGCTGGCGTCGTGGTCGAAGACACCGTAAAAGCCACGCTGTTCAGTTGCAGCTGACCCGCGTTCTGCTGTTGCTCCTCAGGAGTCGTTCCGCCTGACACAACAATCTGCTGGATGATGTTCTGTTGTTGCTCCCGCTGCTGTTGCTGCTGCGCCTGAGCCTGCGCCTGGACATGCGACTGCACCTGTTGCTGCAGTTGATGCTGGATCAGTTGGTTATGTAGTTGCTACATCTGTTGCTGGTGCGAGGTGATGAAGGTGTTTGGGGCCACCAGAAGGATCTGCTGAGTGGCGTTGGCAAGCGCCTGCCGCTGTTGGGCCTGCGCCTAGGATTGAACCACTTGCTGCTGCTGCTGCTGCTGCTGTTCCTTCTGTTGCTGCTGAGCCTGCGCCGCCGCCTGCTTTTTCTGGGCGGTCACTTGCTGCTGCTGCTGCTGTTGGGCCTGAATCTCCAAGTCCCGTTCCTTGGCCTCACGGAGCAGCTGCTTTACCGTTATCTGCACCTCCGCTGGAGCCATGTTGTTCACCTAATAAAAGCGAAACAAACGATGTGATAAATTAGGACTTCTTTTCAAGCTGTCCGCTCACTCCAGCCTCCACACTCACCTTGGCCATCTTTTGGGGCCGCTCCATAGCTTATGTATTTCTATTCTTACTTAATTATAAAATAAAATAATTTTACTGCAGGAGGTGCAAATTAGAGATGTCCCTTTACCAATATTGTAGCAGAGCTTTAAATCTATCTTGAAATAAGCTAGTCTGTCATCCTTACATTTAAAGCTTTTTTGTAGTGTGACCAGCTCATTTTTCACAAGCGTTTTGTAGTATGGCCAGCTCATGTTTCACCACTTTAGGCTCGTTATCGTACAAAGGTATTTTGATTTTGTGCTGTCGTTATCGGTATATATCGATATATGAAAATAAGCCGTTTCTTTCAGGAACGGGACTGTAAAATTGAATGTTAGTTAATTGTATATATACACACGTAAGAAAAGAGTGCCGCCGCCACAGCGGTGCTGCTCCGCTCCATGTTGCCTTGGAAGTTCTCCAGCCCGTCGAACTTCATCCATGTGACACAGTTCTGTGGTCCGAACTCCAGGAACTCTTCGTATCGCAGCCGGCAGCGCTCGAACTCGCGCAGTTGGATCTCCAGGTCGATGTAGCCACAAAATACACATACGCGAGGATACATACCGATGGCCAGGTCAAGGGCCTTGCGAACCCGCTGCAGCTCCATGTAGCGGATCTCGAACTGGGCGTAGAGCAGCCACAGCTTGCTGAATGTGAACTGCTTGTGCGGTATCAGCTCCTGGTAGGTTATATATATATGGCGCGTGCGCTCCGCATCTTCAGCCTCCAGCTCCTCGTACAGCGCGTAGTTGATTCACAGATTGATAGCGCCGCCACTTCTTCTCGTACGCCGTACATTCGAAACCGCCCGCTCGTACGTCTCGCGGATCTGGTCGCGCTCGCCCTCCGCCTCGATGAGGCGCAAGTAGTGGATTTTCGGCCACCTCCTGTTCGTACTGGTACTTGCGCTTGGAAACGATCACGTCCTCGATGCCATCCCGATTGTCGTACTTCTTGTCGTGTATGGTGTAGGAATTAAATAGCTCCTGGGTTCGGTCCTTGGGCAGGTGGTCCAGCGCGTATTTGTACATCATGCGCTCTCGGTAGTTCTCCTTCTGGCCCTCCTCGAAGCGCTTCAGGGGCTTCTCCGATGGGCAGGGCTTCGCCGGTGGAACTGCTAGCCTCCGCGGATGCACTCACATTGGTTCGTGTTGAGGATTTCGGCGTCTCGCTTCTGTCCTAAGTTGGGAGGGATGCGGTCGTCACGGGCGAGCCAATGGTGGCACAAGGGTGGCCGTCTTCGAACGCGTCTCCTTGGTGGGCGTGCTGGCACTACTGAGGGTCACCAATTAGCCTGGCGACGGAGTGACTGCGGTGCTGGTCACAGAGACTGTGACGGGTGGAGTGCTTGACAGGTGCCCCACTGTGGCATTCATCATGGAGGTCATGGCCAGGATGGGATTCGTGGTGGGCGAGGGCGTCTTGGCTGTCAGGGAGGGTGGTTCCTGCTGTTTCTGTTGCTGTTGTTGCGGCTATTCCGGCTGGCGTCGTGGTCGAAGACACCGTAAAAGCCACGCTGTTCAGTTGCAGCTGACCCGCGTTCTGCTGTTGCTCCTCAGGAGTCGTTCCGCCTGACACAACAATCTGCTGGATGATGTTCTGTTGTTGCTCCCGCTGCTGTTGCTGCTGCGCCTGAGCCTGCGCCTGGACATGCGACTGCAGCTGTTGCTGCAGTTGATGCTGGATCAGTTGGTTATGTAGTTGCTACATCTGTTGCTGGTGCGAGGTGATGAAGGTGTTTGGGGCCACCAGAAGGATCTGCTGAGTGGCGTTGGCAAGCGCCTGCCGCTGTTGGGCCTGCGCCTAGGATTGAACCACTTGCTGCTGCTGCTGCTGCTGCTGCTGCTGTTCCTTCTGTTGCTGCTGAGCCTGCGCCGCCGCCTGCTTTTTCTGGGCGGTCACTTGCTGCTGCTGCTGCTGTTGGGCCTGAATCTCCAAGTCCCGTTCCTTGGCCTCACGGAGCAGCTGCTTTACCGTTATCTGCACCTCCGCTGGAGCCATGTTGTTCACCTAATAAAAGCGAAACAAACGATGTGATAAATTAGGACTTCTTTTCAAGCTGTCCGCTCACTCCAGCCTCCACACTCACCTTGGCCATCTTTTGGGGCCGCTCCATAGCTTATGTATTTCTATTCTTAATTATAAAATAAAATAATTTTACTGCAGGAGGTGCAAATTAGAGATGTCCCTTTACCAATATTGTAGCAGAGCTTTAAATCTATCTTGAAATAAGCTAGTCTGTCATCCTTACATTTAAAGCTTTTTTGTAGTGTGACCAGCTCATTTTTCACAAGCGTTTTGTAGTATGGCCAGCTCATGTTTCACCACTTTAGGCTCGTTATCGTACAAAGGTATTTTGATTTTGTGCTGTCGTTATCGGTATATATCGATATATGAAAATAAGCCGTTTCTTTCAGGAACGGGACTGTAAAATTGAATGTTAGTTAATTTTATATATACACACATGAGAAAAGAGGGCCGCCGCCACAGCGGTGCTGCTCCACTCCGTGTTGCCTTGGAAGTTCTCCAGCTCGGCGAACTTCATCCATGTGACACAGTACTCTGGTCCGAACTCCAGGAACTTTTCGTATAGCAGCCGGCAGCGCTCGAACTCGCGCAGTTGGATCTCCAGGTCGATGTAGTTTTAAACGAGCTTGTCGCGCGGTCACATACCGATGGCCAGGCCAAGGGCCTTGCGAGCCCGCTCCAGCTCCTTGTAGCGGATCTCGAACTGGGCGTAGAGCAGCCACAGCTTGCTGAATGTGAATTGCTTGTGCGATATCAGCTCCAGGCAGGTTTTATATATCTGGCGCGTGCGCTCCGAACGAAACCTCCAGCACCTCGTACAGCGCGTAGTTGATTAATAGATAGATGTAGCGCCGCCGGAAGTTCTTCTCGTTCTTTAGCCAGAGCGTCACTTTCCGGTGCTCGTTGTCCAGCGCCCGCTTGCAAATAGAGCGCGCCAGCTGGATCTCCTTCTGCTGCTCTTCCCACTTGCATATTTGATTCAGTGGCTGATGACCATGCGGTTCTTCCACAATTGTCCTCAAATGTCGTTTGCTTACGCTACTGGTAATCGGCCAGCTCGGCGGGATCAGAGAACTTTTGCTTTGGCGGCGGCGGAAGAATCTCCAAGTCCCGTTCCTTGGCCTCATGGAGCAGCTGCTTTGCCGTTATCTGCACCGCCACCGGAGCCATGTTCTTCACCTAATAAAAGCGAAACAAACGATGTGCTGAATTAGGACTTCTTTTCAAGCTGCCCGCTCACTCTATCCTCCACACTCACCTTGGCCATCTTTTGGGGCCGCTCCATAGCATATATATACTCAATAAATTATAAAAAGAAACTATAATCCAAATTAGCAAAAATATAAGTAATGCGAGCGAAGCAGTGTCACGGTTCTGGAAGCTTATTATGTGTGGAGAAACATCGATATTTTTTACAACTATCGATCATTATACATATATATATTTTTACAGCAACAACTTTTACAACGATACAACACAAAAACAAGGCTTTGATCTTAACATTTTCAGTACAAATCATCATCCATTTCGGGATCTGAAGTACCAGGCGAACAGAATCCTCAGAAAACTGATTAATTTTAGTGCAACAGGTGCAAATTAGAGTTGCTATATTGTAGCTGAGTTTCAAACCTAGATAGAAAATAGTTTGTCAACCTTATATGGCGGGAATCTATCGTCATCCTAATTCATCGATTACGTGGCGGCAACTGATCGCCAATTAAAATTTTTAATTTTAGTGCCAATGGTGGCAGATTGTAGATGGTCCTTTAGCTATATTGCATTTGAAATATAAATATAGTTAGAAAAGAGCCAATTTGACACCTTTATTTGGCCGGAACTTATCGTAATTTAAAATTTGAATTCAAATGTATCGTTTTTCTTAAGTGGCGGGACAGTCTTTTTTAGTTCGAATTCAAATTTAGCTGTTAGAAATAATGTATCTTTTTAATCTTATGATCATTTTGGTTTTGTTATGATATTTTACATTTATAAAATTAAAGTATTTTAAATGACTCCTTGAATATATTAAAAACAAACACTGAAAAGCATTCAAAATTCGAATTAAGGATTTTTTGATTTAGTTAATCGATTTACGTTTCAATCTTAAGTTCCACCTGCAAACTTAAAGGCCTTATAAACTTCAGCACCGAAGCACATTACAAAATGTTTAGATTGTTTTTACATTACTTGGTTTTTTTTTTATTATTGCTAAACCATACACAGATGTAAATAAATAAATATAATGCTCATTAAATGTTCGTTATATACACCACCATTTATATAAGTACAGTAATCCCTAGAAAATAAAATAAATTCGTAACTCAATTTTGTAAATATAAAAAACCATTAATAATTTGGATATAATATTTAAAAAAATATATATAAATTAATAAGCTTGTGACCACTGTACGCGTGTTAATTATAGCTGTAGCTTCAAATATCCTGATAATCTACAGGACACCGTTCGCCGCCGTTGAAGCTGCCCCCGTAGCTCCTTGCTGCTGTTGCTGTTGTTGTTGTTGGAGTTTGCTACTCTGTGAGAAGTCAATGCAGGCGCCAGAGGTGAGATCAATCTCCTCGGAGTCAGAGCCATCGGATCCCTCATCGGAGTGCCCGGATAAAGCGGCCATTCCGCCCAGTTCCATCTGGGCATGACCCGGTGCCTTGTAGAGCTTCAGTTCCGTATAGGTCTTCGATAGCTTCTCCTGTTCCTGGCCTTGTCCCAGCCCTTGACCCTGCTGTTGCTGTTGCTGCTGCTGCTGCTGCTGCTGGAATGCCGGATGCATCATCGTGAAGCTGCCTGGGCTGTGATCATTGTTCACCTCTGTCATGTCATTATCCTTGCCGGCTGATAGATTCTCGGGCGCTTGGCTGCCCGGTCGATTGCCAGCTCCAGGTGCTGATCCCGTTCCCGTTGCTGAGCCGCCGCCCATTACAGGTGGTGTGCCCAGGCTGAGGCAGCGCATCCGCCAGGCATCCTGGAGCAGTTGCAGTCTCGCCTGTTTGCGCCACTTGGCCCGGCGATTTTGGAACCAAACCTGCGAATAATAACAATACAAAATATTTAAAAAAACATGGAATCAATCGGACCTGAAAAGTATGCTTATAATTGCCAAATGGAAAATTGAAGCCTCTCCAACTGGTTGGATACTTTGCCTGATCCTTTGGCTCACAAGCATTCACCTGAACGCGCGCCTCACTGAGACTGATCCGCAGGGCCACCTCCTCGCGCAGGAATACATCCGGATAGTGGGTCTTCTGGAACAAGGCCTCCAGCTCCTGGAGCTGCTGGGGCGTGAAGGTCGTCCGGTTCCGGCGCTGCCGCCTCCGGCCGAACATATACTCCGTCAGCAAATCGCCGGGCAGCGGCGATATAAATGGACCAGCCATTATTTTTTATGTGCTATATAAAAAAAATTGTTAAGGTTTTAATATTATAAATTATGTTTTTATTTCAATTTTAGAATAAGCCCGTTTGTTACCATAAGTTTTTAATATTTTTACTGATTTAAAATTGGTATTCCCCTATTAACTTGATTATTATTTCTAAGAAAGTCTTTTCTTCTTGAATGTGTGTTTAAAGCTTTATTTTTTGATTAAAAAAAGTTTCATAAATTAGTATTGCTATTTGGAAATTTATAATTGCTTTATAATAATTTTATTTTACTTTTATATTTCAAAGAGTATTTAGTTAATTTTTATTTACTAATCCAATATTTTTTAATTGCGAAGAAAAAAAAATAATAAATAATAAATATTTCGTGTTATTGGTATTTTATATTATATATATATATATGTGTGTATAAATTAAATTTAATTAAATAATATAACCATTCTTATATTCTTAGATATTTAAGTTCATGTTTCAGAATTTATCCAACATTTACTAAATGCGAAGTTAGTTACATTAGAAAAATTGAATTTCTTTTATTATTTGATAATAAATTTTTAGCTCGATCGTTTTGTTTTGATTTGTACTGCTTACATTTTTAATTTTATTGTTTGCATTTTTTTTTTTAATATTGTCTTATTCAAAAATATGTCAAAAATATTATTTCACTTCAAAATATATTCTTCATATTTATATTTTATGTATTTCCAGTTATTCACTCACTTTGCACTAAACAAAAAAGATTTTTCTAATTTTTTTCCTTTGCTTTTTAAAACTTTATTCTCAAAACTTAAGTTTGAAATCTCCGCTAGTTGGCGCCACTTATAAAAAAAATATAGTTTCGTGAGCTTTAAAGAGCATCCTGCTGTCAGAGAGACAGAGTTCCTTTTTGCTGAGCGTTCAGCCAGCGACTGTGGAAATGCGGGCAGCATCCTGTGGCTTTTATAAACGACTCTGGCTAATATATATATATATATATATATATATATATATATATGTATGCAGATGTGAGGGGATGTGAGCGTGTGCGAGGGTGCGCCTCTGTGTCTGTGTGTGTGCGACTCGTCCATTTACAGTTTAGCGTAATTAGAGATTCACACACACAGAGTCGAAGCCTAAAGCTAATCAGAGATTTTAAGGGACTTACTTGTTGATTGTGGGAAAGTGTTATGACTTTTGATGTATTAAAAATATATAATTAAATGAAAAATAATAAATTTTTAAAGTTTTTGTTCAATTATTTATCGCATTCAACACATATTTTTAATTTATATTTTGCAATTAACTCGGCAAGTCACTGTTGAGTCGCTCTCTCCTGCTCTCGCTTTGGTCCTGCCATCTCCCTTTAACGCTGCGCATCCTCCGAATGCTGGGCTCTCGCCTTCTCTCTTGCTCTTACACGTTGCCTCACTCGTTTCGCGTTCGGCTGCCTCCTGGCTTTGTTTTTGCCGCTGTTCGGCTTGCTTATTGTTTTCTCGTTTTGACTTCGTTAAATTACGGCACAAGCACAAAAACCTTATAAGCGTTGTTTTCGTCCTTGTGTGTGTGTGTTAGAGAGAGAGAGAAAGAGATAAAATGGAGAGGGGGAGAAAAGGATACGGTGCACTGCGGTTGTATGCATTTCAGCATTGCTAACAGTGTCCTGAATTTATAACATTTTTTTTTGGTTAAGAAAATATTAAATATAAAATGCTCATTAGCTCATATTCAATAAATATTATACACTATTTATCAAATATTTTTAATATAACCATAGTTATATTACAAAAAAAAAAATTGCTCACAATACAAATTGCATCTGGAGGCACTCGAAATTCTTCAAAGGATGTGTTGCAGGTCTGCTATTAAATTGAGAAAAATGAGCTTGGTTAAACTAATTTTAATGACAGAACCATTTGAGAATTTTTGTGAATGTCAAGCTAATATAATATTTCTTTAAAATGTATAATTTTTTATGGCCCTGGTCCCAATGTTTCCGTAATGTTTTGTATATGAAATGTACCTGTGTAAATAATAAAATTCAAATCACTTAATGCTGCTAGCAGAGACGCTTACAGGGACGTCAACTGCAGCAGCGAAACAATAACAATAAGGCAACACCCTCCACACACACACGCACACACACACTCACAGACACGTACATAGTGCACAAGAGGACGATGTGGGGGGGGGGGGGTGCACAGGGACGCAGAAGAAAATGAGGTTGCCACCACAGATGATGATGAAGAAGACGCAGGTGCAGCAGTAGAGGAGAAGGGAGCTTAACAAGGAGTAAGAGGGAGAAAACAAAGGCAGTGCCCTCTCCCTCTCACCCTCTCGCTGTGTGTGTGTGTGTTAAACAAATGAAGGGATGTAATTTTCTCATTTGCATGGCATTGTGTTTTGTTTTTGCCTTGCTTTGCTTCTTTTTTGCGCTGCGCTTGCGCTGGAAATTATATTTATTTATTATTTATGAAGAATAGGCGTGGCCCACCCCCTGGCGCCACCCCTCCTTCGCTCGCCACCTGCCATTGCTTTTGTTGGTTGCTTTATTTCATTTGCTTTCCATTTGGCACACAGGCCAATCATAAGCGAGACCAGATGTCCTTGTGTGAGTGCTGGTGTTGCTGTTGTTAATGTGTATGTGTGTGTGTAAGTAAGGGGGGGGGGGGAGAGTGTAGCAGGATAACAGAAATAAGGACCTGACGAGTCATGACGTTGACAGGCTCATTCAAATTACGTCAAGTTTTGTTGCAGAAAACCAGTTCCATTGCTACTTGCAGTTTGGAAAGTTTTTTTATCTATCCTTGAGTAATTATTTGAAAGTTGGGAATGGTTTTAGAGTTTTGTTTTTATACTGGCCTATTTATGTATATCATAAATCAATATTAATTATAAGGAAATTCTATAGGATGTGCAGAAAGTATTACAAGATCTCCAACTCTCTTTCTCAATCTCTTTATGTCTCAATCTCTATCTCCCTACATCTTGATCTCTCTGTATATTTTGCTTTTTATATTCCTGGGATCTCTAATTATCTCTCTCCACCTTTATGTATGTATATCAATCTGTCTTCAGCTATCTGTATCTATATATATATTATCTTCTTTTATTAACAATGTATCATATCAATCGTTAAATCGTTTAATCGTTCGTTTGTAATGAACTTTGTTTTGATTTATACTTTTTAAATGATTCATTATTTTTGTATTTAATGAATGTACATTAAAAATAAGTTATATTTGAATAGTATCGTTTTTTTTTTAACTTGAAACCTATACTTTTTTTAATCTGAGAAATTCTTGCATATACTAATAATGTATATTTTAATTTATGCTTTAAATTAATATTAAAACTATTTTGTAATTTTTATCACATTCTTCTCCTCCTGTTTTATAATAATTTTTCTTCTTCCCTTTCTCCTGCTCTCTCTCCCTCTTTTTTCTATCTCTTTCTGGCATTCCCTCGGCGCCATTTTTAATTTTGTAATTTGATGCCGGGCTGTTATGCGCTTGTTGTTGTTTCGCCTTGTTGTTTCCTGTTGCTGTTGTTGTTGTTGGAATTCATTAGGCAACGCGTTTTCCACCTGAGAGAGGAGTTTTCCCACCCACTTATCCTCTGTCTTTCTCCCTCTATCTCGCTCTCTCTCTCCATCTTTCACTCTCCTGCTGGCTGTGCACGTGTGTGTGTGTCCATTGTTTTGTCGCGCTGATTGGTCTTTCACTTTGCCCGTGTGTGCGGAACTCTCTGAGTATGTGTGAGTGAGTGTGTGGGTGAGTGAGTGAGCTCCATTGTTATTTGGCTTCTCGCTCTCTCGCATTCTGCTGCCGTTGTTAATTATTTATTTTAGCGCGTTCCTCTTCTTCCGCCACTCACTGTTGTCTTCTCTCTTTCGTCTTTCCCCTCTCGAGTTTATTTACTACTAGTTATACCCTTACGTATAGATTATAATTTTAAGAAGAAGTTAGAAGTCGAAGTCTATAAATTATATATATTCTTGGTCAGTAGAGGATTCGGTTTAGTCTTTTACGTTCTGGTAGTGCCTCAATTTTAGTACTTTTTACTCTAGTGCCAACTACAAATGTTTATTGTTCTCATTTAAATACAAGCTTTCAGCCTTACTAATATTAATATTATTATAATAAAGAGTATTCAAACTTCCTCTTTTCGAATTGAACTTTTTTCTAGTTTGATTCAATATCCTGCAGACAAAATAAGGTAACGCTAAAGCAAAATGGCGTCTCGTCATATTTGACGCTGTAAAGTAGGCAACGTTATTTGTCCATTTTCTATTTTTCGGTTTTAAGGAGCGTGTAATTATGTACTTATTAATTATTTTTGATAAAGAACTTTAGTTGTTAAGTCTTTTATTTTTTCATTTTTATTTTGTTAAAGTTATTAGCATAATTTGCATAAGCTTGGATTGTTAATCACTGTAATAATTAAGATTTATTACCATTATCTTTTCCTTGTCGTTTGTCTTCATTAAAGATTTGTATATTTTATAATTCAATATAATGCTTGCTCAAGTATTTTAATCCTAAAATACATTTCTAAATAATGCCTTAGTTTAGAAAGGCTTAAAAAATTGATGGCTAGAAATTATATTCAACAATAGAAAAAATATTGTCTATTTAAATAAATAGGCTAAAAATTGATATAACAATTTAGGAAGGTATTAATCTAGCAATAGATTTATATTTAAGGATTAAAGACTGAAATATAAATAATATTCTTTAGATAAACGCCTCCAGGAAAATCTCTCAAAATGAACAGGATGTTGTGGGTGATGGAATCAATTTCCAAAATATTCCTTTGAATAATATACAATGAAGTTGAGACGAAATAAAACGAAACTCCCTGCGGCAAAAGAAATGATGATAACGTTAGTGGGTGAATTCGGGAGATTTTTAGGTGGTTTTTTGTGTATTTTTGTTGTTGTTTTTGTCTCTCCTTGCCGCCAAAGACGCTAGTTAATTGGAATTTTTAATTATGATTTGTCAATGCCGGTGTATTTTCAGAGAGAAAGAGAGAGAGAGAGAGAGGGAGAAAAGGAAGGCAAAACAAGAGACAAAACAGGGAACATGAACAAACAAAATAAGAAAACCCGCTGGCTGCAACTTGGGCATGTCCTGGCGCGAAACCAAAAGGATAACAAAGGGCGGTGCAAAAAATTGAGGAGGTTGAGATAGCTTTTTGTTTTATTTTCTTTTTTTTCAATGTCATAAGCATATTAATTACGCATAAAACTGGGTCCAGAAATATTACCGGTATTTAA